CCATCTACAGAAGAATTGAATGTAGTCGAAGTAGCTGATCCTCCATTGCCAGCTTCAAGCCACGAGCCTCATCCTTTGGATGATGCCACGGACCCTGCGTTGAAGGCTATGCCTTCATACGAGAGGCAGTTTCGGTATCATTTCCATAGGGGTCATGCGATCTACAGTAGAACTCAGGTGAGGTTTGAAACTTGTGAGAGGTTGTTGAGGGAGCAGAAGGTGCAGGAGAGGGCGGTGGAGGTTGGGAGGGGTAATTTGGATCAGTACTATAAGGTGATCAATCAGAATTATACTGAGTTCATGAAGCGGTATAATCAGCAGCACCGGATTCATTCAGAGCTCCTAGTGAATTTCAGTAGGGATTTGGAGAAGCTGAGATCTATCAGGCTTCATCCGGCTTTGCAGGGGGCTGGTAGGAAGTGCTTGATGGATTTTGTTAAGGAAGAGAACTTGAGAAAGGCTGTGGAGAACTGCAGCAACTCTCATAAGCAGTTTGAAAAGAAGGTTTTGGAGTTTAAGCAGATGTTTGGTGAAGTGAAGCGCAAGGTGGAGGAATTGTTTTCTTGGCAGGCTTCTGTACCAATTAAGAACTTGGAGCTAACGATCAAAGAGCATCAGCGATTCATCAGTGAACAGAAGAGTATAATGCAGTCCTTGAGGTTGGTTGCATTCTGTCCTGATCGCTTTAATCTTTGTACTATATTCTCCTGATATTAATAGGGGTATGCTCCCTCGGGTCACAAAAACTTCTCAAGTATCTCCGCCGGTAGACCTTCTTCTCTGTAATATGCAGCTTGCTGTTTATAATTAAGCTAGGATTCTCTCGGTTCTCTCGTGCTGCTTCTATGAATCAATTATTTAACCATTTATGGCCTTCAACTTATACTTGTTAGGAGCTGAGATGATCATTAGTTCATCAACTTAACATTTCATTTTTTATATTTTGTGGCAAGATTGTGAAGTTGGTGAATTGCTAGTTCTTTTTCTTTTCCAATCACAATGCCGAATGTGCCACAATTTCCTCAAGTCTGCTTCAGTTTAACCATATGTTATGATTTTATGACATGCTAGTTCTAATTTTTTCTTTTAAATTGGATTGCTGCCAAGGACTTTTGTTTCGGACTAGTTGGAACATGCAATTTACTACTAGTATGTTCAAAGTCATTGCAGCAGTAATTTCGAATCTTCCTTTCCTTAGCAATTGGCAATAATTAGTCTAAGTTCCGAATTGAGTATATGATACCTAGTATGAATTTGTCATCCATGTGGTCTTGCTAGCTTCTGGTATAGAATTGACCATTTCTTGTATGGATTGTGGTTGACTGTCTTGATTATGAATTCTCTCAAACATATGGTACCAATTAGGAGAGTTTTGGTGTGACTTGTTAGTTTCTGGTATGGATGATTGGATCTGTTCTTAATGCAGCAAAGATGTAAACACGGTAAAAAAACTTGTTGACGACTGTTTATCCAGCCAATTATCTTCCTCCATCCGTCCTCACGATGCAGTCTCTGCCTTGGGCCGCATGTATGATGTGCACGACAAGAATCACCTTCCCAAGATGGAGACATGCGGCCGTTCTATCTGCAAACTCCTAGACTTCTGCATGGAGAAGAAGAATGAGATGAACATTTTCGTCCATGAATACATGCAGAAGATAACTTATGTCTCCTACATAATCAAAGATGCAAAGTTACAATTTCCTGTATTCAGAGAGGCAATGGTACGCCAGGACGATCTCTTCACCGACCTGAAGCTCGTTCGAGGCATTGGCCCGGCTTACCGAGCATGCTTTGCTGAGATATTAAGAAGAAAGGCTTCGATGAAGCTCTACATGGGCATGGCGGGACAGCTGGCAGAGAGGCTCGCAACTAAGAGGGAAGCTGAGGTCAGGAGGCGGGAGGAATTTTTGAAATTGCATGGTGTGTACATCCCGAGGGATGTCTTAGCATCCATGGGGTTGTACGATACTCCTAGTCAGTGTGATGTCAATGTTGCTCCTTTTGACACTAATTTGCTTGATGTTGATTTCCCTGACCTGGACCGCTATGCCCCTGAATATTTGGCTGGGATACCTCTTAAGGTTGAGAAGCAGGGAAGTCTGAGAAGCTCGTTTTCCACTTCAAATGACAGCTCTCATTCAGCTGAGACGGAGGATATTTATGTGGATAATGTCGAGAAAGCTGATTCTGAGGAGCTGCTTGAGGGTTGTGATTTGGTGGAGATTGCAGGGACAAGCAAAGTGGAAGTCGAAAATGCAAAGTTGAGAGCTGAACTTGCGTCTAAGATAGCCCTCATCTGTTCTCTCATGCCAGAAGTGGAACTCGAGTGTCTTGATGATAGCAAAATGGAAAGCCTATTGAAAAATGCAGCAGAGAAGACAACCGAGGCTTTGCAGCTGAAAGATGAGTACGGAAAGCATCTCCAGTCTATGCTCAAGGAGAAGCAATTGCAGTGCTTATCATATGAGAAGCGCATTCAGGAACTTGAGCAGAGATTGTCTGATCAATACATGCAGGAGCAGAAACTGGTCAATGATAAAGATGTGTCATCTGATTCTGCACTTTCAGCTGCGACTACTGGCCATGACAGGAAACCTGAGATCTCAATCCATGGAGAAACCCATTTGCCTTACTCATTGTCTACTTCAGAACCCATGGACGAGGTCTCTTGTATCTCTAACTCTCTGGATACAAAGTTGGGGCGTTTCGCTAGGCAGCATAGTAGGAAAGGTAGGGAAGGGTTGGTCGATGATGAACATATGATGGACTCCTCGGGAATCCTGAACACCCAGTTAGACTCTTCAATGCCAGAACCACATAGAGAAGAGCTGCAGGCTAGCGACAGAGATGGGAAAGACAAGATGGTGGCGGGGCAACTAGGGATGTCGATAACAAATAGTTGCACGGCTGAGAGCATGCCCGAGCCTTCAACTGATCTGCCTTCTGATGCAGCCATTGAGCCTAAGATCACTGGGGGAGATCTCCTGGAATTGCAGAGTGAACTTGCAGAGAAATCAAACCAGTTGAGTGAAACCGAGGCTAAACTCAGAGCTGTACTGGACGAGGTTGCCATTCTTACCAAGGAGTTGGAAACAAGTCGAAAGCTTCTGAATGAATCTCAGGTGCTTAGTAATGAAACTACGTCTCTTGTTCCCTGTTGCTGTGCATAAATGATAAACTCTGCTATTACTAGGCTCTAGTACTTCCACTCTTTCCAGCTACTTTACGTTGGTCTACTTTATGATCTTTGGTAAGTGGGTTGTCTCTTAAAATTTCTGTTCTTTGTGGCATATTGATAGATGAATTGTGCGCATCTGGAGAATTGTCTGCACGACGCCAGAGAAGAGGCCCAAACTCATCTCTGCGCGGCGGATAGAAGAGCTTCAGAATATAGTGCTCTACGTGCATCTGCTGTGAAAATGCGCGGTCTCTTCGAAAGGCTGAGGAGCTGCGTTTACGCTCCTGGTGGAGTTACTACTTTCGCGGACTCCTTGCGTTCTTTAGCTCAATCTTTGGCCAAGTAAGATTAATCTCACTGAAGCTTTTTAATTTGTTAGCTTCTATCCATATTGATATTGGTCACTTACAGCTTTGTGGTTTTCTTCCTTCTGTCAGTTCGATTAATGAGAATGAAGACGATGGAACTGGAGAATTCAGGAAGTGCATTAGGGTTCTTGCGGAGAAAGTTACTTTCTTGTCAAGACATCGAGATGAGCTGCTTGACAAGTACCCTAAGATAGAAGCTGCCAATGAAAAGCTGTTGAAGGACCTGGAGGAGAAGAAAGAGCTCTGCACCACTCTATACAAAAAGCATCAACTCGAGAAGCAGGTAAATCTTTGATCAATCATCCTTCTAATCCTCCTGCTTAGCTGTACACCTTGTGGTGACCTATCAATTGCTTGCCCTTCGATTTACAGGCGAACAAAGAGAGGATCTCATTCTCCCGATTGGAAGTCCATGAGATTGCTGCATTCGTGCTCAATGCTGATCGCCACTACGTCGCGATCAGCCGCAGCTGCTCTAACTACTATTTATCTGCAGAATCGGTGGCCCTCTTCACGGACCATCTTCCCACCCCACCGAGCTTTATAGTTGGGAAGATTGTGCATATCGAGTGTCAGACCGTGAAGCAACTGCCTGGCGCAGCAGCAGCAGCAGATCAGGGAAGCACCTCCGACGTCTTAGAGGCTGCTCCTGACCGGAGATTGACTGTGAACAACTTGGGATCGACGAAAAACCCTTATAACCTCCCGATTGGCTGTGAATACTTCGTAGTGACGATAGCTATGTTACCTGATACCACCATTCATTCTCCATGATCGATCCACCCGGAGTTTACTCTTCAGGCAGACATGACATGATGGAAGATAAAGTGTAAATAAGGAAAAGTAATGAGAAAAAAGCCCCCAAAAAAAGGAAAAAGGAAGAAAATGGACTAGGGTTTATGACCTTGTTCTTTGTACAGCTGACTGATCCTATTATAAGGTTCTTTTATTATCATGTTTGGTTCTGTCTGTTCTTTTGTATATAAATTATAATGTCGACCTTCTAAAGACGAGCCCTTTATGTACAAAAAAAACCCCATGAACTGTGAATATTATGATCAATCTCTCCACTATTGTGTTCTAGTTATAACTGCAAGCTTGTCATTCAAATGAGTTGAGTATTGGCAGTGATAGTGACTGTCTTCCTGTGCATGATCTAACAAGTATGCACCATACAGTTAAATTTTAGTAGATCGTGATTACTTCGTTCTAACTTTGATTGGTTCGATGAGCCTAAATACCGTTCGATCATCGATGAGCCTAAATACTTTCTTGGAGTAGAGTTTGAGTACAGGGGATATGCACAAGGAAGAAAACACACAGATTGCTTTCTTGGAGTAGAGTTTAAGTACAGGGGATATGCACAAGGAAGAAAACACAGAGATTGCCGAGAAGAAGAGAGGAAGATGTCAAGAAGAGCGATAAATCGACTATCAGGCACTCTTTGAACTCCTATGTGCATTGTTTTACTTTCCCTGAACTCGTCTATCAACAATCTTCCTATGTCATTTCCTTATTCCTCAAGCAAATTCTTTCATTCTCCACTTTGTCGAACAAAATCAAGATCTCGTACCTCCATCCAGTGATTTCTGTAAGAAACCTTCGTTTATCAATACATATTTCCAACTTCAAGTTTCTTTCTTCAACTAATTCTCAATTGAATCTTTGTTCTTCAAAGTTCGGTTCCAAACTTCATCTATTTCCAATCAAATTCCTTTCTCCAAACCAATTGGCTTTCCATCCATATGTTCTTGCGAAGTCTCCAACAATGACACACATCGACATGTTAAAAAGCTATCTCCCATACTCTCCTCTAAGAAAATAAAATTAAGAGGAAGCAGCAGCAGCAGCGTGGGTGGTGACATCCTTGCTGGATCGGTTGTACTTCATGTGGCTCTTCACCAGCTGCCCTGCGGCGAGCGCAGACATAAGGGAGAGCTCGCCGGCGAGAACAGAGCCTGCAACTATGGTCGCCAGTCGCCTCGCGTTCGCCCCAGGTGTCTCCTTGTTTGCACCCTTCACCCCGAGCAGGTTCAAGCACGCCGACTGCGATGCAAGCTGCGTCCCACCTCCCACCGTTCCAACCTGCACCAATGCACCACAAGGTCGATTCAGGAGGATTTTCTTCACAACTTTCCAACTACTATTCATCGACATGGATACAAGACATTGCATTGCAATCTGAAAAAAAATCCAAAGGAAGCGTCTTTGTTTAATTACCTCGATGCAAGGCATGGTGACCGAGACATGGAGATCCTGCCCGTCGTTCGTACTCTCCATCAGAGTGATGCAATGGGAGCTCTCGACGTTCTGAGCTGGATCTTGGCCTGTGGCTAGGTACACAGCACTCACGATGTTGCTAGCATGCGCATTGAACCCACCTAGAGCCCCTGCCATGGCCGAACCAACGAGGTTCTTGTCTTTGTTAAGCTCAACCAGTGACTTCACGCTGGTTTTCAGTACCTTCCTCACCACGTCTCCTTTGATCACAGCCTCGCACACCACTGACTTCCCTCTCCCTTGTATCCAGTTCACTGCTGCAGGCTTCTTGTCCGAGCACAAGTTGCCTAATTTCATCACAAACCGTGCGGGGTCAGTTTCGAGTTCAATCAATCATCCTAAACTAAAATAATGAAGACCAACCAACTTCCTTTCGTTCATAACACCAACACAAAACCAACAGAGAAAGAAAGAGGGTGGTGGTTTTCAGTTTACCGGAAATGGCGACGACATCCATGTCAGGGAAATCAGCCTGCAGGACATCCAGCACATTCTGAACACCTTTGGAGACCATGTTCATCCCCATGGCGTCCCCAGTGCTGCAGCAGAACCTGATGTACACGCTCCTTCCAGACATTGTACACCTCGCGCTCTGGAGCCTGGCGAACCTGCTGGATCTGTTGAAAACCATGGAAACCGTGTCGAAATTGCTGGGATCCTCCAGGTAGAATTTCAGCTGGGCTGCCCTCGCGATGTTGGGCAATCGAACCACCGGAGCCCTGGTCATCCCGTCCTTGAGAAGCACGCTGGTGGCACCGCCGGACAAGTGAATCGCCTTGCAGCCGCGGTTCGTGCTGGCGACCAAGCAGCCCTCGGTGGTGGCCATGGGGACGGAGTACTCCCCGCCGTCGAGCAACAAGGGGCCGGCGATTCCGACGGGGATCTGGACGTATCCGACGGGCATCTCGCAGCACTGACCTAGAATTGAATCGTAATCGAATCCTTCGAGGGGCAGCCCGGAGAGGGAACGGCCGGTGATCCTCTGGAGGGACTCGCGGCGGATCGAGGCGGCGCGCTTGCAATCCCCCAATTTGGATTCGAGGGAGTAGGAAGGCAACGCGCCGGAGACGACGGATTGGACGACCTCCTCGTCGTCCTGGGGGAGTAATTGTAATTCCATGGCGGGTGGAGGAGCGGCGGCTAGGTCTAGGGATTGGGGGCAGGCGGCGAATCTGCCGTCGACGACGACGACCTCGTCGTCTTCGTCGTCGGAGGGACGGAGGAGGAAGGACTGGACGTACTCGATGCCGAAGAAGCCGAGGAGGTAGACGAAGGAGGCGAGGAAGGCGAGGACGGCGAGGATCTCGGAGAAGGTGAGGACGTGGAGAGGGGTGGAGGTGCGGATCTTCTCCCGCCAGCGGGTGAGGAGGAAGTGGACGACGGAGAAGAAGAGGGTGAAGAAGAGGGCGTTGGTGAGGTAGAGCGGGAGCGGGAGGGCGTCGGAGGCCCGGCGGCGGCTGTCTTCTTCGTGGAGGGACTGGACAGGTGGCTTTTCGGTGGATCGGCGGCGGGGATCCATTGTTGGATAAGGAAAAGGAAAGGGAATTCGATCACGCCGGCGGGGAAGGGAAAGGGAAAAACGGAGGTTGAAATGCTCTGCCTGCTGCTGCCTCTCCGCCGTCTCCAATTTATGCTGTCGATGGAACTGACTCGAGAAACAATTCCAGTTTCCCGTTTTGCCCCTTTTCCTGAATTGAATAGTCGTTTTGTTTTTTGTATTAATTGGCGTTCTGTCCTTTTTCTTAATTCTTTTATTAATGAGCTGGCGTTCTGTGCTTAGACTTGTTTTCTTCTTATGCTTCGGTGTTCATTCCCTCTTTAATTAGTAAAAGGTGGGGAAGTCAAGAAAGGGAAACTACCACAGTTAAAAATATTCAAACACTGAAACAAACACAAACTTAATGATGAGAAATTTCTTAGGTGCTCCGGGAGCACATGTAACATGTGTGGTTTAATTAATTAAAAAAAATCATTTTTAATAATATTAAAGTGGCGAATCTCACCTCGACAAAATATAAGAGAGATCCATGGTTTATAGGTAAGAAAATATTAATCGACAAGGCGTAATCTGGGGTGAAGTGGATGAGTTTTTGTAAGAACTCTCAAAGTTAAACGTACTCACCGTGGAGCATTGCAATAATGAGCGACTTTATGGGAAGTCGCAGTGATATACACCCCAAGGCAAAATCTGTGAGAGTCTTAGATCCAAAACGGGCAATATCATGTCAGAAAAAGGTTTGGATGATTTTTAAAGGCTATCCATCACAAATTTTGGCCTTTTTTGGGAATGATATTCTTCACCGGTTTTGAAGGCTATCCATCATAGATTTTCGCTGATTATTTTGAATGATGTCATTCACTGATTTTGAAGGTTGTTCATCACAAATTTTGGCGAATTTTTGGGAATGCTATTTTTCATCGATTTTTAAGGCTATCCAGCACTGATTTTTGTCGATTCCTTTGAATGTTATTATTCACCGATTTCGAAAGTTATCCATTACAAATTTTGGGTGATTCCTTTGAATGAAAATTTTCACGAATTTTGAGTCCATCATAGATTTTGGCCGACTCTTTTCAATGTTATTATTCACCGATTTTGAAGCATATCCATCACATATTTTAGTTGTTTTTTGAGAATTTTATTTTCACCCGTTTTGAAGGGCTATCCATAACAAAAAAAATCAATTCCTTATAATGCTATTATTCAATGATTATCAATGCTATCCATAAGAGATTTTGGCCGATTATTTTGAATGCTCTTTTTCACTAATTTTGAAGGCTATCCATCACAGATTTTGGCCTATTTTTAAAATTATCAAAATGTCATTTTCTTTCGATTTGATGGCTACAGATAACGGATTCAACCCGATGCTATTCTTCACTGATAATGAAATCTATTGATCATATTCTCCATTGATGATTTAGTCTATTAAGCACCGATTTGGACGAATACATTTCTGGATGGTATTTTCATAATTTTTTGGCCGATTTTTTTCAAAAGGCCACTTTCCTTGGATTTTGAAGGCTACAGATCATGAATTCGACCTGGGGGTATTCTTCAACGATAACTAAGTCCATTAAGCACCGATTTGGGCAGATTTCTTCAGGGCGCAGTTTTGGATGACTCCAAAGGGGTACCATCACAGATTAATGGTGATTTTCCCAAAATATCATTTTCTTTCGATTTTGAAGGCTACAATTCACGGATTCAATCCGAGGCTATTCTCAACAAATAATGACATCTATTGAAGCTATTATCCACTGACGATTAACTCCATTAAGCCCTTATTTGAACGAATTCATTTTTCGGATGACATTTTGGTAATTTTTTGGGCAATATTTTCCCAAAGGCAATTTTCATTGAATTTTGTAGGTTGCAGATCATGCCTAGGGCTGGGAAAATAGACCAGACCGTTAAAAAAACCGTGGTCCAAACCGTACCGCACAGTTTGGTCCGGACCGTAGACCGTTAAGTATGGTCTGGTCTGGTCCATGGTCTGTATTATCTTATGTTTTGATCTCTTAGTCTGGTCTGGTCTAGACCGCGGTTTACCGGACCAAACTATGGACCCAACTGACTTGTCAATACGTGTTAACAGCCCATTCGACCACTCTCCCAACTCCTACAACGACACCCAGGTCTGAATCTTAGTTTTGTGAATCTCGTCCCTCCTTCACTCATAACCACATTTAACCAGAGAGTAGAGATAATCGTGTCTCCATATGACATTATGTTAATGTTTATGACGTTATGGTGCAAGTTGGGATGCTTTTACTTTGTATCTTTGTTATGTACTAAGATTTAGAGTATCAAAATTATTCATGCATGTTAGGATTAATGATTTAAGGCAAATAACAATTATTTTTCCTGGTTATTGGTTCAATTTTTTGTGTGTTTGACTAAACAAATTATTCATTTTTCGTTGAGAGTGGTCTATGTGGACTAGACCAGACCAAACCAGACCGCACAGGCGTGGTCTGGACCAGACCGTATAGTCTGTGGTCTGGTCTGTGGTCTATACTTTAGCCTCTCGGTCTGGACCATAGACCGTATATATGGTCTGGTCTGGACCAGACCGCACCGTTTCCCAGCCCTAGATCATGGATTTGGCCTGATGCTACTCTTCAAAGATAATTACGTCAAATAAGCACCGATCTGAGCGGATTTCTTACGGGTGCATTTTTGTCAGACTCCAAAGGGTGTATCATCACAGATTTCGTGTGATTTTCCCGAAATCCCTTTTTCTTTCGATTTTGAAGGTTATAGATCACGAATTCAGTCCGAGGCTATTCTCCATCAATAATAAAGTCTATTGATCCTATTATACAATGATGATTAAGTCCATTAAGCAGCGATTCGGGTGAATTCATTTTCGGATGACATTTCATAATTTTGTGGTCGATTTTTTCGAAAAGCTATTTTCCTTGGATTTGGAAGGCTACAGTTCACGGATTTGGCATGAGGCTATTCTTCAACGATGATTAAGTCTATTAATCCTATTCTCCACAGATGATTAAGTCCATTTAGCACTGTTTTAAGTGAATTCGTTTTTGGATGACATTTTTGGGCGATTTTTTTTAAAAGGTCATTTTCATTGAAATTTGAAGGCTACAGATCATAGATTCGGCTTGAGTCTATTCTTCAACTATGACTACAGTCCATTAAGCAACGATTTAGGTTGATTTCTTCCCGGTCCATTTTTGGCAGACTCCAATGGGGTACCATTATAGATTTCGGGCGATTTTCCCGAAATGCCATTTTTCGATTTTGAAAACTACAGATCATGGATTCACTCATAGGTTATTCTTCACCAATAATGAAGTCTATTTATCCAATTCTCCATCAATGATTAAGTCTATTAAGCACCATTTATGACAAATTCTTTTTGGATTACATTTTGTAATTTTTTGTGCGATTTGTTTCGAAACGCCATTTTCCTTGAATTTTGAAGGCTACACATCACGAATTCGGCCTGAGGCTATTCTTCAATGATGATTAAGTCCATTAATCACCAATTTGGACATATTTCTTCCGGGTGCATTTTTGACAAATTCCAAAGGGAGCATTACAAATTTCGGGCGATTTTCAATTAATGTCATTTTCTTTTAATTTTGAAGGCTACAGATCACTAATTCAGCCCTATAATATTCTTCACCGCTAATGAAGCCTATTGATCCTATTCTCCAATGATGATTAAGTTTATTAAACACCGATTTGGGCGAATTCATTTTTCAGATGGTATTTTCGTAAATCTTTGGGTGATTTTTTTCGAAACTCCATTTTCCTTGGATTTTGAAGGTTACAGATCACGGACACGGCCTGAGACTATTCTTCAACAATGAAAAAGTCCATTAAGCACCATTTGGGCAGATTTCTTCAAAGAGCATTTTTGGAAGACTCCAAAGGAATAACATCACAGATTTCAGACGATTGTCCCGAAATGCCATTTTCTCTACATATCATGGATCGAGTCTGAGGCTATTCACCACAAATAATGAAGTCTAGTGATGCTATTCTCCACCGACGATTAAGTACATTAAGCACCGATTTGGGCGAATTCATTTTCGGATGGCATTTTCGTAATTTTTTTGGCACTTTTTTCGAAATACAATTTTCCTTCAATTTTGAAGGATACAGATAACTAATTTGTCCTGATGCTACTCTTCAATGATGATTAAGTCAATTAAGCACCGATTTGAGCGGATTTCTTCCGGGTGAATTTTTGGCAGACTCCAAAGGGGCACCATTATAGATATCGGATTTTCCTAAAATGACATTATCTTTCGATTTAGAAGGTTGCAAACTACAAATTGTGCCCGAGGCTATGCTTCAATGATGATTAAGTCCATTAAGCACCAAGTTGAGCGGATTTCTTCCGGGTCCATTTTTCACAGACTCCAAAGGGGTACCATCACATATTTCGCGTGATTTTCCCGAAATGCCATTTACTTTCGATTTTGAAGGCTACATATCACGGATTCAGCCCAAGGCTATTCTCCACAAATAATGAAGTCTATTGATACTATTCTCAACCGACGATTAAGTCTGAAGCACCAATTTGGGTGAATTCGACTTCGAATTGCATATTCATAATTTTTTGGGCGATTTTTTTCAAAAAGACATTCGACCTAAGTCCATTAGGCATTAAGCACCGATTTGGGGCGGATTTCTTCCGGGTTCATTTTTGGCATACTCCAAAGGTGTAGGTGTACCATCACAGATTTCGGGTGATTTTCCCAAAATTTCATTTTCTTTCTATTTTGAAGGATACAAATCACGGATTCACTCTGAGGCCATTTTCAACGATAATGAAGTCTAATAATCCTATTATACACCGATGATTATGTCCATTAAGCACCTCTTTGGGCGATTTCATTTTCTGATGGCATTTTCTTAATTTTTTGAGAGATTTTTTCGAAATGCTTTTTTTCTTGGATTTTCAAGGCTACAGATCACGGATTTACCCAGAGGCTATACTTCAACGAAGATTAATTTCATTAAGCACCGATTTAAACGGATTTCTTCCTGGGTCATTTTTGGAAGACTCCGAAGGGGTGATCACAGATATCAGGCAATTTTCTCGAAATGTCATTTTCTTTCGATTTTCATGGCTAAAAATCACGGATTTAGCCTGAGGCTATCTTCACCGATAATGAAGTCTATTAATCCAATTCTCCACCGATTATTAAGTCCATTAAGTCTCGATTTGGGCGAATTCATTTTCAGATGTTATTTTCATAATTTTTTGTGTGATTTTTTCCAAAAGGCCATTTTCCTTTGATTTGAAGGCTACACATCACGGATTTGGCCTGATGCTATTCTTCAATGATGACTAAGTCCCTTAAGCACCAACTTGGGCGGATTTATTCAAGCTCCATTTTTTGCATACTCCCATCATAGTTTCAGGCAATTTTCTCGAAATGCCATTTTTTTGGTTTTGAAGGCTACAGATCACAAATTCAGTCTGAGGCTAATCTTCACCGGCAGTAAAGTCTATTGATCCTATTCTCCACTGATCGTTAAGTCCATTAAGCACTAGTTTGAGTGAATTCGTTTTCGGATGGCATGTTCTTAAATTTTTGGCAAGTTTTTTTAAAGGCCATTTTCCTTGGATTTTGAAGTCTACAAATCACTAATTCGGCCTGAGGCTATTCTTCGACGATGATTATGCGTATTAAACACCAATTTGGGCGAATTTTTTCCGGGTCCATTTTTGGTAGACTCCTAAGAGGTACCAACCATCATAGATTTTGCAAGATTTTCCCGAAAAGCCATTTTCTTTCAATTTTGAATGTTACACATCACGGATTCAACCCTAGGATGATGAAGAATGCTGAGCCCCATACAGTGACGTTTACAACAAGTTAAAGCAAAGTGATGTGCACCGTTTTGGCTATTAGCATCACTTATGTTTTTACTGTACAGTTTTACACGTGTATAACTTTAATAGAATTAATTTGTTTGTTAGTTATAGTTACCATTCAAATATAATTTATTGATCCTATTCTCCACCGATGATTAAGTCCATTAAGCACGTGTTTGGGCGAATTCATTTTCAGATGGCATTTTCGTAACTTTTTGTGCACTTTTTGACGAAAGGCCTTGTTCCTTGGATTTTAAAGGCTACAGATTGCGGATTCGGCTAGAGACTATTATTCAGCGATGATTAAGTTCATGAAGCACCGATTTAGGCGGATTTATTTTACGTCCATTTTTGGCAGACTCCAAAGGAGTAAATTCACAGATTTCAGGCGATTTCCCGAAACGCAATTTTCTTTGAATTTTGATGGCTACCCAACGAATTCAGCCCGAGTCTATTCTCCACCGATAATGAAGTCTATTGATCCTATTTTCCTCCGATGATTAAGTTCATTACTCACTGATTTGGGCAAATTCATTTTCGGATGATATTTTCGTAATTTTTGGGCAATTTTTTCGAAAAGCCATTTTCCTTGAATTTTGAAGGTTACAGATCATTAGGGATGGCAATTACCCACCCATGGGTAATTATACCCAAACCCAAGTAGACCCATTAATAATGGGTTGGGTATGGGTGGAGTGCACATGGGTTTGGGGGTTTGTAGATGAGTTTGGGTAAGGTATGCATATTGCTTCCATAATCTAAATGGGTATGGGTTGGATATGAATATCCATTTACTTGAGGGTGTTTTAACTACACATGCAAAAAATTGGACCTATTTGTAAAACTTGAAAATTTTAGGTACCAAAATGTAGCACCAAAAAAATTTAGGTACCAAAACGTAATTTTCCATCGATATTTTGAGGACTTATATGCAAAAAAAATTAGGTACTAAATATGCATATCTATTAAGTTTAGGTACCAAACTGTAATTTGTATTTGGGCATGGGTACAAACCCAAATCCATTTGTTATAAACCCAACCCAAAGTAAATGGGTATGGGTACAAACCCATCAAACTCTACCCATATCCATCTATTTGGATTTCATACCCAACCCAATTGGGTTGGATAGTAAAAAATCAATGGGTATGGGCAAAATTGCCATCCCTACAGATCACGGATTCGGCCTAAGGATATTCTTTAACGACGATTAAGTCCATTAAGTACCGATTTAGCCCGATTTCTTCCTGGTCCATTTTTGGCAGACTCCAAAGAGATACCATCACATATTTCGTGTCATTTTCCTGAAATGCCATTTTCTTTCAATTTTAAAGGCTACAAATCATGGATTTGGCCCAAGGATATTCTCCAGCGATAATGAAGTCTATGGATCCTATTCTCCACCGATGATTAAGTCCATTAAGCACCGATTTGGGCGAAGTCGTTTTTGGATGTTATTTTCGTAATTTTCTCGGCAATTTTTTCTAAATGCCATTTTTCTTGGATTTTGAAATCTACAGATCAGGGATTCCGTCTTTGGCTATTCTTCAACGATAATTATATCTATTAAGCACCGACTTGGGCGGATTTATTCTTGGTTCATTTTTTGCTTACTCCAAAGGGGTACCATCACAGATTTATGGCAATTTTCCCGAAGTACCATAATCTATTGATCCTATTCTCCACTGATGATTAAGTCCATTAAGCACTGATTTGGGCGAATTCATTTTCGGATGACATTTTTCGTAATTTTTTGGGCAATTTTTTAAAGGCCATTTTCCTTGGATTTTGTACGCTACAAATCACGGATTCGGCCTGAGGCTATTCTTCGACGATGATTAAGTCATTAAACATAGATTTGTGCGGATTTATTCCGGGTCCATTTTTTGGTAGACTCCAAAGGGTTACCATAACAGATTTTGGGCGATTTTCCCGAAATGCCATTTTCCTTCGATTTGGAAGGCTACAGATCACAGATTCAGCTCGAGGCTATTCTCAAATGATAATGAAGTCTATTGATCCTATTCTCCTCCGATGATTTAGTGTATTAAGCACCGATTTGGGCGAATTCATTTTTGGATGGCATTTTCGTAATTTTTTGGGCGATTTATTTCGAAAGGTCATTTTCCTTGGATTTTGAATGCTATAGATCATGGATTCGGCCTGAGGCTATTCTTCAACGATGATTAAGTCCATTAAGCACCGATTAGGGCAGATTTCTTCTAGGTCCATTTTTTACAAACTCCAAAGGGGTACCAACACAGATTTCAGGCGATTTTCTCAAAATGCCATTTTTTCAATTTTGAAGGCTACAGAACATGGATTTAGCCCGAGTCTATTCTCCACCGATAATGAAGTCTATTGATCCCAATTTTCACCTATTATTAAGTCCATTAAGCATCGATTTGGGCGAATTCTTTTTCGGATAGTTTTTTTGTAATTTTTTGTGCATTTTTTTCAAAAGGCCATTTGCTTGAATTTTGAAGGCTAAAGATCACAGATTCATCTTAAGGATATTCTTCAACGATGATTAAGTTCATTAAGATTTCAGGCGATTTTCAAAAGGCGGAATCCTTTCGGGTCCATTCTTGACAGACTCCAAAGGGGTACCATTACAAGATTTCAGACGATTTTCCCGTAATGCTATTTTCTTTCGATTTTGAAGGTTACAGATCAAGGATTCAGCCCAAGTCTATTCTCTACCGATAATGAAGTCTATTGATCCTATTCTCCACCTGATGATGAAGTCCATTAAGCACCGATTTGGGCGAACTCGTTTTCGTATGACATTTTCGTAATTTCTTGGGCAATTTTTTTTGAAAGACCATTTCCCTTGGATTTTGAATTCTCATGTATTCGGCCTATGGCTATTTTTCAACGATGACCAAGTCCATTAAACACCGATTTGGGTGGATTTCTTCCGGGTGCATGTTTGGGAGACTCCAAAGAGGTAGCATCACATATCTCTCATCAAAATCAATAGCCGCCGCAGCCTGCCCGACAGCCCACGACTCATAGCCAACACACTATATTTTATCCCAAAAAGCTTTTTTACTGCCTAGATTCTCTCCCTTGAGGTCGAGCCGAACTCGGTCAAGCAAGCTCTCGCTGACCCATGTTGGAACTCGGTTATGTGAGTGGAGTACACTGCTCTATTGTCTAATTACACATGGACTCGCGTGCCATGTCCACTCCATCAACATATTGTCTGGTGTCGTTGGATTTTTTGCATCCAACGCAAACTGGAAGGGTCCATTAATTGGTTCAAAAGCCCTCCTAGTTGCCAAGGGATTCACCCTCGCCCTGACATCAACTTTCATGATACATACAGTCCGACCCTCAAACTAGTCACTATTTGCACACTGTGCTCTATTGCTCTACCTAACCATTGGCCTATTTTTCAGTTCGATGTGAATAATGCTTTTCTACAAGGTTCTCTCTAGGAAACCGTCTACATGGCCCAGCCGCCTCCACGTCCCGACCCATCTTAATCATGTACGTTGTCTCTCTCGGCCGATTTATGGACTTTGTCAAGCCCCACAATCCTGGTATATGGAGTTGTCTAGTTTTCTTGATCAAAAAGGTTTTATGATGTCCAATTCTGATGCCTCTGTATTTGTCTACCACAAGGGCTCTGTGACTCTCTACTTCTTTGTCTATGTCGACGATCTTCTCTTAACGGGCAACCATGTGCCCTCTATCTCTCAGTTTCAAGCAAGGGTATCTGCTCTCTTCTTGCTCAAAAGACTTGGTGATGTCATCTACTTCCTTGGTATTGAAGTCCTCCCCACCACTAATGGATATCTACTCTCTTGACACAAGTATGTGCTTGATATCCTTGTGAGGTTTGCATGTCTGATACTCGCCTGACACCTACGCCGTTGTCTTCCACCGCCAAGCTCACCCTCGTGAACCGCACTCCACCAACTGATCTTACCTTATACTAGCAGGCGGTTGGCTCTCTCCAATAATTGCTCGGCACCTGCCCCGATTTTTCTTTCTTGGTAAACAAGCTTTCACAGTTCATGCATGCTCCCACCCAGCTTCATTGCAACATGTCAAGCGCCTCTTCGGCTATTTGAAAAGCACCTCCACTCATGGTCGTCTAGGACTAACCTCTGCTCCAACACCTACGTCACCGCATTTGGTGACTCTGATTGGGCTGGTGATCCTGATTCGGGCACTCGCACATGCCACCTCCAAAATTATATGGATTACGAAATCTGTTCAGTGAGCTCCATCAACCACTCTCCTCCACGTCGGCTCTGCACTGTGAAAATCTTGTGTCTGTCCACTTCTCTGTTAATCCAATAGATCACTCTCGCATGAAACATCTAATTCTCGACTACCTCTTTGTACGTGACGTCGTCCGATCGAAGAATCTTTACGTTCAACATATTCCCACAATCCATCAACTCGCGGACTTCTTGACTAAGCCACTGCCGATCACACGCTTCCAGCTCCGCCAGTTCAAGATTGGTGTAGTTCCCGCCACCATCTTGCAGGGGCGTAATTAGAGATCTTCTTAATTTAAATCATTTGTATATAATTAATGTAATTAGTTTAGTTAGTGGCTCAATGGCTGCTATCTTGTAACTACGTTTTTGTTGAAGAGTTGGTACTTAAACCACTCTCCTAATTAATGCAAACTACCACATTCAATCAATCACATTTTCACCTATTTTCAAGGCTATCCATCATATATTTTGACTGATTTTTCGAAATGTTATTTTTCACGGATTTTGACTACTATTCATCACAGATTTTGACCGATTCTTTTGAATGCTATTATTCATTGATTTTAAAAGTTGTCCATCACATATTTGGGGCGATTCTTTTGAAGGCTTATTCATAACAGGTTTTGGCCACTTTTTTTAATGTTATTTTTGTTTGAAAGCTATCCATCACAAATTTTGGTCGATTCTTTTGAATGGTATTTCTCAACGATTATGAAGTCTATCCATCATAGATTTGCGACAATTCTTTGGAATGCTATTATTCACCGATTTTGAAGGCTATCCATCAAAGATTTTGGCCGATTCTTTTGAATGCTATTAATCACTGATTTTGAAGGCTATCCATCACAGATTTTTTTTTTATGATTTTAAGTAATGCTATTATTCACCCATTTAGAAAAGCTATCTGTCATATATTTTTTTCCGATTTTTTGAATGCTATTACTCACCAATTTTGTATGTTATCCATCACAGATTTTGGCCGATTCTTTTGAATGCTATTATTCACCGATTTTGAAGGAAATCCATCACAGATTTTGGCTGCTTTTCGTGAATGTTATTTTTCACCGGTTTTGAATGTTGTCCACAACAGATTTATGTTGATTCTTTTGAATGCTATTATTCACCGATTTTGAAGGATATAAATAACAAATTTCGGCAGATTATTTTGAATGCTATTTCACCGATTTTGAAGACTATCTTTCACGGATTTTGGCCTATTCTTTTCAATGCCATATTCAACTATTTTGAAGACTATCCATAACAGATTCGGGACGATTATTTTTAATGCTATTATTCATGAATTTTGAAGGCTATTCATCACATGTTTTGGACGATTCTTTTGAAGGTTATTATTCACAATTTTGAAGGCTATCTATTACAGATTTTGTCCGATTCTTTTGAATGCTATTTTCGCCGATTTTGAAGGCTATCCATCATAGATTTTGGGCAGTTTTTGTGAATGCTATTTTTCACCGGTTTTGATTGCTATCCATCACAGATTTTTACCGATCCTTTTGAATGCTAATATTCAGGGACTTTGAAGGCTGTCAATCACAGATTTTGTGCAATTTTTGGGAATGCTATTTTTCACAAATTTAAAGGCAATCCATCCCAAATTTTGGCCGATTTCATTGAAAGCTATTTTTCACCGATTTTGAAGGCTATCCATCACAGATTTTGGTATATTCTTTTAAAAGCTATTATTCATCAATTTTGAAGGCTATCCATCACAGATTTTTGCCGATCCTTTTGAATGTTATTCACCAATTTTGAAGGCTATTAATAACAGATTTTGGCCGATTCTTTTAAATGTTATTTTACACCGATTTTGAAGGCTACTCATTACAAATTTTTGTCGATTCTTTTGAATGTTATTTTACACCGATTTTGAAGGCTACTCATCACAAATTTTGGCAGATTTTGGGAATGCTATTTTTCACCGACTTTGAAAGCTATCCATCAGAAATTTTGGTTGTTTCTTTTGAATGCTATTATTCATTTTAAACGCTATGCATTACAGATTTTGGCCGATTCTTTTGAATGCTATTATTCAACAATTTTGAAAGCTATCCATTAGAGATTTTGGCCGATTTATGGGAATGCAATTTTTCACATGTTATGACTTCTATCCATCACATGTTTTTGTCGATTATTTTCAATGCTATTATTCACCAATTTTTAAGGCTATCCAATATAGATTTTGGTCGATTCTTATGAGCTATTATTTACGGATTTTGAAGCCTATGCGTCACAAATTTTGTTCGATTCTTTTTAACGCTATTATCATGATTTTGAAGGCTATCCATCATAAATTTTGTCCAATTTTTGGTAACGTTATTCTTCACCGGTTTTGAAGGCTATCCATCACAGATTTTGGGTGATTCTTTTGACTACTATTATTCACCGATTTGAAGGCTATACATCACATATTTTGGCCCATTTTGGGAATACTATTTTTACCGGTTTTGAAGGCTATCCATCATAGAGTTTTGTCGATTCTTTTGATGCTATTATTCACCAATTTTGAAAACTATCCATCATAGGTTTTGGCCGATTTTTCTGAATGCTATTATTCACCAATTTTTAAAGCTACCCATCACAGATTCTATTTGATTTTTGGGAATGCTATTTTTACCCATTTTGAAGGCTATCCATCACTAATTTTGGCTAAGTCTTTTGAATGCTATTATTCACCGATTTTGAAGGTTGTCCATCATATATTTTTGTCGATTCTTTTGAATGGTTTTATTCACCAATTTGGAAGGATATTCCATCACAGATTTTGGTTGATACTTTTGAATGCTATTATTCACCAATTTTCAAGGCTATAGCTAACAAATTTTGATTGATTTTTTTGTTTTAACGATGTTATCTACCAATATCAAATGTTATCCATCACAGACTATCTGACTATGTTCAATTTTTGACAATGAAATTTGCTCAACGATTTTGAACGCTATAGATCACTGATTTTGGCAGATCCTTTTGAATGCTATTATTCACCGATTTTGAAGGCTATCCATCACTGATTTTGGCCAATGCTTTTGAATTCTATTATTCATCAATTTTGAAGACTATCCATCACAGATTTTGGCCGATTTTTGTAATGGTATTTTTCACTAGTTTTGAAGTCTATCCATCACAGATTTTGACCGATTCTTTTGAATACTATTATTCAACGATTTTGAAGGTTATCCATCACAAATTTTAGCCAATTTTTGAAAAATCTAATTTTCACCTTTTTTGAAGGCTATCCATCACAAATTTTTGTTGCTTCTTTTGAGATCTATTATTCACCAATATTGAAATCTATCAATCACATATTTTGGCCGATTCTTTTTGGTTTTGGTTTAACCCAAAATTGCGCTTATTCTTTATGGTTTCGGTTTAATAAGGGGTGCTAATTGGTACGATTAACCTTTAACCAATATGGCAGTTAGTGTTTAACCACTAAGCATAAAATGCATGCCGATAACCAAACTGATAGTGCTTATCGGTTAATTATTTATTATTGATTCGGTTAGCGGTTAGTTTGACGATTAAACGCTAATAAATAATAACCTCCACATGTGATACTTATATTTTTATTTTTATTTTGGGTTAATAGCATTTTGTACCCTTCTACTATGGTAAATTAACAAACATACCCCTCTACTAGATTTTTGCACAAATATACCCTTCTAAAATTAAAACGTAACAAATTTACCCTTCCATCCATTTATCTGTTAAGTGACCGTTATATGGTGTCCTTTTTAATACTAAAATATAATCATATAAATGATTACAAATAATCAAAAGTCTTCATCCAACTAGCGAGTTCCAACTAGCAAGACATCAAACACAAGCAACACAAGATCATCATCATCCACAAACATCAAATAAAAAGACAACTACGGTGCGAGGGACTGCAAAGTGGAGTCAGAGAGAGGTGACTTTCGGGTTCTAATTCTTGAACATATTTGAGATTTTGAGGGGAGGCTTGTTTGCAATAGGGTGTAAATTAGAATATATTTGGAATTTTTACTTTGGTTGGTTTTGAATCTTAGGACTTTTCGTCTTAGCTAAAAATCCAAAACAATGTCATTATTACTAGTAGGCGGTTATCGATTTTCATATCGGTTAACCACTAAACAAAATACAGCTAACCAAAATAGAACCACTAAGAAAATATTGAGGTTATTGGTTAATAACTAACCATTTATCATTCCAAGTTTAACCACAACTGTTTTTCCACCCCTACTCCCGGAGAACCTAAGAATATATTTGTTTATTAAAATTCTATATGGTGTCCTTTTTAATAATAAAATATAATCATACAAATTAGTAACATAATTAAATTAAATAATAATAATTATAAGAAATAACATCAATCCAATACAACACCTGTCGTGAATAAATAATCCAAATTCAAACACATAATATTACAAATAATCAAATGTCTTCATCTAACTAGCGAGTACCAACTAGCAAGACATCAAACACAAGCACCACAAGATCATCATCATCCATAAACATCAAATAAACGAAGACTACTACGGCGCGAGGGTCTACAAAGTGGAATCATACATAGGTGACTTTTGGGTTCTAACTCCTAAACATATTTGAGAATTTGGGAGGAGGCTTGTTTGCAATAGGCGTAAATTAGAATGTTTGGAATTGTTACTTTGGTTGGTTTTGAATCTTGAGAGTTTTTCTTTTCATTAAAAGTCCAAAACAATGTCATTATACTAATAGGCGGTTATCGATTTTTATATTAACCACTAAACAAAATACAGCTAACCAAAACCGACCACTAAAAAAATATTGGAATTATCTGCTAACAACTAACCATTTACCACCCTCAGGTTTAACCACAAAACCGCAACCGCTTTCCCACCCCTACAAGGAGACAGCGGCGGATCTAGGGATGGGCCAACCCGGGTCACGACCTAGCCCTCCGCCGGATCTAGAGCTAATATAGTGCTTACAAATTTTACGAATTTATGTATTGTGCTCCATATAGAATACCCCAATTTAGCCTAGAAATTCTAGCCCGAATGATTTTCATTTGAAAAAAAAAACCTAAATTTCTTAAACGTAAAATACCGTATAAAGTTTCATTGAAATAAGAAAACCCTCTAAACAAATTGATTTGTTGGTTGATTCGTCTAGTGTTGACCTTGCTCGTTTATAGCGCCTACCTGGAGTGAACATTTTAAGCGATGAATTTTTCATTGATTGCATAGCTATAGCTATTATATATTTTTGGGTAAATAAAATTTATTAACCAAACCTTTAAGATTTTCCATATTATTAGCCAAATCTTTCAAAATATAAAATATTAGCTAAATCTTTTGTAATGCATAAAAATATTAGCCATTTGTTTGTTACCGTTGGTAATTTTGTAATTATTTTCTTATTTAAAATATGAATTTTTTTGGAATGTTGACTATTTTGTTTCCGACAACTAATATTATATTCAAATGCGGCCCAATGCTCTACTATGTTCTGGATCCGCCGCTGCAACGAGAACCTAAGAATTTTGCCTAATTGATGGAGGAGTCTTTTCTACTCGGTAGATTTCTACCTTAATAGGAGAATAAATCTTCCTCTTTTAGTTCAGAGTTCACTCTTTAGTCTTTACTTCTACTACTTCTCTTCTCCCCCTCTTCTTGTATATTTAACCGTGCCACACTGTAACTTAAAGTCTCAAAACATAAAAGAAAAACAACCCCAACCCCGGGGGAAAAAAAGTGACTCCGACGCCCGACCCAATGTCCCGGCGATATCAGCGGGCGCTGGGGAAGAGAGTGATCGACCATGGGAGGGAATTCACGCTGCTGGTCGACGTCAGCTCGGCGGCGGAGATCGACTCCTTCGCCGACCACGGCGACGTCGGCCCCGACGATCGGTGGTACCGGCTCAATCTGTGGGTCGACCCGGCGGATCAGGTTTCGACCAACACGGTCCGGACCTGGACCAGCCCGGTCTGGAGGCAGAGGCTCGAGATCCCCGTCGTGGTCGGGTCGCTGAACTACGACGGGACGCTGAGCGTGGAGGTGGAGCGGGACGGGCGGCCCGAGTCTGTGCCCGACCCGGGGACGTCGCGCGGGAACGCCGTCGTCGGGAGGGCGAAGGTGAGAGTGCCGAAGCTGGGGGAGGAAAAAGGCGGGAGATTTGGGCTCGTGAGGGCCGAAAGAGGGGAGTGTAGTGCGGAAGGGTTCGTGTTCTTGAACATGAAGTTGGTGAAGAGAGAGATTTGGGGAGGAGGAGGCAGGTATTATGATTGATCGGAAATTCATGTTGAGTTTCGAGGGTTAGGGTTTTATTTAGGGTTAACTTTCTAATGTGGGAGAGTCATCGGATCTTTTGTTGATGTATGTTGTTATTAGTTTCGGATCAACTCTCGGATATATAGATTTTTCGTCGTAACGGAAGTACGGTTGGTATCAATTTAGTACTACAGGATTGTGCTCCATATATATTTCCTCGTTTTATCTAAGTCGAGGTAAGCCTTTTCGATCATCATCTTTATATGTCGTTCTGATGAGACTAAATGGTCTACTCTCTAGTATTTCGAATTTTATTTGATCATATGTGTCTAGGGCATGGTCCATGAAACCGTACCGGAAAAGTCAGCGATGGGATATTTTATGACAAAACCGTGGTTTAACCGTAGTTCAACCGTTAGTACCGTTAAATACCGCCTATTGGTTTAGCCTCCGATACTGGTATTTTGTGGTTGAACCGTCGGTACGGTACGGTTTAATGGACCATGGTCTATGGACTAACCCTCGGACAGATAATTATCTTCTTGCTTTGGTATGAGAATCGATATGTTTTTTCTATCATTATCGTATATGTTGTCACAAAGAAATGGTTAGTTAGTGTTTCAAATTCTCCCTAGGTAATAACTTGCTTCTTGTGTATGATTTTTAATGTATATTGTTTATTATTTCGGTACTGATTACGACGGATCTTCTCATTGGTGTAATGTAGATGTAGTATTGATCTCGATGATTACCAGAATAATCTACTTAATGAGTTTTGTTATCTTTGGTACGAATTGAGATGAATTTGTCATTGTGTGTTGTGCTAAATGCTCTAATATGCTAGTTGATATCTATTGAAATCCTGATCCTGCTTTTTAGATTCATGTCATTTGTAACAGAATTGGTTGGCAATGCTTGGTCTTTTATTGAGTGAAGTTCTTGAATTGGCTTTTGGTGTTTTGATATGTTGTTTGTTTGTTTGCTGGAATGTCGAATTGAAGGCAAGGTCGTATTTCAAAGGTCGCAACCAAAAAATCTAGTAGTCGGTGTGGTAGTTTTTAAACTCACGATAACGTTGATTTTAAATCAATTTTGACTACATACTTCAAGGAGAACTGATTATTTGATTAACAATGTCTATTTCAAAGGTCGTAGTCGGTGTGACCGTTTTCAAACTCACGATAACGTTGATTCTAAATCAATTTTGACTACATACTTCAAGGAGAATTCGACATGTCGTGTCAATGCTGATTCTGTGGCAAAAACTACATTGAGACACAGTTACGGTTAAGTAATTTACAGTAATTCCATATATTTTGTTCCATATGTTTGTCTCAAATAATAACTTGTTTTTTGCGTCGGTTTCTCGACGTGGTTTTCTTACTTTGAAACGGATTGAGATAGATCTCTCTCTCAATGTTATTCATTCTGATGTATAATATGGCATTGGTCTATAGTACCAAAACCTATTTTATGGGTCTTTGTCAAATTCTTGATGTTGCTGGTTACATTCAATGTCAATTGGAACAAATCCTCATTACTTATAACTTTATTCCAAACGATTGATCTAATAGTAATCTGAAATTGGTTTGATAAATTGTATTGTTCCGATTTATAAGAAAAAACACACGAGAACTTCACTCCATAAATGACCAACAGACCAAACATTAATCAACCGATTTTGAAGTTAATGAATCACACAAACTATTCTTGAGTTCTTTTCCACTTCTAATATGTAGTAAATTATCTCAGTTTTCGATTTTGTTGTTCTATGTGGTTTTAATTGTTTAAATTCCCTACACATGGCAATGGCATTTGAGTGCACCCTTTAGTTGATGAATAATATCGATATCGAAAATCTCAATCAAAATCAAATAGTTAGTGACAGTTTTATTCATGATAATGTCCATTGACCATTATGATTGCTTATAATAAATAAAGACGTTCGCATCCCCACAAACCCTACAATGAAACTACGTACATTACATCAAAACACAATTAACATGAACACGCAAAGAACCCGTTAATTGACACACCTTAACAACTCTTTTTCCATTAAAATCGGAAAAACTCCAAACGACAACGCATCAATAATCCACCAACTAACACACTATAACAACCCTTTTCCATTATCAACCGATTTTGAGGTTAATGAATCACACAAATTATTCTTGAGTCCTTTTCCCCTCTAATATGTAGTAAATTATCTTAGTTTTTTATTTTGTTGTTTTACGCTGGTTTTAATTGTTTAAATTCCCTACACATGGCAATGACATGTGAGTGCACCTTTTAGTTGATGAATAATATCGATATTAAAGGGTATCAATCACAAATCTAATAGTTAGTGGTAGTTTTATTCATAATAATGTCGATTGACTAAATAATTGCTTATAATAAATCAAGACGTTCGTATCCCACAAATCCTACAATGAAACTACGTACATCACATCAAAACACAATTAAAGATGAACACGCAAAGAACCCATTAATAGGATAATCAAAAGCCTCAAACATTATAAACCACACTATAACACCTCTTTTCCCATTAAAATCGGGAAAACTCCAAACGACAACGCATCAATAATCCTCTAACTAACACACTAATACGAGCCGGACAAAGAACAGAAGAAGAAAAATTATACACTCGAATTAAAAAATTAAAAAGAAAAAAAACACACACAATATTATCATTAGTCGATAATTATCACCACTAATTTCCCGACGAGTTCTTCGGCTTCGGCAGCAGAGTAGCGGCGCAGATCGCGCTGACAAAAGCCACCACCGTCCCGACGATAAACGCCGGCAAGTTTCCGCCGCCGAACGCCGCATCGAACGGCCCGCTCCCGAGCGAGATCACCATCTGCGGCAGGCAGATCGCCAGATTCACCACCCCCAGCGACAATCCCTGCCCGGCGCCGGAGCCGTGCGAGTAGATCGACGCCATCGCGAACGGAATGCTGTACGTCACCGCCAGCGGCAGCCCCAAAACCCCGAACACCGCCAGCGCCCCGTTCTTGATCCCCGACGACGGTCCCACCGCCCCTCCACCGCCGCCGTATCCCCTCCGCCTCTCTGTTTCCGCCAATTTCGTGATCACAATCGTCATCACCAAGCAAACCCCCAAGACGAAATTCACGAGTCCCCAGAGCATCTTCACTCCCAATTTCCCCGCCAACGGATCGATTGCGAGGGAAACGACGAGGAGGACGATCGAATTAATCATCAACCCTAACGACCCGGCCCGAACCCCGCGGTCGTACAGCCTGACCCGACCCGGATCCCCTTGCGAGCTCCCGCCGTACACTTCCCTCCCCATCCAATCGGTGTCGTATAGGACCCACGGAAACCACGCAATCCAGTTGAGACACGTCACCAGCAAAAGCATCCACATCGGACGGTCCAGATTTCTCAACGCTGAAAACACGCTTGTGGTACCACCACCACCACTTTTTCCTCCTGACGTTGACTTGTTGTTGTTGTTGGCCTCAAGGTTCGAACCTGATGGTTCGGTGGTGTTGGGGTCCCACGGCTGCTCACGGACGTACGCGACCGCGACGACGGTGAGGAAGATGAGGAGGGCGGCCGAGATGAAGAAGCACGACTTGAGGTTCGCGCAGTAGACGTCGCAGGCCCGGGTCGCGGCGAAGCGAAAGAGTGGAAACTCGTGGAGGCCGTCCTGGGCTCCAGCGAGGTAGCCCAGGACGTTCCCCACGCCCATGAAGCACGAGAAGAGCGCGTTGGCGAACCGGGTGAGCCGCTGGCTCTCGCCCGAGAGGTCGCCCAGCAGGGCCCTGCAGGGGCCCTGCAGCATGTTGTTGGAGACGTCCAGGACCCAGAACCCGACCACGAACACCGCAATGGCCCGGGTCCTGGGCCGACCCTTGTCGAGCGAGTCGCCGTAGCGGTGGCCGATGTCGGCCGCGAAGCCGATCAGCAGGACGGCGACCACGACGAGGACCATCCCCGAGAGGATGAACGGGGTTCGGCGGCCGAACCGGCCGGTTCGGCGGTCGCTGAAGTGGCCGACCAGCGGTTGGACCACGATCCCGGAGATCGGGCCGCAGAGCCAGATCATTGCGGCCCACCTGTGGGGGATGCCGAGGAGCTGGACGTAAGGGGTGAGGAGGGACAGCTGGAGTGCCCACCCGAACTGGATGCCGGCGGCGATGGAGGCGACGGCGGCGATTTTCTTCAGTGGCCTTTCTGGTGGTGGCGGTGGCGGAGAAGCCAGCGACGTCGGTGAAGCTGCTAGGGTTCCCATGATTTGCTCAAGGTTTTGGAAGAGAAGGTGTTTTTGAAGGATATGGAATGCGGTTTGCGGGTATTTTGGATTTGGTTTTATAGTGGGGCTGTAGTAGGGAAGGAAGAACTTTAGCCGGGAAGGTTTTTATTGAGTTGTATTTTTTTTTTTTTTTTGGTTGCTCTTTTGGTGATAAGACTAGCTAGCTGTTTAATCTCGTTTTGGTAATTTTTTTTTTTGTGTTTCCATCTATTATAGTTTTACCTAATTTGTTATTTGAAAAATTAGATTATGGATTTGCTGATATGGAGGCGTAACGTTTTACTGATGGGAGACATCGGCGTATACGTAACGCGAGGGCGACAAAGTTACGTGCGGTTTAGAAAGGAGTCTATAATTTTGAGCTGTCTATTTGATTCGTAAAATGTATGTAAACATATGTGGTAGAGAGTGATTCTACCATAGAGTCATATTGTAGTTTTCACTATAATGACAATGGAAATAGAAAGTAAAAGTAAAATAATTGCTAGCATAATCACGTGAAAACCCTTATTTAGGGTAATCTAAAATCTCTATTGAATTCTTTCCCTCTAATTACATTTGAATATGGAAGGGGAAATCAGTGGATAAGATGAGATTTAATGATGGATGACGATTATAATCATCAATTGGTAAGTTCTATGCATATAATAAAGAAATAATTATTAAAGTTATTCGAAAAAACAACCAAAAAATGTTTTATTTATTTATTTTATGGTACAGAAGGAGATTGAGCATTGCAGGCTTCGAAATGAGAATCTCTAAGTTCAAAATACAACGCTACACTCATTTTATCAAACTTAAGTTGACAATAAGCAACAACAAAAAAAATTATAGTAATAAGCAAAAAATTTAGAGTGAACTAGTATACCAAAATTCTCTACGGTAATTAATGAGGGAAGGAGTGGATAATCTTTGGCCGGTGGATTTATCACATTAGGATTAAAGGGTAAGAGGAATTTCCTAGTTTAAGACAATGGTAATCAAAATGGATAATTACTTGAATATCAAGTCATCATCCATTTAATAGGGGGATTCCGATTCTAATTTTTAATTAGGTGAGACTAATCTTTCGCTAAAAACTTCGAACCCGATTGAAAGAGTGAAGAGAAAAGAAGATGTGTGTGATTTTTCCAATTTTCATCACTTTCGAAATGATTATAGGGTCCCAACTAAATCCAATTAACTTAGTACCGTATAAAGTTTTTACATAAATGGCTTTTTTTATTCTTCCTTTTTAACAATCTTTGTAGGATATGAGTCATTGAAAGATAATTGTTACCTAATTACGTTCTGGACATTTAAATCAGAGATCTTAATCTCGATTATGGTTAGGTGACTTATGCCCCACGCATTATCCATTTTGAAACTTGGATTGAGGAGTTTGTATATGTATATTAGGGTTTAGTCAGCACGTCGGAAAATGAAGGTGCACCCCCAATGGCCATGCATACGTACCCATCTCATAAAGGGTAATTCGCCACCTTATTTTGAACCGACAGAACCATGGCGGGTCTTTCTCAAAGTTTTTAGCTATACTAAGAGTTTGGGGTGTTAGAAGAGAGAGAGAGAAAGAATCTGTTCGGTAAGGTCGATCGTGAATTTTACTAAAAATATAGATGATCAGATGTAAGATAATGTTGTAGTGGTAATTTGAGTCGTGTATTGTGGCGGTTTCAATCTAGCAAAATTTATTGAGTATTATTATTATATAACCTAGAAGGACGACAAAAAGAGGCACCGAGAGTCTTAATTCTCACTCTCATTATGATGTCTGATCAACTCTTGACATAGAAAAAATGAGTCCTCTTTTGAGTTATTCCCGATATATTATTGTATTTCATGTCATCTATGTATCTTGATTCTTGACTTCAATAGATCACTTTATAACTCTAATAAGTTTATTTTGATGCATCAAAGTGGATATTTTCAAATTAACCACATGTTAGCATATCAACACACATCGATCATGTCTCAACTCAGTTAATCTTGTCTGAATTATATTTTTCTGCATAAACAAGTATGAATATCAAAATAGCTGCCAACCTTGTGAATAATGACGGAACTAGGTTGAAGCTATGAGGGGTTATAGCCCTACTTTCAACTGTAAAACAAGTAAAGTTACCTATAAAATTCATAACAAATTTAGAAAATAAAATAATTCAAAAGTCTTATAATCTCATTCAAATTTCTCACTTCCCAGTTGAATATATCTCAAGGAAAGGGATATATTATGATAAAGTGTGTTAGTTAACAATGATTTGACTATCCAAATTAACCTTATGATGGTAATTGGCAAGAAGCAGGGCGGTGGGCAACCCTACGAATAAGGAAGGAGCAGAAAATATTTAGCCAATAGAAGGCACCGCATGGCCACAAATTTAAGTAGGGTTTTGATTAGAGAGACTCCAATTTTTTGACCACGAAAGGAAGAAAACAATGAGCCCAATGGCTGTAGGTCATTCCTGTTTTTGTTATGCGTTGGAAATTGGTCGGCAGAGGGAGGCAACATTATCCATTATCAGATTTGTTCATGAAGGCTAGCTTTTTTTCGTTTTATCGGATGTAACGACAAGTATTGAGATTTGAGAGTTCGTTTTCTCGACGTGTTAACTGTTAGATACATTTTGAAATAGAGTAGAAGTTGGTTTTGTAAACATTTTTATGAGATATATGTTGTGGGACATTGGATCTGGTGATTTCGAAGCGGATGACATTCAAACGCTTATCTCGTAGAAGATCTTATTGACAAATAATATCACTGAATCATGTGTGATAGAATGAGCGCCGTCTATCTCTAGGTATGCATGAGCTCGAGCTCGTTAATCCATCCTCGACAATTTGTTCGATTCTCAAAGACGACGATGAGAACGTCTATTTTAAACGTCAGATTACTATAGAACATTCTTCTTCCTCTCTTACATACAAGTTACCTAAATGTATGGATTGTGAAGACGAGAGGTAGTGATGATTTTGCCATCAAACTAAACATTCAAAGTACTTAAAATGGATGGAATCGATTAAACCCATTAATTACAACAAAGCTCATCGAAGAGACAATTGAAATTAAGTAACAAGACAAAGTTTTTCTGATTTCTTAGGTGTCGTTGCTCCCTATTGTTGCCACTATAACATGTGAGTGGCTGGCCCAACTGATAAAGAGGACCATATGAACTTGGCGTCATCCTCGCCTTCTTCTTATATAATGCTTTGTTTTTCTTCACGGGTGAGGCTTTATTTGATCAATGCATTGGTACCTTTCCATAGCTAGATCATGGACGAGCCTTGGTAAAATCAAAATCCAAGTCAGTTCGAAGAGCCCCTAACCATTCTCAAGACTTCTGTTGAGACTTGAGAGTAGTATACCCGCCACGTTAGTACGATATTATTCGCTTTTGGTAAAAGAATTGCACGAATTTGTTTTTGGACACCTTCTCAAAGGGACTAGGTACTAATAGAGCTAGGCAGACACTTGTATACAAGAAAACATTCTCTTATTTTCCGATACGGTAGTTAGATTGTACTCCAACAATCCTTCCTCTACACTAAGGAACACGTCCGTACAGTGGATTTATCATTCCATTTCATGTTTGTCACTAGAAAATTTTAATTGAATTATTGGGGTAAAATACCCCTCGTACCATCAAACTCTTAGAATTGGGGGAAGAATACCATTAAAGTACAAATAGGGCACTAAATGTCATTTAAGTTAATAAAATGTGCATCTCTCTACTTTTTCATCCACCCTACTAAGTACTAACAGAAGAAAAAAGAAGTGTTGACCATGGTGAAATACACCGGTGAGTGGTGAGCTAGCTTTTGCTATAATAAAAAAAAACAAATTACCCAAAATTCTTTGAATCCTCTTTCTCAAGCGAACATATGGATCCGTCTCTCCAAACCTTCTTCAATTTTTGCCAACAAATCCTCATTCGTGTCAAAAGTTTCATTTAGGCGGATGTTTTGAATTTCGATATGAAGGAGGAAGGGTAATGGCTAGTGAGACTTTGATGCAGGCAAGGGACAACTGTGAGGAAGCAGGGTGACGGAGGAGGAGAAAGAATAAGAAGAGGATCGTCGGGAGGAGGTTCTTTCACGCAATTTTGGTGTTGTTGGTTTTCCCATTTCAAAACAGGGGAGAGAGAAGTTGTAAATCTATGGATCTCTCTTACGACGGCATTCTCTGATCTCTTACGACTACTTCGTCGTTGAAGACGACGACGACGAATGAAAGCGTCTAACAAATTCTCCTAAATCAATCACTGTTTCGTATTCAATGAAATTTGCGTTTCTAGAGAAGCCATAAAGAATAACGGTGGGTTTGATGAGAAGTATAGGAGAGAGGTGTGAGGTGGGATTTTGTTAAAGACAAATCTGTTCTTCAATTTTGGCTATGGAGAAATTTGTGGGTGGGAGCAATTTACAGAGAGAAAACGAAAAAAGTGGAGGAAATAAGTTTTATTTTATTGAATTTCTTGGTTCGGATAATTTATTCGTTCTTTTATTTGAATAAAAGATAGAGCCGACAATCTATAAAGCTCATGGTGGCTGAGGTGACAAATTTTTTCTATCATTTGTTGAATCGATGGAAAATTGGATAGATGCACATTTTATTGACTTGAATGATATTTGGTGTCCTAATTACACTTTAGTGGTATTCTTATCCCAATTCTTAAAATTCAATGGTATGAAATACATTTTACCCAAATTAGTGGTCACTAACTCTACAGTTCTGATGAAGTGTAATGGGTAGTTCGATTTACCCTCCCTGCAGCTTATTACTTGCCTTTCTTCCCCATGTGTTGCATCTTGCAAGACCAAGGTGGTGCAGTGACCCATATTGAGTTGTTGTGGCTCCGCCACGTATGCGTTGTGAGCTGCCCTGCAGCGCTATCAAACCTCCAACCACCTCGTATTGCGAGAATTTTCAATCGATACAAGGGATTATACACATATCTCAATTTCTTCTATCATATACAAATTTCCAATCACGATGTCACGGAATGAGGGACTACACAACATCAGTGTTGCACATCCAATCCTTTAGGTCTGAACACTGATACCACTTATTGAGATCGAACACTACAAATTAGTACAAAAATGTTGGATTTGCTCTTGAACACCATGCTAAAATTAGTACTTTTGAGTGAGTAAGATTTGAATGGGAGTTAGATTTCAGTCCATCATCAAACTGAAATCCAACTCCCAACAGCAATTGGATACGATGAGTCCAATGTCCTAAACTACTCACTCAACTTAGCCCAATAACAATCCGTAATGGATAAGGAGAACAGGTCCAAAAAAATATTTCATGGGCCGGGCCCACAAACCGAAACATATATAAACCGCCCGAACTCCAGCTTGGACTATTCTTCTCCTCCTCCAATTCCTCTTCCCCACCGTCTTCGGAGAACCAGCCAGCAGCCAGAAAAGAACACCGCCGTCGCCGTCATCATTAAAATCCCCCGCGAAAATCCCTATATCCTCTCTCTCTAGCCATTCCCATCGTTACAAAATTCTCCCTCCCAAGAAAATCGAAGGAAAATCCTGCAAAAAAGAAACCCCTCGATTGATGCCGTCTGTTGATCTTGCGGATCCAACTGCGGAACCCATCGATTTCCGGCGCCGGGTGGTCCAGAACGTCCAATCTTTCATTCAGGTCAGCCTCTTATCTTCCCCATGGCGGGTTTTCGAGAATTTTCCCAGATTGGGTTTTCCTTTTTGTTCGATTCTAGGGATTGGGTTTGTTTCTTTTTTGAGCTTTTCTCTCGCGATCGCGATTAAAATTTCCCCCAATTTTGTTCGGTTTGTGATTGTTGCAACGGAATTCGTTTCCCAGAAACTGTTGACGATGGCTGGGAAGGGAGCGACGAAGGCTGCCAGCACTCGCTCTGCCGAAACCACCACCGTCAAGAGGGTCGCCGGCGGCGGCGCCGGGAAGAGGGAGGAGAGGAACAATTCCAATTCCGCCGCGACGGCAGCGAAGCGGCCCAAGGCGGCGTTGACCGCGCCCACGGTCAGCTCGAGCGCCAAGGATGTCAGTAACAACAACAACAACAACAAACCGTTAACAAGAGCAGCAGCTGCTGCTGCTGCAAAAGCTTTAGAAGAGAAGCTGAAATTGGAAGGTGGAGCGACGAAGGGCTCTGTTGATTCCAAGGCAAAGGCTTCAGGAGGGGCAGCAAAGGTAGCGGTAAAGAACCAGAAGGAAGTTCCTCCGATGGCGAAGAAGCAACCAGTTCCTAAGAATGCAACTCCGAAGGAGAAACCTGAGGCAGCTTCGAAAGCTCAAGCTCAAACTCAGTCTCAACCTACAGGGGAGAAGCTGAAGCTAGGGCCACAGAAGACCAGTCCGAAGGCGAAAGCTACCAAGCAGAATGCAGAAGAACAACAAGGTTCGAAAGGGTCGCCGAGAAAACAGCAGCAGAGGAAGAAGGCAGCGAATCCTTCCCTGTCGCAGAGCAAGGAAGCAGTGGATCAAGGGATGACATATTACCTGAAGTGCGATGAAGCATTGTATGCTGATTTAGTGGGAGGGGATGAAGGGGATAATGACTGGAAGCTAGGGGAGAACTGCATGATTTGCGAGACGGATCTGGCATATGCACCTGTCCCACCTGAGACCGAATCGGGGGCTGTGAACTTCCCTGAAGCTGCGGTTCTAGGGTGCGGCCATGTCTTCCACTCGCTGTGCTTGGATATGGCTTCCGATGGGCAAGGCGGCGAGCCTGATTGCTTCATATGTGCAAGCCTTAGCTGAAAGCACGCACGAATTCCTTACAGAAGTGTAAATCGTAGGAGGAATCAAAGTGGTAGACATAATTGTTAGACTGAGATAAGAGAGCAAATTTTTTGAATGGTTCGGCCATAGGAAGAGCAACCAATTCATGTTTCTTCCATGGGTTATAGTAGTAGAGGATAGAGTCATAAAATGAACATTTTGATATAAGTAGTCTTCTAAGCCTTCAAGGCGAATTTTAAGGCATTGATTCTATTGCATATGTTGAATTAGAGTGTTTTGGTCCTATGCATAATCATATACTTGTGCCAACTGGAATAAGATATATCACAAGAGCAACAAACTTCTCCGTTGATGCATAATCAAATTCGATGGGCACGAGCATCTTCGTCGATCCCTGAACTAGGTAGTTCTTGTTCTGGATATAAGATCTTTGAATCGACAACTTGACAAATAGAATGAGATCAGAGAAGCATGTGAAGAACTCTCAAATCTGCAGCTACCAGAATATAGTCACAAGGACAACATCCTGAAACTATGTACTGATATGAAATGCTAAGAGAAAGAAGAGAGGTAACAAATCTACAACGTACTATCCACTTTGTTTTTTGTACATCGGGAAGGAAATCTGGGGATTCTTCATCAAAGCCAAATCTCAGAATCCCAGTTTCACCCCCTTAGGGTTCAAACAAATCCTCAAGCATCCTTCCTATCAGCAAGAGATTGGACATCTGCATATGTAATTTTAAACAAACAAACAAACAAGCAAATCATCTTCATCACAAGAAAGAAGAGGAGAGGGAATAACTATTATCATTGATATCAACAATCATAGGGGGGATGGAACTGCAAATCAGGCGAACAATATCTCGACTATCATCTACTCTGTTTCTCTCCACCATCTTCCTCCGATATATGGAACAGGAATTTGGGGAGAGACGCGATTCGAGGGAGCTGAAGCAGGAGATCTCCAAACGAGTCTTTTCTCGACATCCCTGATGGTGCCTTGATGCTCGACGAGACAGCATCCTTCATGTTGTTCCCTTCAGATGGTTTGAATTCTGGGAACAAAAATCCACTTGGTTGATTCAGCTGGAAAACCGAGTCATTGCTGCTTCCCTCTCCAATGGTCTGCAGATTCTGATGTGATGAAGAGTCGGGATCCTTCTGCAGGAGGCAGCAGAGAGAGTTGACCCTAGCCATTAGCCTCTTCTCATCTGAGGATGATGTGTTTTGGGTGTCACTTAGAAGGTATTGAGCTATGTCTTCCAATATCTCCTGGCATTCTTCTCCATCTGCGGCCAGGGATGATGTATTGCCGGAGTTCATCTGGCCTGAAATACAGTTTCCAATGTGATTCATGAGATCGCTCATGGACATTGATGGTGTAAGGCCTGGCACTTTTATCTGATCCCAATTCCTCGGTGCTCGTGAATCCACAGACTCGAAGTTTCCCCTTCCTTCAATTGAATGAGTATCCATCACTGATAGGAACAAACAAGCAGTTGAACTCACTAACATGAAACACGAGGGAGATATATGATAAAAATTCTTCCTTTGCATGGTAAGCAATTAAAGACCAACCAGTTCCCTTAGATTCGATATAAAGAACCTGATATCATACCTGAGCTGGGAGAGGGGGCTTCACGGGACATGAGTTCTGATGTTGTACCAGTATGATCCCCTCGATCCATATCCAAGGAGGATGAATGACCAGCTGATGGTGAAGCCAGATTCTGGAAGCCAGCTGCTGCAAATGATGAACCTCTTCCATTCTCCACTTGGTTAAGTTCATGATCATTGGATTCATCTAGCTCACTAAAGACATCTGCCATCTTTTCAAAATAGGGTGAATCCACAACTAACTCTGGTTGCTGACTCAAGAAGTTCAACCGCATATCACACTGTATCAGCTTATCAAAGTGTTTGTTCAAAAGCCCTTGTGGGCATTGCAGAAAATGCTGCCTGCAAAAACGCGTATTTAAAACCACAGCTTCAGAAAATTTCAATTTTGAAGCAAGGGGGGATCATAGGATATTCTACAACAGCAACTGACACAAAAGAGAAAACACAGTACGCTCCAATCAATAAGCAAGTAGTCCTAAGAGGGAAACATGATATTCTAACACACAGAGGGTAAACAGAAATACTAGAGTAAAGAATCAATCAAAATCTTACTTGTGTAAGCTGGCCTGTCCATTGGTGAAATCTGCAGCAGCCTGCCACAATGTATGCTTCCGAGGCTGTGGATTGGTTTCCCTGAAGAAAAGTGGTTGTCTGGCAAGCTGCACATCGACATACAAGGCCCCCATCACCCAGTGTCAATTAGATAGCTCCAGCCTCGCTTATACTTAATAACAAAGGCGAAGAAAGTTCAGTATATTACCACAACATTCAAAGTTCCAGGTCCGTCTTCTGGACAATTCGCCTTGAGACCCATGATATCAGACCACTGGATTTCTATCTTACTCTTGAGACCACCAACAAGAATTTCCCACACGAGCTTATGCTTCGCAAAGTAACACTTGGCCACCAACTCCCCCTCGTACCTTGCTGTATACTGCCAAAGATCCAACATTTAATCAAATTCCACCAAATTAATCCGACAATAAAACAGAACAATCACGGTAGCCTTCGAAATTGTACCTCCCATGACCCAATTCTCAGCACAGAGGCCGGGAAATTCGAAGCCTTGAGCTTATCACTCAGCGGTTTGTCTTTCTTCGCTCCAGAGCTTGGTTTCTCGCTCTGCCGAGCTTCCGCCGGCGCCGAAGCAACACCACCCTGAGAGAGCTTCATCTGAATCAAATCCAGCAGCGATGGGCTCTTCCTGAGCCGCAACCCCAGAGGACTCGGCTCATCGAGTGGATTGTATTGCGCCGGCGGCACGGGAAATGCATTAGCACCGGCACCCCACTGTATCAAAATCACAAATCAACAATAAAAAAATAAAAATAACCCATCAATTACCCAAAAAAATCCCTCAACGCAATGTTCAGAAAACCTAAATTGATTTCCCCTAATTTTGATTCCCGTGGCGAGGGAGAGAAACAGATTAAGCTGGGGGAAAAAAAAACCTGTTGAAGAGTCTGCGAAGTCTTGGATCGCTTGTTCAGAGGGCCATACTGTTCCTCCAAGGGGTCCTCGGCGATCTCTAGCTTCACCGGCGCCGCCTTGCTCCCAATCGCCGACGACAGGGATCCACTTGCGGTGGCGGCCGGGAAGTTCTCCGATCTCATCAACTGCACCATCAACGTCTATCCACCTATCGATTCCGCAGGCCCGAGCTCCTGGAAAATTCGAGACAGGCACAAATTCCTCCCCCGGGAAAGAGAAGTAATTTTCTCAGGAAAACGGAAAACGAACGCGTTTGTTATCTGTTCGGTGGTTGTTTTTTTTTTTTTTTTTTTCCTCCTTCTTTTGGGATCGAGAAATTATCGGGGGAAAAGAAAGACGATTCTGAGGAAAACCCTAGGAAGGAGGGTTGGTCTTAACGGTGGCGCTTCCGGCGGAGAGCACGTGCCGAGAACCCGCGTACGGAGACCGACTCGCACGTGCTTGTTTTTTGACTGCGTCGTTTGGATTTTACAGATTCATCCCCCCTTGGGTTCAATTGGACCGGTCTGGTCCGTTTTAGATAGAATTTTACGCAACATTTGGATTTCGTTAACTCAGCATAAACATTATTGCTAACCTAACTTCCACATAACGTATGATTGCAACAAAAAAAAAAAAAGTCAAGATATCGAATTGAATTGGTTCAACCGCAATAGAAAAAACGGTTTGAACCGGTTGAACTTTCCGGCTCGTTTGGTTCACGGGAGTCTCTCCGTCCGTACTTTCCGACGGAAACTTTTAAAAATTCACGTGCTGGCCGACACGTAAGAGTCTATTTTGGATAAAATGGCGGGGCCCCACTTCCCTCAGTTATTTTTGTCGTTTTAAATGACGGCGGTGGTTGGTCTGACGGGACACGTGGCGGCCGATCTGGAGGGTAGCTTCGAGAAATTATGGCGCCGCGCGGCGACACGTAGGCTCGATATGCCGTCATAGTGTGTGGTCGGCCTCAGTAGATGGAATGTGAGGTCGCATCTCTTTCCGCCGTCCGTCGGCACAAAGTCTCCCGGCGACCAATCAAAATCCAGACGGAATTTTCCCCCCACTTTTTCCAAAGCTTTTGTTGAATAATTTATTAATGGGTAGTGGAATTTTTTTTTATATTTTTTTGTTATGTGAACGAGGGAATGGATAAGGTTGAAACATGCCAGGTGAAATTCCTACTAAGAACTATGGGAGGCCAGCAAATTTTGATATTATTTAATGTTGAGATAAGTGTTAAGTAGGGTTAAGAGTTAAATTCTTATTAGATTAATAATTGGGTGAAGGTGGAAGTGGGTAAGCACCACAATGACCTCTTGTTCACAAGCTAAAAGGTGTGACATAGCCACAACATGTGTACATATATAAAAAAAATCTGATGTTAATGTTTTGATGAACTTGAAGTAAAAAATCTAATCACATTATAGATCATTCTTGGATTTTTTGAGAAGTTGTTTAGGATATTTGTCCTATTTGTAAGCTTTGTGTCGATACAATTCGTAAAGGGTGTTCCTCGTAATAAAGAAAAACAATGTGCCTTCGTATCTCTATGAATGAGTTCTCGTAACAACAAGGCGTGATTGATACGTTGGTGTTCAACATTCTTATATGGTGGGAGGAGTGAAACCCACGACAGTAGAGTTTTGCCCTTCTAGGTTGTTAATTAATGATTTTCCAATGCATCAGGTGCTTCTAATCCAGAATTTTCTCAAGATTCGTAGAGTAAGCCCCGAGTACAGTGCGATGACATCAAGTTCTCTAATTGAATATGATCAAACATGTTTAAGATCAAGATGAGAATTGGTATGATATAATAATCTATCAGTCGGTATTTTTTTTTTTTTTCCCGAATAGAATAAACATCAAACTCAATATGGCACTTCGATTTCTATATTAATATTTGGTCGAACGTATATACAATCGAAAACGGAAGTTAATGTAAATTCATGAGTTAATATTAATTTCATCCAAATCCAAATATGGCCACCTCTTTGGCTCTTGGTTAAGTGCATGATTAGTAATCATGGGCATGAAGAAAAGCATCAGCTTAATAAATTAAAGAAAGACAAATTGCTTTCGTAGGAAGGCCACGTATTGATGACCAATTGTCCACAATGGTGACTCACTCGCCTTTGTTTCAATGGATTAAAAAAGACAAGCACAAGGAGAACGTGTTGAATTTGTCTTTGTATACTTCTACTGCACTTAAAGTCCATGAACATGTCCGACAGCGCGACAGCTCCATTTTGCCTTGTACCATGTTCGTCAGCTTTTAGAATTAGTCATCAAAGGGTTTGTTTTAATTGTTGACATCAATAGAAACAACCTAGAAATCATCAAAGTGTGCATTGAATAGGAAGAAGCAAAAGAAACCAGCTAAAACTGATCATTATGTGTTCAGCAGAATTACAAAGAACGGTACATCAAGGGAAGTTCTCACCCTTTGTGCACATAAAATGTAAGCAAGCAGCCATAAGTGGCTAATGGACTCGAGAGTATAACTAGCCAATGAGGCCGAGAAATCTACTTTGCCAGTCTGTTCACTTTCAGGTACGGCAATGCACCGATCACGTTGTCGTAGTCGCTCCGGCTGACTTCGTGCTGTTCATAACAAAGAGAGCAGCAAGCAATGGTTGAGAGAGTTGAAGCTTTTGTATATGCGAGCAATGGAAGCAAGCACAGTGGATATAGGCATTAGCACTGAATAGGGGAGGGGGGGGGGGGGGGGGGGGGAATATACTCAAATGGCTAGCTAGTTCAATGGCTAATTTCAGGCTTATGAGATAGGAAGATGGAGCAGATCAATTAGTATAAGCTAACAACTGCAGATACTAGAACCAAATACAGTGCAAAGAGATTAAGATTTAAGTGGTACAGAGTCTTATGTACTTTAAATTCTTTTCTAGCATCCTCTCAATTGTTCTATCTTCGTAAGCAATAAGGAATCCCGCCTTTCCCAGGACTTACCAGAAGAAGCATAGGCAGATAGAGATAATATCAATAACCAAAGAGCAGTAGGTATCACAATCAAATATTCTCCACTAGGTAAAAGCGAAGTGGATAACAGAATTTATTGAAGCTTAGAGCAGTGAATATGAGGCTATCACTATCAAATATTACTCCACTTCAAAAGCCAACTGCATAGCAAAATTGATGGAAGCAAAGCTCCATGCTTTCTAATATTCGGTAACTAACTCCATACCATGTTTTCTCAAGATTGTGAGTAGCAAACAGAGAGTCACAATGCTCTCTAATTCAGTACCTTGAGTTGGCTTTAATGGGGTTTCTAGTGCTGCTAGCCACAACTTTAACAAGTGTGTTCGAACCTCAAACCTGTAAGCTTTGTAATATCTAGATTTTTAACTAAAGCTCCCTTCTTTCAGCGAAGTAAACGGATTATACAAAATGCATATGATCAAGCAGTAGTAATTCTATCAAAACAGCCTTCAAGTTTCAACCAGGAATCATTCAACAAGCAAATACAATCAGTACAGAACATTCAAACTGGAAACTCACTTCAGAAAGTGGGTGATTGCCTTATTAATGACCCTCATTCAGAACACTATTTCTAAAGCCGTAAGTTCTGAACTAGAAGCATGGCAAGAAAAAGTGGGTTTGTCAAGAAAGGGAACTAACCATTTTCGATAAGCGCAATTTCCTCTTGGTATTCTTCTTCGCCAGCAAATGCTGCTTCCCAGCTCGCCTCCTCACTATCTTCCCTCTTCCCGTCACCCTGAACCTCTTCGCTGAGGCCTATTAACAAACACCTTAGCTTCTTTCTCAAACACCACCAAAAATCAAATGACAACACAACAAAACCAAACCGAACTGAGAAATTCACCTTATGGGTCTTCATTTTGTACCCTTTGGCGGCGAAAACGGTGAGATATTGAAGCCTCTGAGATAGCGAGGCGACGGAGCATGGCTTCGGCGACAGAACTGAGAGAGAACCCGATATGCTGTGTGTGGAACTGAGCTTCTGCGAGCTGTGGGACTTGGCGAACGCGACGAGTCGGGTTGAGCTACAGGAGACTCGGGCTGGAGCGGATTGGAGTGGGCAAAGCCTTGTATTGACTGACATGAAGGTCAGAGAAGCCATTGCCGTGGATTTCTGCTCGCGTTCTGTTTTCCTTCTTCTGGGAATTGAGAATTGGGGAGGGAAATGAAGAATGCGGGAGAGGGAGTGGATGACGTGAGGAGGGAAATGTGGATAGAGGATGAGGTAAACTTTTTAGTCCTCAAACTATTAATATTTTGCATTTGAGTACTGCAGAAACAATTTTGGAGAGTAGATGAAGAATAATGGATAAAACCAATTGGAATTCCGACTAACCCTTTAAGGAGCGAATTGAACATACCCGTTATTGGAACTAACTGGTTGTATCGTCCTCACCGGAAATCATTTTTGCACAAAATGATGTACTCACTACTCAGTTAGGCATGAGAGAGTATGAGGATTGAGGACCATCCTCTTTTGTAAATTACATTCAAATCTAATCCGATAGGATTGCCAAAATTACGAAATTTAGATGAAAAGTTTGCTGCTTTCACAAGAGAAACAATCAAAATTACACTGGGTCGACGTGGGCTGCTTCATTACAACAATGGTTGGATTTGTGTTGAAAGCCTCAAAATTTCATGGACAGAAGAAACTGAAATGCTTAGCATGAATCTTCAGCTGGAAGAGAGCCCATGCCGGTCACCGGCTAACTGCAGAAGGTTACTTGCAAAGGGAGGGCTAAAGCACTATCGTCTCAACTGAAATTGAGTCTTCTGGATCTGCTATGTTAAGGTCTTGATACTATGGCTATGGATTCCCATTCCAAACTACATATCACCTCCTGCATTGGCACCAAATGTGGTCATTGAGAAAAACTCGGGACTTGCATTTAAAATAAGCGATTCAGGGTAGAGGAGGATTGAGCATACCGAAGGGTTTTGTCGATCGATGTCAAAGCTATTGATGGCACAAGGTTCCGCAAGAAGCTCGGTAGGTTCCTCACCTATATGGTAAAGGGTGCCATACAGAAGAAAGTCTCAGTATCAAGTTTTTGGCATTAGAGTTTCAGGTACGGAGAGAGAGTAAAAGGCACTTCATTCATTCATTTACCTTGGTCAATGACTCCAAGGATTCCATCTTCAGAGCAGAACATGGCAGGCAGGAGTTTCGAGGATGAGAAATTGTTCATTGAAGACTTCGTATATGACTCATACTGAACCTCCCAAACCTCACTCTCAGATAATGGCTGAGCCGCAGTATCATTGCCGGTTCCTGAGAGGATAATAGGTTGATGTTGATATCTTAAGTCCCAAGCAAATACAGTTCCAGCAGAACCTCCAGCCTACAAGAGACTATTAAATTAGATGATCACCATGAGAGAAACTAGTGGTACGGATAACAGCAAGGGCATAGCATCGATTAAGGAATGAACTAGCAACTCATATACCCACAGAAACAAAAGGGACCCTAGAAGCACATCTAACACCCTTGTTCTTGCTCAAAGATGGACACATTATAGCTTATCAATTGCCTAGGGTGTATGGCACAAAATTGTTCTTACCTAACTATACAGCTTCAAGAGCTACAAACGAGTCTCACTTGACCATGCTAAGTTATCTGTCGACAAAGAAGGCAAGGACTAAGAGCTAAGAGACTATACAGTATACAAGGTCCTTAAATGCTGGCATTTCAAGCATGCTATGGCAAACCTCCAAGCAAGACACCAGTATTCATATCTTACCAGACAGGTGTGCTTTCTCGACGGATGAACATCAATAGAATGTATGATCCCAGAAGTTCTTCCCTTCCCCCTACATATCAATCAACAGAAAACAAGTCACTAAACACAGAAAAATTCTCTACTTCCGATTCATTAACCATTGAACTAACAACCAACAGATTCAAACATTCCCAGGAAAAACACTCACAAGTTCCCTTTGAACTGAGCAACAGCAGAGCCAGGCCGCCGGAGGTCCCACCACTGCAGCCCAAACCCACACCCGCCGGTCACAAACTCCGTCGGCGAAGCCCACTTCACCGCCGTATACGAAACCAAACCATTCCCGTCGAAAACCTTCCTGTAACTCCCATCCAAAACCCTAACCAAATTCACCCTCCCGTCCTCCCCAACGCTGACGCACTCGTTGCTCCCGCAGCCCATCAAATCCACCCCGGCGATCCGCCCAACGTGGAACCCTTTCCCATCAGCGGATACCACCGACCGAAACGCCGGCGAGGGATCCTGCGCTTCGGTGGCGCTGAAGACGTGGAGCGAGCCGGAGACGGTGGAAGCGACGGCGAATGCTTGAGTACATTTCAGCGAGGAAATGCGGGAGGGAGGAACCCACGATGAGACGAGATCGAGGGATCTCGATTCTTGGTCCAAGGAGTGGACTTCCAGAGAAGGAGTGTCGGCGTCGGTGTCGAAGAAGGCCACGATGGCGGATTGCTGGAGCGGGGAGACGGACGGAAGCCATCGGATTGAGTCCACGTATCTGTACTGCGGGAGTCTGTGGATTTGCGTTTGGGGAATGCCGATTACCGCCATTTCTAGGGTTCTACTGGTTTCCCCCCTTTCAGCACGAGAAAGAAGAGCTCGGGGGTCTTGACTTCGAGTCAAACTACAGAGGTTTTTGCCGGGGTTTCTACTATAGGTGTCAATCGGGCGGGTTCGGCGGGTTCGGCGGGTTCGGGCTGGGTTCAATCGGGTTCGGGTTCAAACGGGTTGCGGGTTAGTTGGGTTGCGGGTTCATCGGGTTCGGGTTCAAACGGGTTGCGGGTTCATCGGGTTCGGATTCAATCGGGTTGCGGGCAAATCGGGTTGCGGGTTCATCGGGTTTTGGGTCGGGCGGGTCGGGTTTCGGGTTGTTCGGGCCAGCGCATCAAGTAACTTAAATCATTACTCATTACCAACTTACACATTTTATTACACTAGTTTAAAATATTTTCTCAACTTTTTAACCAATTTATTTCTACCTCGTATATATATACTTTATTTTTTTGAAAAAAACTAGTCAAAATGTTAAATCAATTTGTATGACTTGCAAACTTGTTATGTAATTAATCATAATTGGTAAGGTATTATAGCTAATAGTAATGGTGATATCAATATTTGCAACCAAAAGACACTGTTAATTGTTTATTTGATATTTTAGTATTAATTCAGTAGTAATTAGATTAAAGTATCTCGTTTAGTATAACCATGCAAATCTGGTATTTGGCGTGTGGTATTTGGCAAAAGCATAGTGATAAAAGGAGTTATTTCAAAATAACTCATTGCCCAAATAACTTTAGTAAACTGTTGCCAAACGAGTTATTTATAAAATTGTTCGAATTATCCTAAAAATTGAACCATTAAAGATTAGCTATTATATTTAGTAAAATTATTGTGACTTCAATCATAACTTACTCAATAGCATATATCTTATACACTTAGCTTTACCCTCAATCAACAATATTAAGTTAGTATATGTTGTAGATCGTATACCCTAAACCATCAATACATTATACACTAACCACATAACCTATACCCTAACCATATGTCCTTGAGTTGTGATTTTGCTAGTATAGTTAATTTAAAAGTGAAATTCATACTTTGATTTTCAAAACATAGATAAAAAGTGATATTTGCTAATTTTTATACCATAACCATATATCCTATACTTTACACCACATACCTTGTACCCTAACCACGTACCATAAACATAAATTAAAAAGGGATCTCGTGCCGTTAATGACTTCAAATGACTTCAAGTGAACATATGTTAATAAAAAAAAACTTAGAACCGTCAAAACCATCAATATCTTATACCCTAACCATATACACCCTAAACCATATGTACCTTATACTCTAACCATATACTTTATATCCTAAACAACGAACCGTCAAAGATTACTTATCAAGTTTAGTATAAATTGTTGTAACTAATGGTTACTTTATTTATTAGCCTATAAAAAATTACATACATATATATATATTAGCCTTCAAAGCATATAAGAATAATTTTAACTAGTCATGCCCTCCATATAAAAGTTAAAGATTCATATTTCAAAAGCTAAAATTATGAAAAACCAAAAAATTGAAAACACCAAATTTGTTTCCTTCTTTCTTTTCACAAAAATACTAAAATTTCCCTCCTTCTTTCTCCTTCCATACATTAGAAAAACTCAATTTTCCCTCCTCTTTCTCTTCCATAAAATTGAAAGAACCAATTACCCTCTTCTTTCATTCTACAAAAAGTTGAAAAGTAAAAAGTTTCCCTCCTTATTTCTCTTTCATAATCAAAAGAATCAAACTTTCCCACTTCTTTTCTAAAAAATTCAAAGAACCAAATTTCCCTCTTCTTTCTCTTCCCAAAAACTTGAATACACCAAAATTTCCCTCTTCTTTTAAAAACATCAAATTATTAAATACATTATTTTACTTTATTTATATTTAATTGATAATTTTATTGAATAGTTAAATTAACCAAAATTTTAATTTATATATTATATTAATATTGTCATGATCTCAAGTGACCTTCATGTTTCAATTTTTGTAATTTTTTTAAAATACGTAATATCAAGTGAGTTTCATATTTTTAAAATTTCTTATACGAAATGAAAAAATAATTTTACTTAAGTTTAGAATGAAAAATTTTATTTTGAAAAACTATGTATTGTATATTTTTATAATTATTCAAGTGGATTAGATGAAATTCGGGTTGAGTCGGTCGGGTTACGGGTTAGTCGGGTTCGGGTGAATCGGGTTTGGGTTAATCGGGTTGCGGGTCAGTCGGGTTCGGGTTAATCGGGTTGCGGGTTAGTCGGGTTGCGGGTTAGTTGGGTTGTGGGCCAATCGGGTTGCGGGTCGGGCGGGTTACGGGTTGTTGACTTTTAGTCAATTCGGGTTGCAGGTCGGGTTGATCGGGCGGGTTAATCGGGTCGGGCTATGTTTTGACACCTATAGTTTCTACGATGGTTTTGCTTCAGAAAATTTTTGTGGAACGCGGGTACATGTAAGTCGTCTGTCCGTCTGACGTTTTCAAATAGAGGCCGTCAAGAGTTTTAGCGGCTTTCGTTTGGGCTTTAGTGGAGCTGGGCTTCACTCCACCGAATGGTATGCCCCCACCAGTTGGGCTGGCCATTATACATATGAGATGTGAACATATTTTATTACTCTCAGTTTGTTATTTTGTAGATTTCAATCAAATCTTTTCTTTAAGCATAAAATTTTCCTCACAAAAAAATATAGCTATAAAAGTTTTCAAAATTTACGCTAAAAAATGAACAATATACAAGTTGATTAGAAGAATTATCATATTTAGAAAGTCTTACAATCTTATTCATCATATATAACCCCATCGAAAATTAAAGGATCTTATCTGACAATACACGTTATATTCTTGGTCTTTTATTAGCGCTCAACTATTGTCGTCGGTTTCATCAACCTGAACAAAATCAATGATATCGTTCTATTAAAAAAATTATATATCTTGAATTTTTAAACTAGACGTCTATTGCATATATATCAACGTACTTACAACGTACAAATAAATCGACTGTCGCAACAACTTATCATTATGAATTTGAGTATTTGCATAGATGATATAAAATAGAGGAGTACTTGAATGTGTTGACCGATACGGCGATACCTAGGTACATTTGTAATAATTTTCCATCGATGCATGCATGTGCTCCTCGACCATGGGCCATTATTTGGACAATTGGTGGTCTCCCTATTTCTCATAATAGCCGATCGCAAGTCATCATTTCGACAAGTACATAATAATTTTAAGTTGTTTAAAATAATTAATTAGAAATTTTATGCTACTTTCAAACAAGATTCAATTCACATGTTTGAAATTTGCACGGGTCTATCTTACCCCGATGTTTAAACCAACCGTTAATATCAAGAGTCGTGTACATTTGAATGAAAGCAGTCCCTTTGTCAAAACCATTTTAATATCACGTAATGTACTGTTTGGTACGTCTCGTTAATTCGAGTTGTTGAGAGAATTATAGTTATGAATCTTATACCAACCTTTCTTACAATCATATAACACAAATTGCTATCCATATGCAATATGCAATAATTATTCTCGGAATCATATCATAATTTTGCGCCTCATCATCCCACCATTATTTTTAGGAATGTGGTTATTGTATTATGGCGGTTTATTTTGATGCATTTGAGTGTTGTTCTTCCACATATAATTTGGAAGGAAAATTTGCACACATATTCCTGTTCAATACGACGCCGTTGGGGCAATGGGATAAGCAGATAAGGTATATACGGCTTCACTTCACCACTCAAACACACAGCCGTAGGTTTGACAGAAACCAAAATGATGGCCGCAGAAATCGTCACCGCCGGCGGCAGCAGCTTCTTCTTCCGTGGCATTTCCAACTCCCCGAGGTCGCCGAGCCGGACTTACTCCGTTGCTAAAGTAGCGGTCTCCCGTTTGAGGAAACCAAAATTCACGGCCAGAATGAAGGGCGGCGGCGGCGACGACGACGGCGAGAGGCCCTTCTTCCGGATCCCGAAGATCCCGGCCAATCCGACGGCGTCGCTCGCGGCGCGGGCCGCCGTTGCGGTGTTCGCGCTGGGATTCGTCGACGCTGGGTACAGCGGGGACTGGTCCAGGATCAGCGCGATCTCGAAGGAGGTCGAGGATTGGCTCAAGGTCGCCGCGTTTCTCGTTGTCCCTCTCTGCGTTTTGCTCGTAGTTTCGATCTCTGGTAGTACGGAGGAGGAGGCTTGAAATTGGTGTTCAATTGCTAAATAGGTCCACAAACTTATTATTATGGTTTTCTTTTTTTTTTCCTTTTATTGTTTTTTTAGTGAATTTTTCTTTTTTATTGTTCTATGATGAAATGTTGAATTAGAATCCAATTAGGAGTGTGATATGAAATTATTCAAAAAATATTTTTTTTCATATAATATGAGAGGTACTACAGCCTCTCTCCACAGATGGAGAATCTTATTCATAAAGATTTGGAGATTAGAATCTCTCCTTCTCCATTAATATATGGTAGAGTTTTGCGTAATTTTCTCCATTTTAAATTTCCTGCGTTGAGAGTGAAAGTATGAATTACATTTTTGTCTTTACAATTAATTATTTATTTCAAATAAAATATCAATATCAAGATTTGAATCCGAGTCTCTTCAAACAAAGACAACAATCATAACAAATTACACTAAACGAATTTGTTTTTTCTATTTGAATACAAAACATACACTAAGTTAAACTCTGGAAAGCGAATGACTTTTACATCATGATCAACAAACCCACTAAGTCTATCGTATATATTTTTATGGTGCTTAATACTTCAATTTCCATAGTAGAGTTTCATGAAATTTTATCCATTTTAAAATTCATGCTCTCCTTAATTTTCGCTTTGGTAAATTTGTAATTGGCTAACATGGAAGAAACTATTTCTTTTACTACGTGTTTTGTCATTATATTTTTTAATTAAAATTAAAATTTTGTGTTTTTTTATCTTTGTTCTTATCTCTTTATAACTTCCTCCGAAAGTCCCTCCATTGTGCAATAATTTGGCCCTTTCACTTCCCAGTACGAGGGCGCATTTGAAAATTAATCTTCCGATTTCTCTTGCACGGCAACTTTATTTTGGGGATTTAAGTTGGGCAAACAGAAAATTTCAAATCCGATATCAATCCATGGCGAATAGAATGGAATTCAGTCAAGTAGTTATGAATTTGAACTTGGAGTAGAAGAGTTGGAATTGAGTTTGAGAATGTAAGTGGTGGGGGGAAGAATTTGTGTTTGGATTTGGTAGCAGGTAAAGGCAAAGAAGAGGGAGTTGGAGAGGGTAGTGAATGAATTGAGGAGGGTGTTGAAAGACATGGAAGCAAAACTGGAGCAGTTAAAGAGAGAGAAGTGATAGATGACGAGGATAGTAATAAAAATGGAGAGGTTATTGAAGGGCATGAAAGTTGACTAAAGCAGGTGAAGGCAGACAAGGGGGAGATGAACATATTGATGGAATTATATTGGAGATGAGTGTTGGTTTAAGCGAACTTATTACAACTGCCCCGAGGAAGATGAGTTGGCAAACACAAGAAGAAGTCTGGGGAGTTGAAGAGCTAGTTGACAAGAACCTCAATTGGAAGAGAAATTGAGGGCCACAAAGAGAAGGTCCTTCAAAGTAGCATAAATGGAGTTGTTTGGTTGAAACATATGCCTCTTGAGATTAAAGATAGACTGGATAAAAATTTGGTTGTTCAACGAAGAGTGGTGATTATTGGCTCTTTAGGTTTATGGTTTTTGCAGCTACCACAACCTATTTTTATCTTAAAACGAGAAATCATTTATTGATTTACTGAATTAGGTCGATTCTTTATTCAACCTACTGAAACTGATAGAAAAGGAGTGTCTAATTTTGTGTCTTATGACTTTGATCAAGTCTATTAGTATATTGGAGATAACCCTAATTTTGTCGTTTGCTCTCAAGTTTTGATGGTTCCCTCTTAGCTTAGTTTGTAGTATTTAGTTCACTTGAACCAACAACTCTCTATTTCTTTTTTATTAGTGGCATGTTGCTCCTAAAAGGAGAGCATTGAAGCCTTTATGTACGATTGTGAGGTTTTAGATTCAATTTCAAACTATATATGGGCCATGTGGTAATTGTAGTGAGCTTTTATATTCTATCTTTCTTGACAATCAACTAACCAATATAATATTATCATTATGAAATGAAATCAATGATACATTTTTATATTTTATATTCTTAAATGATGATGGTATTTCTTCGAGTATTCGGCCTATATATTATTTCTTTATGTATAATCTCGATCGAAAGATTGTCAAAAAAATTAAATGAATTGATAGACTTAAACGTAAAATAAATTATAAATACTCAAATATGAACATTCCAGCCAACGGGCCGGGTTATAAGCTAATATTAATAGAGAGCGTAACTAGGTGGCGGATTATCTGGCAATAGGCTCATTCCGCTAGTTTCGGTTTTTCATGTTAATAATATTTCTGATAAGAGTCTCAATTTCTGGATCTTGTATGATACTATAGACATTTCTCAATCTCGATTAATTTGTGTGCAAGATAGGGAGGCCGTTTTAGCATTTCACTTTTTTCTCAAAATATTTTCTTTTATTACATTGCTGGATTTTTTTTTTGTCATAGATAGTTCGTTACAATGCAGTGGAAATATAAAGGCGGTAGTCAACCTATTACACTGCTGGATTTTCTCAAACCTTATTAGATGAAGTTCAATTTCGGCATTATTAAACCATATATATATATATATATATATAAAACTGTAATCCATCAGCGTATTCAATAGTAAGGTATAAATTTAATCATAATAAATTGACTTATATATATATACTAGGCGGCGATGCCGCGCCTTATCGCGGGGGAGGTGGCCTATGTGCATGTATTATGTGGTCCGTTATAGTGTTTTGTTAGTGTTATTAGTCTAAAATAAATTTTTGTTAGCAGTTTTGTTAGTAATATTGACTTGACAATATGATATTGACTAAGAAGAGATATATGGCGGTCAACATCCCTTTTTTTTTTTTTGGCTAATACATTATATTTACCTAAACCCAAGTAGACCAATTGATTATGGGTAGGGTATGAGTGACGTATATATGGGTTTGGAAGTTTGTAGATGGGTTTGGGTAGGGTATGGAGATTTACTTTTATAATCTGGGTTAGACTAATTTGGGTTAGACGACGAAGACAAAGAAAAAAACAAATAAAGGGTTATGGACGGCGAGTGAAAAATGAAACGAAGATGAAGTAGATAATGGAAGGGTCTTGACCAATTTTTTTAGTTGGGGTATCAAAATGTAAAATGTACATTATAGTGACTAAGGTTTAATTTAATTAAATTTGGGTTTGAGATATCAAAATATAAAATGTACATTATAGTGACTAAGTTGTGATTTAATTAAATTTGGGGTATCAATTGTAAGTTAATTAAATTTGAGTTTGAGGTATCAAAATATAAAACGTACATTATAGTGACTAAGTTGTGATTTAATTAAATTTGGAGTATCAAATTGTAATATTTTATGTAACAGTAAACTCACTTTAACTTTATATATATGAATATATACCTAGCGCCTAACCGTTAACTCGTGCATTTCCGAGTGAAGCTAAATCTAATTATCACTACCTAGAGCATCTCCAACAATGCAATCCTTCTTCACTTTCAAGTGTGGTCCCTACTGCCACCTAAGCAACTCTAGCAATTACTTCACTCATCAATTTCATACTAGCTACATCAATGTCATTCTAATGCAATTGCACTTCTGGGTCCCACTTACATTTTAATACCACACAAATGGTTGGGAAAAAAAGAAAGAAAAACAAAAACAAACAAAGGACCCACTTGCAATTGCATGTCAGATTTTCATGGTGTGCAAATTTTCATCCCTTGAAAGTGTTCTTGCATCAATGTCATCCACTTTTTCAATTGCACATGACTGCCACCTCAGCTTGCAATTCCCTCCATTTGCACCATTGGAGATGCTCTAAACTATGGTCAAAGGAAACAACATCTTTTAGCTTAAGTCTTGTTAAATCATGAAGGGATAGATTGATCATATCTATAGCTTGCCCTAATCCGGCAACCCATCATCTGTCTATTTCCAATGGAAGAAGAATACAAAGTTTTTATACACACACGTATGGTGACATTTTTTCTTTACTCTCAAATTTTTGTAGCCGTTGAAATGGTAACCTAGGTGGCACTTGACATTGTGCCAATAAATGAATAGTTTTGTTTAATGATATGCACGTTTTTAACCATGGTGATTTCTATCATATTTTACATAAATTCAGGGTAACAATATTTGAATCTTGAACTAATCAGATATTGTAACACGATAATATACCTTAATACTACCCGAGTAAATCCTAGATATGAATTATCTAAATCATAAACCCTAAACGTTAAAATGATGCATGCCATTTGTTCCATATATTTTGACGAATCATTATTGTTGATTATTGTTTCTAATTACATTGACCTGAAGGGTTACGGTATCATAACATGCCCCAAACCCAAAGTCCGATCAGTTCAAGATCAATACATCATTTTCTTGCTTAGCATATACGGTAACCCTAGAATTATCCTAAATACAAAAGATACGTGAATTCATGAATACCCATACACCCACGGATACCCAATAAAATAAAACATGTTGGACTTTTCCTTCCAAAATTCAATAGATATTTTCTGAATTTTTGACAAATACCTACTAAATTGTATTTGATTTTCAAAAAAACTCGACCCATCACCATCTTTATACACCACCCACCTCATCAAACCCACAAACCCTTCCCTTGTTTTCCCTTAATAGTCACTCATGATTCCTTCCTATCATTCTCCAAACTTTTCAAATTTTAACTACACCTGGCCTTTGCATTCCCCAAGTTGTCCATCTACAAGATAAAAATTGTGTGGACGAATTTGAGACATTTAGCCGAATGGATACAAAACCCAATCCCATTTTTGACCATATTTGGAAGCACTCGACACCCCACGAAAACTCATCACAATCTCTCTACTAGCTTAGCCTTTTGCTAAATATTCAAACCCCACCCATATCTCTTTAGATTGTGTAGCGGCCTCCACCTCGCCCATTTGCTCATTTCTCTTTGGAGCTCCAAAGGTCAAAACGATAATGGCGAAGGAAACATATATATGGTCTAGCTATCGAGTTATACACATGAAAATGGGACCAAGAACTCATCACCAATACCTTTCCTCGTCACTATGCTTCAAAAAGGTGGTCATTATAACACATTGGGGTACCCAATCCTACGTTAGGCGAGCAAAGATACTAGTCAGTTAGGCAAATCAAACTATATGATGACTTTTCAGGCTTAGTATTTATATATTGGTTTCGGTTGGATGGACGAAGACGGTGTGTATCGAATCACATGTTGTCAAGTTACTTTAAGTACATAACAATAAGTTATGATCTCCACTTGTAGCAACATCTTTATCTTGTAGTATCTCGTAGTAACTGTATATATGATTGAGTCTTACTATCTTTCACATATCTAAACGAGCTGGTGAAAGGATGAGTCATATGCAATTGACACATGGTTGCTTGTTGGGCTAATTTCTTCTGTGAGCTCGATGAGTAGTTCGATTACACATGTGAAGCTCTGAGATGAGCTTCACGATTGATCTAGTTTGGAGAAGGTGTTAATAGTCTTAATAGTAATTAGAGATTATCATCCGCTGATTACTTCTAAGTGAAATCCTTAACCATTACAAACACAATACAATCACGTTGATGAGAGTTATCACTACCATTAGACCAATCTACTGGAGTAGAGCTATCATCCCTTAGTAAGCTGAACCCTTAACTTGGTAATCATAATGTTGGAATTGCGTGGTTCCTACATCGACATAATAACGAGTAAAGACCTTCAAATCAAAACTTTAGGAACTCAAAATCAGTGTCGGAGCCCTCTTTAAACAAAAGATTTACCTCTTTCATCCTCAACATGATATGATCCTATATTTTTCTTAATTTGCTCAGCATTCAACAAAGCGTAATACTTCATACTAACTTAAACGCTAAAATACACATCAACAATCATCCTCCGCGAAATGTCACGCACCATTTAACCTATCTTATACGATATCATTAACCAGAACCCAACTCAAAACCCAAAATCTAAGTCAAACAAAGAATTAACAAAAGCATCAAATTACTTTCCTCCCACAACTCAAAATGAATGATGGAGAATGAATGGGGGACCCTTAACCCTATACGATGAGATGGGCCTGAAAAAGGCCGTGGGGTGGGTAGACATGAACACAAGCAAAAAAAATAAGAGGCCTGAATTTTTTGCCTCCTCCAACCCCAAAACCATTTCATTCTTTTCTTTCTTCCAAACCCGTTTTGTTTGCACATAGGAGAGGAGCTATCTAAGCCAAGACTTGTGAACAAAATATGTGTTAGAAAACCAAAAAGAAGAGCCTTATTGGCTCCAACCTTACCCTTATCCTATCCACCACCACCACCTTCTTCATTCTCATTCCCTTCCCTTCCCTTCCCCTCTTCTTCTTCCTTCTCTTTCTCTCCCCTTTTCACCTCTCTTCTTCCCAAACCCATAATCCCTTTCTTTTTTCCTGTCTCTCTATGTTCCCTCCACTCCAGCCAGCCAATCTCCAGTAGCTTCTTCTTCCTATATTTCCCAGTCATCAACCAGCAAGGCCAAAGAAAAGTTTTTTTTTTTGGGTTTCTCATTGTTCATTTGCTGCTCACAAGGCTGTTTGCTGAGTTGGGTTCTGCTCTGTTTTTTGTTTTTTGTGTTTTTGGTGTTTGTAAAAGAGGAAACAAAGGATAAAAAAACCGAATTGGACCGAGTAAAGAACAGAGGAGGATTTTGGTTGGTGGGTTTTGGCCATGCAAGGGAAAAGATTCATTAGATTCTTCGATTAACTCGAAGCAAAGCTAGCTTTGGTTTTTTGTTATTTCTGGCCATCATTGCTTTCATCGGGTTGGTGGGTATAATTTGAGTTCTTTGGGAGGGAGGAACGGAAATGGCTCCCAAAACTGGCAAGACCAAGCCTCACAAAGCCAAGGGCGAGAAGAAGAAGAAGGAAGAAAAAGGTCCCTCCTTTACTCTCTCTTTCACTCACTTTTCTCCGTTTTTTCGTATCTCGAATTCGAGTTGTCGAAACAGCATTTGGAAACGTTCGACATACCAATTGCGAGTTGGTAATGTTGAGTTTGTTCAGTATTCGTTCGAGTTATTGAGAGAAGATTGCATTGGCGTAATTAGCGATATGCACCGTAGACCGTAAAGTCATTTGTGTGATGTTAATTGGGTTGTTGGAGTAACTCGAGTATGTGTTTTTCTTTGGCAAATGGGAATTCTCCGGCGGTGCAGTTCTGCCGACGGTCATTGAAATCGCCGTTGAGACGCCGGACGAGTCACAAGTCACTCTCAAGGTAAAGGCTAAGACTTGCCGCTCCCTCGTTACATTGTTCAATATTAGTAATTTACCTTCATTTTTTTCTTGTTGTTTAAATTTCTACAATATATTCTTCGATTATTATTCACAAAGACGGCAATATATTTCATTTTCCCTTTTGTTTAACTTTACCTTGGTGTCTTTTGCTTTTGTTATCAAATTGTGTTAACATTGGGGTTCAAATTTTGCTTTTCTCTAGTGAGGTCAATGTTCTCCATGAAAAGGAATAACGGGTTCTTCTCCAAATGTAATTTACTCGTTGTTTTCTCTATTGGGTAACATCATATATATTTTTGGTGTAATTTTTGAAAAGTTATCATAATGTTGGATTTTCTTTACTAAAAATGGAATTTATCTTCATTTTTTTTGTTTAGAAAACATATAATATTGAAGGTCCCCACATTGCAACAAAAAAAAAAATATATTGTCTTTAAAAAATAAAAGGGTACATAGATTGAGCATTTAGCATTTTATAGTCTAAGAAAGAATAACACGTCTTGTTTCTTTCACAAGTGTCTTCTTCATTTTCTCTTGGTCCAACTTGAAAGCTTGTAGAACATTGTATTATGCTTGCTTCTCACAAGTAAGACAATGTTATTACATTGGTTTTGAAGTATCATATACACTATTCAACCTCCATTTATTTGTACCTTACAAACCCGAATTTCCAAATTCACATTTTAACCATATTTCATAACACATATAATATAATTACACAAATGCTCAACCTACTTTCCCCCCTACAAACTTGTAGTACTGAAAACGATAATCGAAGACACGAAAGATGTGCATCGTCGTCTCAACACAACTCATTGTTACTATGATACCTAAGTTGTTGAATTCGCTTGTAGAAGACCCTATAAAATGTTATAATCTCCTGCCAAAACTTCCTCGGAGCCTGGAGGCACAATGCCAGCTCGACACAAGGGGCTCTGGTAGCTATCTATCTAGCCACCTTAAATCAACACCGATATCGTTGTAATAATGTTGATTTCTCTAAGCACTAAACGATTACATTCTGTCACATTTTTTCCATAGTTAAACAGACCGACGTAGATATCCCCCCACCCACTTCCATAGAGGATGGAAGAAGAAACAATCTTTGGTGAATTGGGTTCAAATCTTTTGTGTCTCTCTTCCAATATACTTGTCCCCCTTCTTTATTGCTCCTACTTTCCCATTTGCTACAACTCAAATTGGTACTTTGGTAATGATAGAGGAAATTGACTTCCAACCCTATTCAAATTTGAGGTTGTATTGTAGCAACGTTGAAATTCATAAGGCTACAACAACTCTATGCTATGCAAATTTAGGGCAAGTGAGGTACATAGATATATTTGTGGGTTGCCACATTTGAAAGTTGAGTTCAATGTTTGCTTGATGTAGGGAATATCGACGGACAGGATCCTGGATGTGAGAAAGCTACTGGCCGTCCACGTCGAGACATGCCATTTAACCAACTTCTCCATCTCCCACGAGGTATACTATACACTTCAAAACTGCACACTTTCCGGCCATTTATTGCTTCAACATGTATGTATGTATCATCAATGAAGTAGCTAGCCAACATTTCGTTTAAGATGGGTTCGACGGAAAAAAAAAATTATTGGATACGTGTTTTCATACTCTGAAAAGATTACGAGTCGATCACCTGGTTTATAACCGGAAACCATCAATGCAGCAGAATAGTAACTTCCATTCCTGGTCCACCCATCGGCCATCACCAGACGGGTTTGACCGTTTGGGTGGGGTTAGTTTCTGAAAATCTAACGCCATTGATTGGTTGCTATCGGTTTCTCATTTATGAGGTTCGTACAATACGGCAGATCTCCCTGTCGTTTTATTCCGTAACAAACATCTACCTAACAGAGTTCCCCACAGCTCCATGTGTTGGCTGTTGGGTTTTTTTTTTGGGGATGGTCTCATAAATGGGCCCCGGCCCAAGTTTTACCATTTTGCTCGGGGTCAAATTGTTGAAATGGTCCCTGAAATTTCCGGGTAGCTGTGTCATCAATTTCCGGGTAGCTGTGTCATAAGAGGAATACAGGTATTATCTCCAATATCCCCCAGCCATCTACCTAAATTCATTATGATGTTGGTTGTGGGTTTGTGACCTCAAATTTACTATTTTGTTTTTTTTATGAATGCCAAAGTAGCACGTTTACATAAATTCAGGTATTATTTTGAAATTTGGCTCTGCTGCCGCCTTTGTGTAATAAAAGCTCCACTATTAATCCCCTGCAGGTAAAGGGACCCAGACTAAAAGATTCGGCGGATATCATCTCTCTCAAACCCTGCCACCTCACCATAGTTGAAGGTAAGTCCCGAATCCAACGGCTATTACCTCATCAGAATTCAGAGCGCAACATGTCCCACTACAGCCGCCAACAGCTGATCATAACCTCCCGCCTCCACCGTCCACCCCCGCCATATTTTCTTCTAACAAAAATTTTAAATTATTATTTCTTTATGAACTTTTCTTGCCGCTGCAGAGGAATACAGTGAAGAGCAGGCCGTATCTCACATCCGCCGGCTCCTCGACATCGTCGCCTGCACCACTTCCTTCGGCTCGTCGCCGATCAAGCCGGCCTCCGCCCGTAAGGACGCCGCCGGGAAGGATGTTAGCTCGACGGAATCGGAAGCGAGTCAGAGCGACGGCGGGGATGATGCCGGCGCTGGCAAGCCCAAAGGCGGAGGAGATAAGAAGGCCGGTGGGGCGGTCAGCCGAAGCAAGAGCTTCGGAAAGGATGGCTGCACGGATCTGTCTCCCAAGGGAGATTCGGCTGCTGCTGCGGCTGCGATTAACATGTACCCGCCGCCGCGGCTAGGGCAGTTCTACGAGTTCTTCTCGTTCTCAAACCTAACGCCGCCGGTTCACTGTAGGTTTTCCGTCCTTTATCAGTTTGGAATTTTCTATCACAATGTCATGTAGTACTGGAATTTGAATGAAATTGAGTGTAAATGGAATTTTCGCAGACATTCGAAGATCTAATCGGCCGTTCCTCGAAGATAAAACGAACGATGATTTTTTCCAGATAGATGTGAGGTTTCTGGCGAGTTTTTGGTGTTTGATTCTGGATTTTGAACTACAGGCATTGTAATCGGCATTACGGATTGAATTTTTGCAGGTTAGGGTTTGCAGTGGGAAACCAATGACAATTGTTGCTTCGAAGAAAGGGTTTTATCCATCCGGAAAGCGCATCCTTCTTTGCCATTCGCTGGTCAGCTTGCTACAACAGATTAGCAGGCCTTTCGATGCTGTAAGTTTCACTCAATTCCCCTAATGGCGTTTGCATTTTAGTGATGATGTTCTTATGCCATTTTGTGGAGCTGGTGCAGGCTTACACAGCTCTTATGAAAGCTTTTACAGAACATAACAAGGTCAGGAATTGCATGCTTCTCTACGTACTTCTGTTCTGATTCTTGTCCGTATTCATCGTTATCTGAAGGTTGTTGTTGAATTGTTACTTGTTTTTTCATTTCAGTTTGGCAATCTTCCTTATGGTTTTCGAGCAAATACATGGGTTGTGCCACCAGTTGTTTCTGAAAACCCATCTGTTTTCCCCCCACTTCCAGTGGAAGATGAAAACTGGGGTGGAAATGGAGGCGGGCAAGGAAGGACTGGTAAACATGAGCACAGGCCGTGGGCAAAGGACTTTGCCATTTTAGCTGCAATGCCTTGTAAAACTGCAGAAGAGAGACAGATCCGTGATAGGAAAGCCTTTCTGCTCCACAGTTTATTCGTCGATGTTTCTGTTCTCCGAGCTGTTAGGGCAATCAAGCAGATTATTGATACTAATCAGTGTTCTCTAAGTAAGACTGGCCTGTTTCCCCATGAGGAAAGAGTTGGGGATTTACTTATTAAGGTGACAAGAGATGACTCTGATGCAAGCACCAAGTTAGATCGTAAGAATGATGGTAGCCTGGTACTTGAACTGCCACGGGAAGACCTCGCGCGTCGAAATCTGCTTAAGGGCATTACTGCTGATGAAAGTGCAACTGTTCATGTGAGATTCTGACATTTCCCTTCAATTCTTCAATATATGAAGTTTAAAAAAGTTGAATTGGTTTCTGAAGCCTCATTTTTCTACTCCTATAGGATGTTTCTACCCTCGGAGTTGTGATTATCCGACATTGTGGATACACAGCTGTTGTGAAAGTCTCGGGAGATGTGGACTGGAAGGGGAGTCCTATTCCTCAGGACATTGATATTGAAGACCAACCAGAAGGAGGTGCCAATGCCTTGAATGCCAATAGGTTAGTTTGACATGGCCCATATACATTCAACAACAACATAAGCATCTTACATTCCTACTAATTCTATCTTCGATTTTTCTTCAGCTTGAGAATGCTATTGCACAAGTCTCCAACATCTCAATCGCCGAATACGAGCCAGAGATTACAGAGTGGAGACGCTGAAAATGCGCGTTCTGCGAGGGCACTTGTCAGGAAGGTACTGGAGGAAAGTCTACAGAAGTTGCATGAAGAACCCAGTAAACGTGTCAAGTCCATCAGATGGGAACTAGGCGCGTGCTGGGTTCAACACTTGCAAAATCAGGCCTCAGGTAAAACCGATCCTAAACAACCTGAAGAGAAAAAGCCTGAGCCTGCTGTGAAGGGACTGGGAAAGCAAGGCGCTCTGCTGAAGGACATAAAGAAAAAACTAGATGTAAAAAATGCTAAAACAGAAGAGGGAAAAGATATTTCTTTAACTGAGACTATGAAGAAATCGGATGGCACGGATCACAAAGAAGAGGAGAAGAAGAAACTTGAAGATATGGAGGTCATTTGGAAAAGATTGATTCCTGAAGCTGCATATCTGCGGCTTAAAGAATCTGAAACTGGTCTTCATCTAAAGGTTTGCTTCCAAAACTTTAAGAGGAATGCTCATCTGCTTAGAGCTTCCTTTTACATCAATGTTGTTTTCAAGTTGACATCTAATAGTTTTTTTGTTGTTATTGCAGTCGCCTGAGGAGTTGATTGAAATGGCACATAAATACTATGCAGATACCGCTCTTCCGAAACTGGTCAGTCATTCAACCACTCAGATTTCCTTGACCCTGCTAAAAGTTTCCTAAAACTAACTTGCATATGGACGTACAACTATCTTAGGTAGCAGATTTTGGCTCCCTCGAGCTGTCTCCGGTTGATGGAAGAACATTGACAGATTTTATGCATACAAGGGGTTTACAGATGTGTTCTTTGGGGCGTGTGGTAAATTTCTCTGCTATACCATCTCTGAAAGCTCTTTCGAAAGTGATGTACTTTAGCTTCAGTTTGGTATCATCTTGTTAATGAGTTTCCTGTATTCTAGGTTGAGCTTGCAGACAAACTCCCCCATGTGCAATCACTCTGTATACATGAAATGATTGTTCGAGCCCACAAGCACATATTGCAAGCTGTTGTAGCTGTGGTAAACGACGCTTCTGAGCTGACTGCATCGATTGCAGCATGCTTGAATATATTGTTGGGAACTCCTCCACCTGAAACAGAGGATGCAGAGATTGTTGAGGATGATAAGTTAAAGTGGAAATGGGTGGAAACCTTCCTTTCCAAGAGATTTGGGTGGCAGTTGAAGCACGAAAGCTGCCAAGATCTCAGAAAATTCGCAATTCTTCGTGGACTTTCCCATAAAGTAATTGCTCATGCCACTCTCTAGATATTCCTCTGATACCTTAGAGCTACATTCTTACCAAATCATTGGATCATTATGTTTGCAGGTTGGGCTTGAGCTCCTTCCCCGGGACTACGAGGTGGATACTGCATCTCCTTTTAGGAAGTCTGATATCATAAGTATGATCCCTGTCTATAAGGTAAGGTGACAGCCTCCGGAAACTGGGATGTGGAAGTTTAGCTATTAGCTCATTATTTTAACTTGGTTGTGTTCATGTTCCGCAGCATGTTGCATGCTCGTCAGCAGATGGACGGACATTATTGGAATCATCCAAAACTTCCTTGGATAAGGGGAAGCTGGAAGATGCTGTTAATTATGGCACCAAGGTGGGGATTATTGGCTTCTCTCTTTACCTATATCACTCCGTGCCTCTTGCTGAATCAAATTTTTAGTGGACTGTGTGAACTGATATGGTTGTTCATATGTTTAAAGGCACTCTCAAAGCTGGTTTCAGTCTGTGGCCCTTATCATCGGATGACTGCTGGAGCGTACAGTTTGCTTGCTGTAGTTCTTTACCATACTGGCGATTTTAATCAGGTACAACATCTCAGACAGTTTCAGGCATCTCTGCCATTGCTAATCAATAAGTTCTTGTATGTTCCTGAACCTAATCTTCTGACAACACTGGGGCCGATTCAACTGCTTTTCTCGGGGGGATATTATTATATTTATACTTGCTTGCTACTCAAACTAACTCATTTGAGTTGTCCAGGCAACCATTTACCAGCAGAAGGCATTGGACATTAATGAAAGGGAGCTTGGACTTGACCATCCTGATACTATGAAAAGCTACGGGGATCTAGCCGTCTTCTACTATCGTCTTCAACACACAGAATTAGCATTGAAGTACGTCCCCTTTGTTCCCTTCCTTAAAAATTCCCAAGAAACTTTGTTAGTTTCATTCACTTCATGCTTCTGATGTAAACACTTGAACAACACTGGCTATTATTTTGCACCTATCATTGATTGTTTGCACTTACTCTTCCAGGTACGTCAACCGGGCACTCTATCTCTTGCACTTAACGTGTGGACCATCTCACCCGAACACAGCTGCCACATATATCAACGTGGCGATGATGGAAGAAGGATTGGGAAACGTCCATGTTGCTCTTAGGTATCTTCACGAGGCTCTGAAGTGTAACCAGAGGCTACTTGGGGCTGACCATATTCAGGTAACACTTCTCTCTCTGTTGCAGTGTAAATGTAAGTAGACCGGTATTGATCAAATGCCCTGACTAACGTCTGGCATTTCTTACAGACTGCTGCTAGCTACCATGCCATTGCAATCGCTCTTTCATTGATGGAAGCTTATTCCTTGAGCGTTCAGCATGAGCAGACTACGCTTCAAATCCTGCAGTCGAAGCTTGGGTCTGAGGATTTACGCACTCAGGTTGTGCTAAGTTCAGAGAAATCATATTTTTTCCCTTTTTATATGTCAGCAGGGATACGATCTTAAACCACTTTTCAGTACTCATATTTGTCTGTGACGGCATTTTCGTACAGGATGCTGCAGCCTGGCTCGAGTATTTCGAATCCAAGGCTCTCGAGCAGCAGGAAGCTGCGCGTAATGGCACTCCCAAGCCTGATGCCTCCATCTCCAGTAAAGGCCACTTGAGGTAAAGGAGTGTTCCTCAAAGAACTGGGAGTTACCTCTACCCTTCACCATCCATTAGTAAAGTGTTCTTCAGAGAACTAAAGCAATCACCCGTTCCTCATTTTTCCGGTACTGGACCAGTGTGTCGGACCTTTTGGACTACATAACTCCAGACGCAGATCTAAAAGCAAGAGAGGCCCAGAAGAAAGCACGCGCAAAGGTAGTGGAAATATTCACTCTCCATTCCATCATTCCTACCACTTTCAGAATCTTTCCCATTTTCTGAAATTTCAACTCACGTCCATATTCCTTATCAGCAGATTAAAGGAAAACCAGGCCAGAATGGGGAACCGGGCGTTTCAGAAGAATACCAGAAGGACGAGGAAGCACCACCACCAACTTCCCACGTCGAGGATAACTCCAGCGACAAGGAGAACAAATCCGTGGCCCAGTTCGATGCTCCACGAGACGAGAAAAAGCCCGATCAGAACCAGTCCCAGTCGATATCGATCAAGACCGACGTCGTCATTGTTACTACTCAGGAGGAAGATTCCGACGAAGGGTGGCAGGAAGCCGTCCCCAAAGGCCGCTCCCCTGCGAACAGAAAACCTTCTGCTCCAGGTGGCGGTTCGAGGAGGCCGAGCCTCGCGAAGCTCAACACCAACTTCATGAACAATGCCTCTTCCCAGTCGAGATTCCGCGGTGGGAAGCCAAGCCCGAACGATTCTGCTTCTCCTGCTTCCGCTGCGGCAGTTGCTGTTCCCGCCAAGAAGTTCGTTAAGAGCGCGAGTTTCAGCCCGAAAGTCAACCAAGCCGTTGGTGGACCGGAGAAAGTTGTGGGAAATCCCAAATCTGCCCCTGTGACTCCAGCTACTAATGACGCAGTTTTGAGACCGGTTTCGGCGGGAAGCCAGATCAGCGTTCAAGCAGCTGGGAAGCTCTTCTCTTACAAAGAAGTTGCTCTGGCTCCTCCAGGGACGATCGTGAAGGCGGTGGCCGAACAGGTTCAGGTTCTGCCACCGCCGAAGGAGGGGACTCGTTCGAGAGAACCGAGTCCCGAAATCTCCGCTACTCCTACTACCGATTCCTCGAGTTCAAAAAATGGAGAGGAAGGAACAAAGCCACCACCCCCACAAACAGAGCAATCAGCCGAGACTAAGGAAGCAGAAACAAAGCCTGCTGAAGAAGTAGTAGTAGTAGCCGAAACTCAAGCTTCTGCCACCGCCGACGAAGTTGGGATTCAGGAATCAGGAAATGCAGTTGAGGAAGAAGTGTCATCGACCAATGTGGGATTGCCCCAATCCGCTGCTGCACCCGATGAAGTGGCAGCCGTTGCTGCTGAGCAGCAAGAAGCAGAGGAGATTCTTCAACCAGGGGAGAAACAGAGTGAAGCCGAGAATGGAAAGGAAGGAACGAAGAAGCTATCAGCAGCTGCACCCCCGTTCAATCCATCTCAGATTCCGACAACAGCAGCGATCATTCCGACTTTCGGCTCTGTCGGGGTTCCGGCGTTTAAGGACCACGGTGGGATTCTGCCTCCGCCGGTCAACATCCCTCCGATGCTCCCTGTCAACCCGGTAGCGGTACGGAGGTCTCCTCACCAGTCGTCGGCTACGGCGAGGGTGCCATATGGTCCCAGGCTGGCCGGTGGGTACAACAGGTCCGGAGGGAACAATCGGGTCCCAAGAAACAACAAACATTTCCACACTGCCGGTGAAAATGTCCCCGCCGGTGACGGGAATCAGTTGAGCCCTCCAAGGATTATGAACCCACATGCTGCCGAGTTCATTCCTGGCCAACCTTGGCTCCCCAATGGCTACCCGGCCGGCTCCCCCAACGGCTACCTGGCTGCTCCTCCGACAATGACCAACGGGTTCCCTGTTTCCCCGACCGGCATTCCTCTGTCCCCCAACGGATACCCGGTGGCTCCGATGAACGGGTTCCAGGAGTCTCCTCCTGTTAGTCCCGTCGAAGCCACTGCCACCGCCGAAAACAACCAAACTGAAACGGCGGCGGAGAAGAGCGGCGGTGTTGAGAGTTCATCTCCAGAAGAAGCAGAAGTAGAGAATCAGCAAGATGATGATCACAATGAGGTGGTGGCTGAGAGTGCCTCCACAGAGGAAGGAGAACAGTTGGCTGATTCAGTATCCGTTCCTGCTGATAAAGTGGCGAATCCGATCGTCGAGGAGAAACAGGGCAAGTCGTGGGCGGATTACAGTGACAGTGAAGCCGAGGCTGTCGTGGACGTTTCGTGTTGAAGGGAAGATCGACATCCGAATTCGGAACAACAGGAAACGAAACCCTTGATCCATTTTGTAGATTGTAAGGTTGATCTGCCTTACGGAAGGAAGGAGAGGAGAAGGGTGTACAGTAATCACGACGCTGTGAGGAGAGGGGATTTTTTCAAACAGGAAAATGCAGTCGCCGGTCGGGAAGAGAAACAAAGCCTAGAATAGCAGCATTGGCGAATATGGACGACGAGCATTTCGCCGCCGGCCACAGAGAATCGCCGGTATCGTTTCATTTGCAGCTTTCCGACATTTGTTCGTTCGTTTTGTTTTTGTTCGTCTTTCGTCTTATATTCTTCCTTCATTGCTGAAGAAACCTTTTTTTTTTATCGGATGATGGCACATGAAGGTACTCAGTAATAAATCGAATCAATAATTCTATTTATCTCTTTCAAGTTCAATGCAATGTACCTAAGAATGATAATTTTGATGTGATAGTTAACTTTCGATGACTATCGATCGGATTAGAGCATCGTCTCTAAATAAATTTACCCGATACAACCCTCAACTAATGGTGTATGAGTATGAATATTTAGGTACGACGCAGCTCGTCTCTACTGAATCGTTACTCCTAGCTCTTGCTATTACTTCTATGACACTGAATTTTTCGTGAGTATTGGAGCGGAGTATTGTCTCTAGATCAAATTATCTTTGATATGGTCCTTATAATCTAGTATTGAACGAGTATGAATATTAAGATACGAAACTCGCCCAACGTGATTGTAATTCCTAGCTCTACTATAATTATTTCTACTATTGAGCTGAAGCGTCAGAGATAACATTACAAATAAATCTTTTTCTAGTACAAACAATCACAGCCGTTACAGACAAACAACAATTGACCGCCAAAACGTTTCCCTCTCTCTCAACACGAAGGCGTCCCCTGCCGGAAATGCATGATGATAAGCGTCGCAAGGCTATGAGCCACGGCGGCCATAACCACAAACACATGGAAGATCTGGTGGCTCTGTCCAGCAATGTCGAACGCACCGGGCCACCACCGCTCCGGTACCCTCCCGACGTAGAACCCTGCTCCGGCGGCATACAGGACCGCCATGATCACCTCGAGCAGGACCGAGATGAACACGTGCGGGTGGCCCCAGTGGATGGACACGGCGTGGACCGCCGGCACGATTCCGGAGAAGCCCATGACGAGGAACAAGGTGGCCCGGAACCTGCGGTACTCGGGAGCCGAGAGCTGGGGAGAGAGCAGGGTGATGATGGCCATCACGCCGACGATGGTGATGGTGGTGAGGTAGACGAAGCGGGAGATCGGGTTGCAGTGGAAGATGTAGTAGATGGGTGCGTAGAAGGAGGAGACGATCATGATGGAGATTCCGGCGTAGTCGAGCCGCCAGAAGAAGAGGTTGAAGGTCTTGGAGTGGCAGGCGAGGAGGTGGGAGAGTGAGCTGCAGATTAGGCAGGTCATTGCTCCGGCTAAGTAGACGAACCACGGCCATTGTGCGATGGGCTCCGATCCGGCTTCCAGCTCCGACATTCGCCGGAGGTGTTGGTCCTGCAAACGGAGGTACAACAGGTTATTGAAATGAGAGTATGGAACAAAAAGAAGGGGGGAAAGTTGTGAACTAATTAGTGCACAGATTGAATTGGAACATCTCTAAGAAATTCCTTAAACTACCAAGACACCTAAGTGGTAAGGTAGGTGAGTCGGCTATTCTATTGAGATTAAAATTACGAGAAAACAAATAGATTGTATGTCCGAATTCTCTAACCTCGTAAGTTTGCGGAGTATCCATTATTTGTAAAGGTCTATGAAGTATTCATTAACTGTCGTCTAGAAAGCTTGAAACTTTTCTTTATGGAAAACAGAGTATGGAGCAAAAGGAAGGGGGAAAGTCGTGGACTTTTACTGCAGATTGAAATGGGACATCTCCACCACTCTAAGAACTTTCCTTCAACTACCAAGACACCTAAGTGGTAAGTTACGAGAGTCAGCTATACTTTCGAGTTTACAATTACGAGAAAACGACTAATAAAACTGTATGTCCGAATCCTCTAGTCTCGTGAGTTTTGCAGAGTATTCATCCACTCCCGTCTAGAAAATTTGAAACTTTTCTTCAAGGGATCACATTAAACAAAAAGCACTTTCCATCCCCATTACTATTTGCCATTCAGAAGACCTTTCAGTGACCTTAAAGGGTCAAAAGGGAAGAAGAAATATCTCCTTCAATAGATTCTGCAGACAATTCTTTGGGTAGAAAACAACCCAAAAGTAGTGATGGCAATTTCAATCCGCCCCGCGGGTATTATCCGATCTGACTCGTGATGGGGCGGGTATTACCCGACCTGCAGTAGTATGGGGCAGGGCATGGGTATCAATTTCCGACCTGCCCTGCCCCGTCCCGCCCCGTTCTAGACTCATTTTATCTCAATTTTTTACAATTTCTATACATATTTATCCTATTTTGACTTTTCTTCAACTAGCTAGAGTCGCTCTTTCAACTTGCTAGACTCAATTACCCATTCTATTATCACTATTTTTCATTCTTAAAGTGTTTTACCCTTCGTTTTATCGTAAAAGTAAAATTTACTTGTATTTTTTCGAATAACATGTTAGAGTGGGTCGACCCGTCCCGCTCCGTACCTACGCGGGTTTTCCCCACCCCGCCCCGTAGTAGCGTGGGGCGGGGCATGGGAATTGAGGTACTCGCCCGGCCCGCCCCATTGCCATCACTACCCAAAAGACAAAAGGATTGATTGAGGTACCAAACAGAGAGTACAATTAGAGAAAGTGAAAAGTCATGAAGAAAGTATTGGCACCATTTCCTACTAAAAAGTAAAAAACAAACAGTACTGTAGCCAGCAGACATCATAATTCACATGGCGTTTGGTTGAGATTAGAAAAGGGGAAGGCATCACTCATCACATGGTTCGTTCGTTCCCCACACTCTCTTGAAACCCTTTATACCTTTTTAGTCACACAGAATATCCCCTCTTTGATCATTTCCTTATACTATTGATTTCCAAATTCAAATTCAATCAGAACTAAGGCTATCAAACTTTCTAGTTCACTGATCGTCTTCTTCGTGGCTATCGACGGAGCTATACTGCCTAATCGCTCACTCTTATAGACTTGTATGGAAAAAGGGGGAAGAAATGAACTTACAGGAACCAAGCTGTTATCAGAGACGTTGAAATCACTGCCATTGTTCATTATCAGTGCCATCAACGGTCCAGAAGCTTGACCACTGCGATCAAACAGTTGCAATATAGAAAACTCGTAATCGATAATCGAAAGTCTAAAATGGCGTCGACGGGAGTGAAAATTCAGCGACCGTACCTCGATAAATCAGTGAGAAATCCTCCGATCTCGTCCAATTTCCCCAAGCAGCTCATCACCGTCAGTCCAGCAAAGATCAAGAATCCTCCCAAATGCCTACAAGGTAGAGCAACCAAAAGGCAAAATCCACAATTCCACGAAATCAAAACCCTACCATTTCTCCTAATCAGGAAACTGAACAATTTCAAAAAAAAAAAAAATTCGCGATCGATTATCCGATTCCGTACGTACGTCCAGATGTTTAGGGTTTCGTTGTGCCAGGAGAAGACGCTCCACAGCGCGTCCCGGAGCGGCCACTCCGACCGGTAATGGTCGAGGATGAACTCGTTGTCTTTCAAAAACTCCGGCAGGTCCTTGAATTTCACCAGCCTCCTCTCGAACCTCTCCTTCTCCTTCCTCCTCCGATCTCCTCCGCCGCCGCCGCCGCAGCATGAGAACGAAGTAGTAATCACTTCCTCTTCCTCCTCCTCCACCATCGCCGCCGCGTTCGTCTTCCTCCGTACGCCGCCGCTCATTTCCCACTCCCTCTCTCTCTCCGAAAAGAATGAGTATTCCGTTCTCCGGCGAGTGACGAGGCCGCGGATCCGATAGGGAAAGCTTTCTTCCCCACCTCTACTTTCGCTCTCTCTTTCTCTCTGTTTTTAGCTTCTTCTTCTTCTTTGCTTTTGCTGCTTTACCATTTTTCTGGTTTCCTGTTTCGAGGGATTTATAACGAACCGGCAGGATTTAGCCGCGTGACTTGTTTGAAAAAAAAAAGGATCTAAAATCATTAACCCGACCCGCCACGTTACGCGCGGTGATTGGCTGGTGCAGGTTTAGGAACTTGGTCCCGGCCACACGTGATTGGTGCTTCTCCCCTGGGGAATTCTTTTTATTTTTTATTTTATTTTGGGGAACCACTTCTCTGTAATTTAGTTGGGAAAATTAAATGTGTAGGGTTGGCCGGTTGGGCAGATATGTGCATTAAATTAGGTGACCCTAAAATTGATGATTTATGGCACTCTTCTCTTATCACAAAACCTTTATGGTTACCTAGTTTGCAAGTTGACAGTCAGTTAGCTAGAGAAGGAATCAATATTATTATCTATAAAAAAAAGTAGCATTTTTTCGGGGGAGGAATAGCGTAAAAACTGCGTCCTAATCTACACATAATATAATACACCGAAGGGAAAAACGGGAGCCCCATTTCAAATTTCCTGCGACGAGAGTGAAAGTAGGAAGGACATTTTGGTCTTCACAATTACTTTTTTTTATTCATTAAAAAGATATGTACTGGGATTTGAACCATGACCATTTTAAAGACAGGCAAGGATCATAACCAATCACACTAAGTACATTTGTTGTATCCTTTTAAATTAAAAACATATAATAGCAGGGTGGAAAAAACTCTTCCCCCATTTCAAATTCCCTGTTCCATGAGCGTTTGTAGGAAGGGTAGAATAGGGAGTGTTAATTTTTTTCTCTTTCCTCTGTGGAACGGGCCAACTTACCGTACACATGCGGATTTAAACGAGTCAAGGAGTGTCAATTTTTTTTCTTTATACCCTTTTATTTATCCGTGGTGATAAAATATATATGAAAAGGCAAAAATAATACTCCTTTTTATTGTTAAAAATAAAAAATTTAATAATAGACTAATGCATGGTATCTAATGGGCTAACCGCTAACCATAAAATAAAAGAGTTGAATGGGTCTGACCTACATGGGATTTGGTCATCAAGTAAAACAAATGAACATCATGGGTTTGCCATTCTAAAACAAGCTATTTTCTCTGGCATAATATATATTATGCTATTATTTTATATCTTAGTGGCTAAAATATAATGTATTTTAAAGTTATTCAATGGTTCAACCTCGACCAACCCAATTAGTCCAATTTTTATCATTTCAAATATATATTTTATAATTATTTGACATCATAATGATCAAATTATAGTGTATTGTATAGGGAATCGTTTGGTATTTGTTAGTAAAAAACTAAACATAAAAATCTATTTGGTAATTTTAAACATTAAAACGATCCTCAACATTTTCAGTTCCTTTTGAATTTATATGGTTTTATTCCCGAATAAGTGATGTGCAAATGGCGAATTGTAGTCGTCTTTTTTCTTTCACTATTTTTTATTTTCAAATAGAAAGTTTAAAAGTAAAGAATAATTAGAATTTGGCATAGGTCGGTCAAACAGGTTGAATTTCAAGTTTTGGTCCATTTGTTTTATGCATTGCAAATTTATTAGCATGTTGATGGAAATGGCTTGGAAAAAATACATATAAGTTGTATCTTTGAAGAAATGTCCTCAAATGTTTGAATGCTTTGTGAATCAGGTTCTGTGACTTTTGTGATGGTGTATGTGCTTGACGATTGCTCGATGTTGTAACTACTTAATTTAAGAGTAAATCTTTTGATTTTCCTTATGAGTTGTGATACCAGTTCTGGTGGTTGCAGCATGTTGTCGTTGTTGGCCTTTAAAAGTTGTTCCGCCGTGATGCTAAATACCTTTCTTTCTTTTTTAACAAATTGTGTAGTAGTGCTATGAAACAGACCACCCATGAACGTTACGCTTATTATGGTCTGTTCTTACTTCCGGTGGTGAGAAATTGTGAATTGAGAATCATATTCGCCTACCGCACTGTGTCTGGTTGGTGGCTGCTTACTGTGCTCTCTAGAGCTATGAAACAGACTACCCATGAACTTTACCCTTAAGAGTCCATAACTTTGCGAAAAAACAAATATAGGCAATCAAAGGTGGTGGATGTGTGATGATTTTTTATGGCTTAATTGTTTGTGAATTAGATATTTGATCTTTGTATGATTAGAGGGGATGTTTGCTTAATAGAATAATCCATTTTAATTCATGTTTATTTTTAACATGAACTTTAGTAACTCAAAACCTTCGAGACACATATCACCTACTGCATTGTATCATTTTGCCTGGGTGCTTGCTGTGTTGTCAAACTTCTTTGCTGCTGATGCATTTACACTAACAGGGGAGTTAAGAACCCATGAATGTTTCCGTTTGACACAAACAAGAGGACTTACTTCTAAATCGTGCACTAAAGATGATTGGAGGAAACATCTCTGTTGCAGTTGATACACTGGAGACCATAACAAAAGCAACGTATAACATCAAAACCAACCATCTGAACTATTAGCATTGTTGCTTTACTCTTTTTTCGTGGTTGAGTCTCCTTCAAAAAATTTAGTTTGATTTTAGAAAATTTTGCTTCTGCAGTCTTGTCTTGCCACCAACGCGTTCAGTAGATGGAAATGGCAGAGGCGAAGGCTATTTTGTGTTGTTGTTGCTGGTTTAGGGATCGGTTTGTGAAGAAGAGGGAGAAGTGAGGGGGAAAGGGAAATGCATGAGAGGGGGATAACTCTTTTCTCCGACAAAAATGGAGTGAAGAAAGGAATTATGATCAGTAAGGATATGGTTATCTTACATAACTGTGTCTATTCTGTTTGAATTGAGCTTGGGAGGTAGCGATAAGGACGAGCTGCAACCAATTCATAGTGATAAGAGTGCTATGAATTGTGATCATGTCTTATTTCAAGTTAGAAGGTAGTTTCAGTATAAGGATTATTTAATTTGACAAGTTGTTTCGTCCATGATTCTTGGTAGTTTCAGTGCCATTCTAGCCATTGTTTATTCTGTAATTTTTGAGAATTGATGTGCGAGTAATGACTTTCACTTAGCTTCAACTATTATGTGTGTATTTATTGGCATGTGATAGAATTCTCTTTTCCTTTTCTTTGAATTCATTTTCATACTCTAATTGTATCATTTGTACATAGGCAAATCATGCTCGAGATGACAACTTGCTGATATGGCTGGTGCAAGGAATGAAGCCATCATTAAAATTCAGACCGACAACGGGGAGGGATGCCCAGGACTAATTCAATGATGATTGATGATGGTATGATAAAAACTGCAGTCTGCATCAGCACCAATTTCTAGGCCTAAGTAAAGTTATTCAACCCAGAACTCTACTTAGCGCTAAAAATTGCCCTCACCCAACCTTTATCCTGTTTCACCCACTTCTGAAGAGTCAAGATATATTACTAATTCTCTCCATTCGTATTTTCTTATTGACTCTTTCTGACCCTTTAGGTTGGGGCGGGTCGGGAAGAATCGGATTAGTGGGCCGGTCTTAATCAAGTGGAATCCCAATCCCTTCACTCTCACTTGCTTTCTCTCCCATTCCACAAGTGGGTAACATACAGTAATCCGGCCAACGGGCCGGGTAATAAGCTAGTGCATTACAGTATAGCATGAAGAATTAGCCCGTGAATGGCATATACTAAGCTATAGTAGCAGGCTGACGATATCATAGTTGTGATTCGGTTCAACCACACAATCAACTACTGCTATTTGATAAGTACAAGCATTGGTAAAATGGTTAGGGGTGGCTATACGGTCCGGTCCGGTTAAATTGGACCAAATTGATCTGGTCCCGGTCCGGTCTTTTCGGGAATATAAGGACCAAAGATTGGATTAGATACAGTCCGGTCTTGATCTGGTCCGGTCTTGACCCGGTCCGGTCCCAATTTTATATTGATTTTAGGTGTTGGGGGTCTCTTATCCGGTCTTTATCCGATTTTTTACCTCAAATCTAAGCCCGAATATGAGATTGCATTGTTTGCTATCCGGTCCCAGTCCGATCCCGATCCGGGTTATACAGTCCGGTTTGGGGTAAAACCAAACAGTTCAGGACCAAATAGCCAGCCCTAAAAATGGTACACATGTTTCTCGTCGGAATCCATGCAAAAACGAGTGTTCTAGCGAGAGATAATGAAAAGTGTGGATGTAATTTGTTAGTTAGTCGTGATGATAACGACTATGAAAGACACATGGGGGCTTAAATATGAAATGGAAATATGATGGAAAGATTGTCCTTTGGGTACCACAAGGTAACCCCATATGTGATTTGGTAGAAAGGCATTGCAATAATTATGCATGGGACAACTAGATTTACTTAATCTAGTGCTATAAAAGCATAATCATGCACAGTCATAGTTTCATCCAAAGATTATTACATGTGTCCCAATTTAGACAACCATTTTTTTCATCCAAAAGTGCAAACATATACCTTACTTCCAAGCATATTCATTGAATGCCTTAGGAAACACATATTCAACAATGTACCACTGATATCCCCCAAATGCATGCTGGTGGATGTGCCCTACAGACGAGCGCGAGTAAGGTTAGATTCAAGTTGGATTGATCGTATCAACATGTTACAGTTTGATCATGTCATGCGTCAATTGAATTTGGGGCTGGTTATGATACGTATGAATCATATCGTGAGAATCAGTGAGAATGCGATATCGCAAAGTGAATTATATTGAGTCACGATTCACACTGATTGATTTGATCATGACATGCGTTAATTGGATTTTGTTTTGGGTTGGTTACTATACGTATCAGTAAGATCGTGTGAATCAATGGGAACACGATCAATTGCGCATTGACTTTGGATCGAGTCACCAGTTACAATTCCTTCTTTCTTGTCAACCCAAGTTGTGCGGTTGAATTTGGCAGGTTTGGTCATACAATAACCAAACTGGCATTTATTGAGTCGGCCACTAAAAAGAGTCAATGTTCTATCTATCCAGTGTGAATTAATTGATGTAGTGTTTAAGACAATTAAATGGCAGACGTGAGGATGAAGCTACCTAGCTAGCTGTTGGAAGCTCACCTACTTGAGTAGGGAACAAGTTAGGTCAGTTTAATTTCGATGCACATATTACACTTGAAGAAGGTTTTAGCTAATTACGTGCACATCTCAAGCTAAATGTTTGGTTACCAATTGGACACGATTTTGCTACCAAATTAGCAAAGAAGTTCGTCTACCATTAGTGGATACACTAACCCAAATTTAAGTTTTGTTAAACGGGAAGGAAGGACTATTCTAATTGGTGTTTAGCCAAAAATGCAAAACGTAATTGTGGGTGTTAGGGGAAATCACACACTCCATGCATGTGTTAGTTTCAAGACCTTTCTTGCATATGCTTATCATCTCTTTTCTGATTGTATACAAAGAGTACAAGTACGATATTAGAAGATTCATTATGATAAAAATTGTATTAAGTTTAGCAGTATTCGTCGATCGAAAGTAACTTGAAAAGTTATGAAGCATAGCAATCCACATCCACCTCATGCAAATTTTGATTGTCACTTAATAGCTTAAGGTGGCAATGTGATGTGATTTCCATGGCATGCATGTGCAAATTGTAAAATTCATAACCTAATAATTAAAATACCGATGTGTATTCGTCCAAAAACATTTTTGTGATGGGATGTTGAACTTGAATGATGGCGACAAAGAAAGCAAATTATCTGGATATGGATCCATCTCAAAATCCTTAAATGGGCCATATAACGCAACTAGTTGGTCATGAATTTGGATAGGGTCAATATTCACATTAGTGTGCTACCAAGTACCAACAGATGCCAGCTCTGGACCTAGCCTGAGCTAATGAGGTAATAGAGCCCAATCCCAAACCAATTGAAAGCCCAAATGGTAGCAAACTGCTTAAAATAGTAACTATTATGCGATAAAGATCAAACTTCGATAGTCTAATAAAAAATTTCCGGGTTTTATCATTGGTCCAGTAGTTGCTAGTAATATGATGACGAATCTCACAGAATTTTCATTCTACGTATTTTCTTATTCAATGTAAAAACAGTGTAGATGTTATTAATAGATTTGAGAACTCAGTTTATTACTCTTATGGTGTTATTTCGGGTCGTTTGGTAAGTACGTAATGTAGAATTCATGTATTTGAAGAATTCATGTATATTGTAAGTTGAGTAATATTAGAACATATTGTTTGGCTTGCATGAGTTCATGGTAGAACCCGCATAATTTGGCATGAAATCTCAAATACTTTGGGTAAACCCAAAGCATTTGAGATACCATGGTCATATGAATTCTAGAATTACAGATGCACCAATATCATGATATATGTCCAAAAATAAAACAAGAAAAACAGTGGAATCTTAGATATCATGTAATCTTGAAATCCGTGGGTAGATTACATGCTTACCAAACGACCTCTAGGCTTAACTAAATCAGAAGTCGTACTGAACAAAGAATTCTGAGTCTTCAATAAGCTAATTCTAATTGCATCTTTTTCAGGGTGATCATCTATGGTTATCTTATCTCTATTGAACCATTTGTAAGAAATATAGGACGAATGACGTTCGTAGCAAATCACTTGTCAAAATGATTGAATCAAGAGATTATGCTGATTGAAGTTTATCTTCACCGGTGCAATACATTACCCCTAATCGTAAATGCTCATTTAACAAAAAAAAAATCGTAATCTGCAGTGAACTATTACTCTTACACGATGAGAATTTTCTTGCAATCATACCATATATTATAATCACTTAATTACATGTTGTTGCAGCATTGATGTGTAAGTGCGATATTAGGATATGCTTGTTTTTATTAAAAACTCACAGAGAATGTGTCGCACTCAATTATAAGAGTGCAAAATATTTGTCCTGTTCAAGCATATGGAGATGTTTGGCCTGCAAATCTCAATACATGAAATTGAAAGGCAAATTTGTATCATTAATAACTTTGTATGGTATGTTGAAGATAAATAGGTAATCCTCTGGTATGGTTTGTCTATATCTCGTCTTCCATTTCTATATCTTTTCCTTAACGATCAGAAACGTTAATGTTCTTAATTTTTCTCCTATAGATAGCTCGAGAAGAAAAGAAAGATATAAAATACAAAAGTTATAGACTTTTGCGGATAAAAATCGCATAACAGAAAGAAAGAAATGAATGTTGATCGAACCAATTCCCAATAAAAGGTACCCTTGAACTCTTCTTTTGATTAACGAAATTTTCACTCTTATACAAAAAAATTCCCAATAGGAGAGGTTGTTGTTCCAGAAAATGAGTTGTCCTGTCGTACATACTGATATTTTTTTTTGACAAAGATGTTACTTGTATTTCACTTGGAAAGAACACGGTTACAAAGAAAAGGAAAACCCCCTGAAATCCAGCTTCAAGAAAAGACCCCAAACAAGAAAGAAACCCAAACCAACCAGAAGAGAACATCAAACATCCAGAGAACACAGTCGCGAAAACATAACAAGAACAGAAACAACAAGGGATCCTTCCATGAGCCAAAACACAGGAATCATCAAAACTTTGTAATCACATCAACCAGAGTGGAACACAACAGCTTCAGCTCACCCAAACCAGTCTTGACCATGAAAAAGGGCATTGCTAATTCATATGCCGCCTGCTGGGGGTTGTTCAAAGACACCCATCACAGTGAATCGCCGAATGGGGATTGCACGACGGTGGAAAGGACTGTGAACGGGCTGCTCAGAGCTGAAAACAAGGCCAACGGGACCGGGACGAAGAGAGCCAAGAAACAGAAGTGTGAGATTCACCCAAGGGTTGAAAGACAACCACACAAAAGCAGAACCGAGAACAGAAACCACCTGCAAAACCAAACACCAACAGAGAACCCCAACACAAACCCAAACCCAGAACCCAAAGAAGCAGCCCCAACAACACTCCCAACAACAAACAAAAAGAGGAACAGACGAAACCTTGCATGAATCTCATGACATCTGCAACCAAAGTTCACCCGCCTCAGCAATCGAAGGAGACACCGCTTCCCCCACAGTCAGTCGAAGCATCGAGGAGCGACGACGGATGGGGAATCGGTGAATGCAATCACCCCAAAGGAGGAGAAGATGACCACACCAAGCTTGGATAGAAACCCAATTTGCATCCTCTGAACCCAGAAAAGAGCAGGGCCAAACCAGATCTAGAAGATCTAGTGAAGAAACCGGACAAATCCTCCTCCTAACGAGAGGAATGTGGAAAGAACCACTTCGGGAACGGAAAAAGCCACAACGGCTGCAAAATGCCATAGATGGCAAGGAAAGACATGAAAACACAGAGGAAGAGGACGGAGAGCAGGAAAGAAAAGCGAAAATGAAAAGGAGGATTGGGCTACCGCCGATCACCAAGATGTGCCGGCGGCAGCCCTGGGAGATTGAAAAAATAGAGAGAGCAGGGAAATTTGAACTAGAGAGAGAAAGGGGAGAGTCGTATAGCACGGTCATGAATGTTCTCTCCTGTTTCCTCAATGCTGGTTTTTCCGTATAGCACGGTCATGAATGTTCTCTCCTGTTTCCTCAATGCTGGTTTTTCCCTCCGTACATACTGATACAAGGAGCATAATGGAGCGATGCATGTTGTAGTGAAGTATGAAAGATATAAGCTTCTTTCGATAGAGTTCTAAATTAACATATATGGAATTGAAACTACTAGTTATTTCCAGTGGCGGATCCAGGGGGTGACCGTCACGGGTCACGGCCCAACCCTCTTCTGGATCCGAAACTAGTATAGCCTTTATAAAATTTTCGATTTTAGACATTCGGCCTAGTGTATTTTATAATAAGATTGTGTGTAATTAGAAAAATGGTTTAGATGAATACATTCAAATCACTACTCTAAATTTAGCCTAGAAATTTTATCCTCAATAATTTTGGTAAAAAAAACATTGAAACCTAAAATTCTAAAAGTTTAAAACGTAAAAGACTAAAAGAAATATCGAGTTTGTTCCCTTGAAAAATTACTAGAGCGGCTAGTGGAAATAGGGATGGACACACAATATAAATTGAGTAGTTGATTGATTTGTCTAGTGTTGATGTTGCCCGTTTCAACAACTATTATGGAGAGAACATTTTCAACAATGAAACATGAGAAAACTAATTTGTGCAACAATTAAGAGATGAATTTCTTGTTGGTTGTTTAACTATTTTATTTGAAAGAGAGTGTATTATTAGTATGGATATAGACTCCATTATTGACAAATTCGCTAAATTTAAAACTGTCGTGTACAATTGACATTGTAAAAAAACTACGGTTATTATATTTTTGTATGGTTTCTAATTTTCTAATGAAATGCGGCCTAGTGCTCTATTATATCCTGGATCCGCAGCTGGTTTTTTCTTCTTCTTTTGCAAAAAATATTAATAAAGGAAAAGAGAGTACCACTGGAGACAAGTTTTGCACTTCTCTAGTGTATTTTAAAGGAATCACTCTACCTCAAAAGTAACAAACCTAATTGTCTATAACATCTATGCTATTCATTTTCTTGCCAACTATCGTTGCAAATTGACGAAAAAAATCCCACTGTACACATGTTCTTAAAATTTTTTCCCAAAATACATAAGTTATAAAAATTTTCCCCAAAATACACATGTTTGGCATTCACTGTTTTTGACAAACGCAGTGAATATAATCAGCGCCTTTGTCAAACACGGTGAATAATTCACCGTTAAAAAAAAAACGGTGACGTATTCACCTTCTTCATCTAAAACGGTGAACAACCAGCGAGGCAAATACTGTTTTAGACGGACACGGAGCGGTGACATTTAAACCGCTGTGATTGGCCACGATGAAGCGAAGCGGATCGCTGACGTGGACAAACGCGGGGTATTCACCGCGTTAAACAAACACGGTGAATACCCCGTGTTTGTTTGCGTCAGCGATCCGCGTCGCTGCCGCGTTCACCGTGGCCGTCGGATGCGGTGAGGCGCGGATCGTGGTTTTCTTCCCAGATCCGACGCCTCACGTTAAGCCACGTCGCTCGATCCGCGCCCTTTCACCGTCCTTGAGAAACGCGATCACTTCACCGTTTCTGACGGAGGCGGTGAATGCTCCCCAGTTTTCTTCAGCTGATCCCTTCCCCAGAGTGTTCCTGTTCATGGTTAATGACTTAGCTAATGCCATTGCATGTGAACAAGGGATTCTCTCGTTTTGATATTTTTGACATGTACACTCCCCTGATTCGTAGTGCAGAGTAACTGTTTGACGATTGTGGCCACGTCTACCTCCACCCCATACACCTGTTTCCACTGCAAATATCCCTTCACTGCGATCGAAAAGAACAACTTTATGCTTACTTGATTTTTCTTCGTTCTTCTGCATTTGCTCAAAAACGTCATGTGCTATCGGATGACCAGATATCTCCCTCCCAATCGCTAGCTGCAGCTGAGCCACCCGCCACTCGTTGACCTTCCAGTATGACATCTCCACTATGACAGAAATAGGCATCGCTCGAAGGCCCTTGTACACATTATTTATACTTTCTCCATGGTTGGTAGTTGCAATGCCCCATCTGGCCCCGTTGTCCATATGGAACGTCCACATGGCCAATTCTTGACCTTCAGCCCATACTGCTCCAGCTCGGTGAGTCTGACGGATCGCCTTCATCTCCTGCTCGTACTTTTTTGGCTGATGAACAATATAGAAATGGTCAATACATGATAAACAACAAATTAGTAAACACATAGATAACTCGCATTAAAGGACATTAGTACCTGCATGCCACAATTGATTTTTTATGTCTTTCTTCTTTCCAAATTTGTGTTGGAAGTTGGCGAGCCAGTGTCGAATACACCAGCGCCATGTCCATCCCCACTCGTCAGGAAAACCACCCACGACATTCCTAATCCCGGCGTGTCTATCGGATATAATCGTAATACCCTCCCGTTGTGTCACGTGCTCGTGTAGTTGGTCAAAGAACCATGCCCAACTTAAGCTGTTCTCCCCTTCCACTATTGCAAATGCAAGGGCGAAAATCCGCCTGTTTCCATCAACGCCGGTGGCAATGAGAAGAGTTCCTCTGTACTTCCCAATAAGGAAGGTTCCATCAACCTAATTAAATATTAGGAAGTAATTAGTATGAAATTTACTTGGTCTGCAAGAATAGAAACATTTCAAATAGCAAACACGTATTAAAATACCTGAATAACCGGTATGCAGAACCCAAACCCGTCAATGCATGGTTTGAAAGCCCAAAAAATACGGTGAAACATCAACTTCTCCTGTACTCGAACTTGATCCTCAGTGTATACATTGTTGTATACTGGCACGAAAACAGTCCCAGCGTTTGACACCTCCATTGCGGCCATAAGTCTAGGGAGTAAAGCATACGAATCCTCCCAATCACCATACACCTCAGCCATGGCTTTCTGTTTTCCATGCCATGCTTTTTTGTACCTTATCGTGTAAGAATGTCGATCCTTCCTCTCGGCCATGATAGCTTTGACTTTGATATCTGGTTGTGCTTCGATAAGGTGTTTAATAGTTCTCCCAATTTTCTTTGCTTTAAGTTGCCTGTGATCCTGGGAACGTATGGACGAGGAGCAAGTGTGGTTGGTCTCGGCTTTTCGAATCACCCAGGCACCCTTTCTCTTCAAATTTGCAGCCCGCAGTTGCCACGTACAACCCTCTGCATCATTCTTGCATATGACATGTAATTGTTTACTGTCAGAATATTTTACCTTCCACTCGAAGTTGCGCCTCAAGGCCTCTTCGGTAAAGGCATCCTGCACAGCGTCCTTCGATGAGAACGTCATACCCACCTCCAAATCGGCCGTCGGATTATACACTGGCATAGGGACAAAGTCGGGGGCATCATTCTGACTATGTAGAAATTGAGTTGGAACCTGTGTGTAGTATGGCGTGGGTGCCTCACGAAATGTCGCCTCGTCGTCGTTATCATCAGTATCTTCCTCCTCGCTCACTGATCTCAAATCTTCCTCAGTATCCTCGTCGCTTGAGTCAAATGGATAGCTCGGCCAAGAAGGATCAACATGACCACCATCACCAACATCGTCTTCTCGCTCAAATGAAGTACGCCCTGCTCGAATGGTATTCTCGATTTCAGCCCACTCAGGCCCCCAAGCAGGCCATTGAACGCCATCGGCAGGTTGATCCTGTTGCGAGTATTCTTCCGACGGCACCCATCCGGCACTACTACCTCCACCGTAGTTGATTGAACTACCACCCTCTCCATAACCTCCTGTATGACCACCTCCTTCGTAGTTGCTCGAACTACCACCCCATCCGTACCCTCCTGCAAAACAATCATCATAAGAATACTGGTGAGAATGAGTTTCACCGACCGCCTCGGTCTCAACATACACCTCTGCAAGCCGCATCCCGTTATCGCTTAGGAACTCCAACATCATCGTAACCGCGTCATCATCGTCTATGACAACTTCTTGGTACACAACCCCGCCAGCACTCATGTATGGATACCGGTAACTAATTTTGCCAAGTCTCGTCTGTTCGCTCGTACAAACCCTGTCTGCACAAATATCACAGAGTTCTTGAAAATTGAATCGCGACTCAATTTTCAGCATAGTGGATTCACCATTCTCATAATCAATCCCTATGTCAGAGTTTGTCACCCTTCCATTCCACCGAATAATAAGCCGAAACTTCTTGAGTTTACCCATATCTACAATTTACAACAAGTTAAACTATTAGTTTAAAGACAGTAAAATTAACCAAAACCATATTGTACGACTAATATTACTCCATCTCATAACTAACGTAACATAAATTCAACTAACTAACAACAGCATAAATTCAAAAATTAAGTACTACAATTGTTACGATAAGTAATTCATAATAACATAACAATATAACTACTAAAAACATCATTACGCTATAATATGAAAATTAAATCATACTATAACTACTAAAAACCCATCATTAACCTATAATACAAAAAATAAATCATACTGAAAATTCCCCGCCTGTGTATTATGCTCGGTTTTGGTTGCTGAAATTTGAAGAGGGGGGGAGTGGTTTTGTTTCTGTAAGTGCTGGTTGGCTGGTATTTATAGTAAAATCTGCCTAATATTCACCGTTTTTGTCAAACACGGCGAACACCATCACCGCGTTTGTCTCAAACGGTGAACATTAGGTAGCTCATACCTAATTTTCACCTAACAGGGGTTGAAAATGTGTCTAATACTCACCGTTTTAACCTAGAACGGTGAAGGTATTCACCGTTTTGCCCTAAAATGGTGATATATTCATCGTTTCCTACTAAAACGGTGCTATATTCACCGTTTTCATTTAAGGCGATGATTGGTTCACCGTTCTTGTCAAACGCGGTGATAGCCTTCACTGCGTTTGTCAAAAACGGTGAATACCAAATATGTGTAGTTTTGGAAATTTTTTTATAACTTATGTATTTTGGGAATTTTTTTTAAGAACATGTGTACTTTGGAATTTTTTCCCAAATTGACACACATAATAATGTCTTATCGAGTACTCTTTCCTATTGCGAGAGATGCAGTTCTTAGGTGAGATTGATTATCGTGAAAGTGAAAGGATGGTGCAATGTGGTGTGGTTCGACACGAGCAAGCTAAGTGGTATGGTATGGTACAACCGAGGAAGCTAGGGCATGTTTACTTTCATTTCTGTTTCCTGTTTTTGAGAAAACAGATGTTGAAAACAGGTGAAAACAACATTTTGTCGTTTCCGAAAACAGCAGAAAGTTGCCACTTTCTGTTTTCATAGTTGAAAACGAATAGAAAACAGAATGAAAAGTAAACAAGTTTTCTCATTTCGGTTGCCAAATTTATAACATGAAAACAGAAAATAGGAAACGAAAATGAAAGTGAACAGGGCCTAAGTGGCGCAAAGAATTGCATAGATTTTTTTTTTTTTGGTAGAAGAGAATTGCAAAGTTTCGATGCATTGTGCCAATGACAACAAGCCAATATGAAGTAAAAAAAAAATACACATAAATAAAATTATATAGCCATTAATAATTATCATGAAACTATGGATCTTGAATTTATTATTATGTGCATTCCTCTTGTTTTGACAGCTTTTGTACCCTTTCCATAATTCACACACCTCGTTTTTGGATCTGTAAAAAAAAAAAAAAAGGAATAGTGAAAACAAAACAAAAACGTCACTTTTTTTATCTGTCGCAATTAAGTCGCAAACTGTCAACAAATCACAGTTACCGGTTTTCATAACATTATAAAAAACAACTTACATTAACAAATTTTCCAAGAAAATAAGAAGAATAAAAAGAAGGTTTTTGCAATAACTGGACGATTTGTCTTCAATGATATACTTCTTTCTCACAAATGTCCGGCCAACATGTACACGGCCACTGTACGGTTTATTCTCGTTGCTCATTTGTTTTTTCACTCTATATTTATAGTTATGAGGTTACAAAATGTTCCCTTGGTATGCATGATTTCTCTCATTTCGTAATTAATATAAGAGAACGATATGTTATTGAATAGATATAACGTGTTTTTTTCTTCTACACAGTTTCATTGCTTATCTAATGTCATTTTTCTTTGTTGGTTCTTTGTTTTTCTGTGATTTTGGGTTCACATAACTTGTTGTAAAATGACATTCTTGTTTGTGACATATTAGGAAGGCTCGAAACGCTTTTATTTTTTGAGATCGTGTCACATCTCTAGTAATGACATCTTTTTTTTTTGTCAAAAGATATCATGTATTGATCGAAAAAATAGACAGTTACATCCTGGAAATCAGCTAGGTCTGGAAATCAAAGAAGCGACTCATAGTCGGATACAAAGAGAGGGCTTTCCTAGCTACCAAATGAGCTACCCTATTGTTCTCCCGACCTACAAAACGCACACTAAAGCCAGGCTGAGTACGAATATAATGAACAACCTCTTCCAGAACACCACCCAACCGGCTATCTCTCGTGTCGGCTTGATTAATTTTGTCAATAATCACCTTTGCATCGCCCTCAAATCGGACCTCCGACAAACCTTGCTCCACACACCAAATAATAGCATCCCTAAGCACAAGCAATTCCACCACTACAGGATCATCCATCCGAGAAAACTTGACCCCTCTCGCCAAAAGGAGTGTCCGCGCTGGGTCAAAAAGAACCATCCCACCAGCCGAATGTGACCCACCCTTAGTAGCTCCGTCCCACATGCAAATCAAATGAGAATCACCCGCTTGTGCTGTAGATTGCATTATCGGGATCTGTACCCTAGGCGCCTGATCCGCTGGTAGACCGACCCATTCCTCATACTGTTGGTTAAACTGTCGCATGAGTGCCAGGATCCCAAATTGTTTGCCTTCAAAGACTACCCAATTCCGAGATCGCCAGATCCTCCAAAGGATGGCAACAACAGCCATAACCATTGACGGTTGATGGATCAAACCCAACAGACGTTTGAGAAACAAAGTAAAAGTATGCCGAGGCAAACCCTCCCCCAAGTACTCCAACCCAGAATAATCCCAGAGGGCCCGCACAACCGGACAATAAAGGAACATGTGTTCCATTGTCTCCGGGCCATCCCAACAAACTGGACACCGAGGAAGCACCTAGACCTTTTTCTCAATAAGCGCCTCCGTAGTCGGCAGAGTCCGATTAAGAATTTGCCAAACAAAAACCTTCAACTTCGGAGGAATCCTCGCCTCCCAAACTCTAATCCAACTCGGCTTATCCATCCAGCTAACCGAGGATCGCCACCCACCCCTCCTCCTGTCCAAATCAACAGCCAAATGATAGGCCGACTTAACCGAGAAGACCCCGTCGCCCGTAAAAATGCCAGATAAGCTTATCAGGCACGTTCCAACGCGGGAGACGAATCGCTTTAATAGCCTTACAGGTAGGCGGGTCAAACCATTGACTGAGCTTCTCATCAGACCACCTACCTCCCCTCTCACAAATAACCTCCACCACCAAGGGGTCACCCCCCTCTAGCAAGATTCACGGATTATAGCTTGGGGGATCAAGTTGGTACCTAGGAATCCAGTTAGAATGAAGGAGGGAGACCGATTGGCCATTACCAACCTGCCATCTCAAACCCCTCTCCAATAACTGACGCCCATGCAGGATACTTAGCCACCCCCAAGAAGGACGAGACCTAGCATTTGCGGTCAGGAAAGACCCTTGAGGGAAATACTTGCCTTTATAGATGTGGGCAATAAGTGATTGAGGTTCATTGAGAATACGCCAGCCTATCTTAGCCAACTGAGCTTGGTTGAAATGTTCGAACTGGCGAAATCCCAACCCCCCATCATGCTTACTCCTGCACATGTTACGCCAGGACACCCATCTAATTTTGGGAGTACCGTCCTCAGCACCCCACCAAAAACGGGCCACATGCTTATCTAAAAGACGACAAAGAGCCAGGGGAAGATGGAAACAGGACATAACATGAAGGGGAAGAGCCAACGCTATGGATTTAATCAGTGTTTCCTTAGCAGCCCACGACAGTGTCCTTTGCTTCCACCCCTGAAGTCGCTCTAGGAGTTTTTCCTCCAAATATCTGAAAGTAGCCATTTTGGACCGAGCAACCAGCGTTGGAAGCCCCAGATATATATCGTGGACCCCCACCGCATCAACCCCTAGAATCGTGGCCAAGAAATCCTGATCTGGCGTGGAAATATTCTTGCTAAAGCACACAGTCGACTTCTCCAAATTAACGCATTGACCACTCAGTTCCTCATATTCATTCAACACCTCAATTAAATTCTCGCACTCCTACAGAGAACCTCGCAAAAATAAATAAGAATCATCCGCGAAGAATAGATGCGAGACTCTTGGAGCACGAGGAGCTACTTTCACCCCCTCTAGTTTTTTCTCCGTAACCGCCTTTCGGATGAGGGCTGCAAACCCCTTCGTGCAGAGTACAAACAAGAGAGGAGAGAGCGGATCCCCTTGGCGAAGGCCCCTAGAGGCAGTGAAATAACCCGAGGGTGTACCATTCATCAGAACCGAGAAAGAGGAGGATCGAAGACATTCATGTATCCATCCTTGCCAGACTGAATCAAAGCCCATCTTATCCAACACTGCAAGAAGAAAGGGCCATTCGACTCTATCATAGGCCTTTTCCATGTCAACCTTCAGAGCCATGCACCCCTTCTTCCCTTGCTGTTTTATTTTCAGATAGTGCATTAGTTCATGTCCTATAAGGATGTTATCAATAATCTGTCGGTCTCTAATAAAGCCATTTTGGCCTTCCGAAACGATCTGCGGAAGCATGCTAGCCAGTCGTTCAGCCATGATTTTGGTAATCACTTTGTAAACAAACTGGCAGAGACTAATCGGACGCAATTGTCTAATTGTTTCCACCGAGTCCACTTTCGGAATCAAAGTGAGCCAAGTATGGTTAAAACTTCGCAACATCCGACTCTAGTAATGACATCTACTTGTACGTTTTATGATGAAACCGAAAGACTTCATATCCCTCTTCCGCCCTTCGCTCCTATTTCTCGGCCTAAGGACTCGCTCACTCACACATTTCTTTCAATCGTTTTTCTAACTTATGATTTGACTACAATTCTCTCAAAGAGCATTTTTCAGATAGTTCTTACTAATCCCATTTGAGAGTTTGCAACGACAGAGCAAATAATATCATTGGTTTCTTCCCGATTGAAGTTGTAACAAATTCCCCCTCAGAAGCACTCCAGTTTGTCACTAACGAAAGGGTTCCTACGATTATGTTTATCCCAAACTGAAAACCACTTGCAGAGCCTTGATTACTGAATTGATCATACTAGATTGCTTGGTTCGAGTCTGATTGTGACAAGTCAACAAACATACGCACTTGTCTCAAAGAGAAAACACGAAACACGTATATCCTTTCAATAAACAAAATTTGAGAAACAACACTTTTCTAAACAAACACGGGGAGAGCATGAGATGGTGAACATAGATAATGCTAACCACATTATAGTTGAAATATGATTTATCATATGTTAAAATACGATTTCTCCAAAATGAAAATTACATAAACTTAAACAATTCAGGTAGAAATTGAAACTACTCAAGTGGGTGGTGGAAAAAAAAAACACAAGACCTCATTTCGTAAGATCTCATATTAGAATCGTCATCGCTGAATCCAACTTGTTGACATCACTCTCACATTTTATCATCAAAATCAAACAACTATCACAAACCCAAGGCTCATCATCCTGTTTGGGTAAATTGATAATTGAGAAATGTATGTTCCAAAAGCTGTAGCTAAAAGTCTCAACATACATATTTGAAAAAATTAATGACAATTAAGTAATTTTTTTTTCTAATTTCCGGCTGGAGGTAATGTACAAGCCTAGTTATCGACGCTTCTTTGATCTCAAAACTTTGTCACTAATCAGATTTTGTCTCCACCCTCTACTGTCCCATAATAATTAATAATATTACAGGGGAAACTTCAAAATTAAAATAAAATAATTCAACAATAACAAAATATTAAAACCTGGCAATGACATTACAGCAAAGAAGGTATCAATTAAATAAATACAGAATTAAAAGGGCAATCACACAAGGCAAATAAAATTTTTATTTCTTTATAGTAATTAGACTGTTAATAAATAAATAAATAAATTGGTTCACTGTTTAATCCAACCAATAAAACGATCCCGTATTATCGGGGGGCACATTAACAAGTAAGTGCCGACGCGGGAGATAAGACGACAAGCCGCGTGAGGACGGCAACGTCGTCGCTAAAACTGTTATAATCATTTCCTTAATCCTTTTCTTTTTCTATTAATTATGGATTAATTAATGTTAATTCGTACTGTTAAACCGCCGGCAACCCCCTTTCACAATCAGAATTATTATATAGATAATTTTAATTTCATTGTATATAATAAGAATAGACTTAATCTGAATATTAATTTTTAATTTTTTTTAACTTTTTCTTTGATTTCCATGCCAACCCAACCAAAAAAAAAAAAAAATTCAACCTTATTGTAGCTTTGCTTTCCTTATATAAGCCATTGGGCATTGGGAGAACCATCAATATTCAGTCTTCTAACTCTAATTCTTTTTTTTTTAGTTCGATCACTTCAGTCCTCGCAATATCGGTTACGAAAAATCAAAGTGCAAAAATTTCCACTCTTTTCTCGCTCGAAAGGCCGACGCCAAATGGGGAAACAGAGGGGCAATAGCAACGGGAGTATTAGCAACGATCAGCAACTAGGGCTCACCAAGGCTCCTTCATCGGCTTCCATCAATGGCGGGGTGACGAAGGTGAAGAGGACGAGGAGGACCGTGCCACGAGATTCCCCGCCTCAGCGTAGCTCCATCTATCGCGGCGTCACCAGGTGGGTTTGGGGAGGAGTTTCGAGCTGGAGTTTCGAGAGGATCGCGGTCTCAGCATGGTTTCTTTGTAATTTGTTACATAACAGAATGAGATGGAGATTCGAAATCGTGACCTTTCTTCGTGTGTTTTTTTTTCTTTTGTGTTGGTTTAGGCATCGATGGACTGGTCGGTATGAAGCTCATTTGTGGGACAAGAACTGCTGGAACGAGACACAGAACAAGAAAGGGCGACAAGGTTAGCATTACTATATACATATTCCTTCTCCATAGCCATTAACTCGGCAATCTGACATCTTATGAACAATCGGGTCATGTTTGCAGTCTACTTAGGTGCTTATGATGATGAAGAAGCTGCTGCTCATGCCTATGACTTGGCTGCACTCAAGTATTGGGGTCCAGAAACGATCCTTAACTTTCCGGTACAAAACCCTTCATCTCCATCTATACAACTTCCTCGTCAATTTTTTGCCACGAAAAAAAAAAGCATTGAGTTTGGTTCATTTGGTTCGGTTTGTAGTTGGCTACGTATGAGAAGGAGATCAAGGACATGGAGGGGCAGTCGAGAGAAGAGTATATTGGATCGCTCAGAAGGTACAAAAGTGTTCTCGAGATCGGTTCTTTCAGTATTCTCATTCGTTGCATCCAAATGTTTTTTTTTTTCTTGCTCAAAAGGATGATGAGTACTGAAGCTAATTCAGGACTTCATTACTTGCCAGAAAAAGCAGCGGATTCTCTCGTGGGGTTTCGAAGTACAGAGGGGTTGCAAGGTACTAACAACTGAAATGAACATGACTTCACCATTTGGTGATCATCTTGTTATGTGAAAGTCCCAAGTTTGTATTGGAGCTAATTTGGAGTTTTGGTTGTTTGGTTATGTTAATAGGCATCACCATAATGGAAGGTGGGAAGCCAGGATCGGCAGAGTGTTTGGCAACAAGTACCTCTACCTTGGGACCTATGGTAATAAATCGATCTTACCTTCTTCTATTTCCCAAACGACCCCTTACAAAAGAGAATCAGAAAATTAATTATCTATCAACTTCCCTTTAAAAAAAAAGCTATCAACTTGTGAGGAGATAATTCCAAAGAGTAAACTCAACTCGATGGTGACATTTTTTGCCATGTCCTATTCTATTGTTATTTCATAGAAATGAAGCATACAAGTGTGCTTCCTCGGCCTCCTCACTTCTTATCTTAACCTTCTAGCACGAGACTTTTCGATTATGTTTTTTTTTTCTTGAACCGAGCCCAATGCAAAAGATAATTATCTTTTGTATTCTTTTTGTTCGTATATTATGAAACTCCAATCTTGTAATTTCTCTATCAGTAGTAAAAAGCTCGATGAGTTAGTTGTTTTCGAGTATGAGTAATTATTTAGATAAAAAAATTGCACTTGATTTAAGAAATTTGTTTAATAAGAATTCCTGGTTGTTGGCCAATTGGAGGAAAAAAGGAAGCTTCTATTGTTTTTTGCTTTGAACTCTAAGTATTTAAGATGTAGCCATTTGTCCAAAAACCATGGTATTAGGTTTGTCAATAAGTATAATTAAGACTGTTGTGAATTGGACTATATTATACTAAATCTTTATTAATGACTTTGCCTAACTGATTTTGAGATTGGGACAAGTAGATACAGTCATAGTGGAGGTTTAGTAGGGAGGTTGGGCAGCTTCTAACTAATTAGAATCTTAACTAATTATTGATTATTTTATATAAACATATCTCAATGCCACATTAATTAGCTATACAATTGTTCCACCAAAACCTAATCTCATCTTTATAAAAATGATTTTGCTTGATGAATTCCAAATGGATTTTGGTTGATTGTTTGGTATTGGAATGGGCTGTTTGGTGAAAGTTATGGGATCAACTGTTTGAGAGGGACTAAACCCTAAAAGTTAAATTGTTTGACTAGCCGAATACAAACTTCATATAAACCAATATGTATTTACATGCATATCAAGATTATAGCTATTTTAGTGCATCAATTAGTTATAAAATCGTGAGAACTTACACCTATAACGAGAGTAATTTGGAGTCGGGAGATCTTAAACAATACATATTTTGTTACTATTCCACATGCTTTGATCTCAAGCTAAAAGTTTGCTCACTCAATATGACATTATCAAAAGTCAAATGTACGACCTTTTAGCCATATAAAATATCGTCAGACCATGAAAGTCGATTCAATTCAGTAAATTACACATATTTTTTCTATTAGGCCATGGATATCAAATAGGATAAGAAGTTTATTGTTACTAGTACAATCGTGATAATTATGTCTCCAAACTTACTTTAGATCTTAGGGCCCAAAACTTTATATGGAATTGGTCCATCTAACAATCTTTTCAATTCCTTGTTGGACTTACTAGTTACTACTAAGTACAATTACTCTTTAATTACTTGGACTAATCTTCACTATCTTTTTTCCATGATAGCTACTCAAGAAGAAGCTGCAACGGCATACGATATGGCGGCAATAGAGTATAGAGGCCTCAATGCCGTCACTAATTTTGACCTTAGCCGTTACATCAAATGGCTAAAACCTAAACAAAACGGGACCGAAGGTACCGACCTCAACCATCCTAACCCTAACCCTAGGATGCCAACCTCACCCACCAACCCTAGCCACGAGCTCGGGCTCAACTTCTTCCAGACCACTCAACCACCGCAACCGAACTACCAACCCACACGGGCCAGTATCGAACCAACCGCTGCTAATGCAGCTACCACTCTGGTCCAACCTAGTAGACCGACCAACACCACGTCCGCGCTGGGGCTCCTACTCCAATCCTCCAAGTTCAAGGAAATGATGGAGATGACATCAGCAACAGACGATCATCAGAATCACTACTCCTCGACGGTTCCCACGATGAGCCTCGAGCTCGAGGCTCCACAATGCAGCTTCCCGGAGGACATCCAGACTTACTTCGGGTCCCAGAACTCGAGCAGTTATGGCGAAGAAGGCAGCCATGACATGATCTTCGGTGACATCAACTCGTTCGTCCCACCGATGTTCCATTGCGATTTCAGTGCATAAAATATCGTTTGACGAACGGTTGATGATAAGCCCGAGACAATGTCCTGTTTTATCAGATGTCCCACAAGGGGCAGTCTGACAATGCCAGAATGATGACATTTGGAATGAATCAAATTCAATCCACATTAATTTCAAGTAGGTCCTCAAAAATTATTTTTACTTACTAATTAATTACAATTTAAATTGTTAATTAGGGTTTCTTTTGTGAATACGAGATCGTTTATAGACGATCTCTGGCCCTCCTCGTCTGTGAAGGGTGAAGAGTTAGAAGATTATCACACATTTATCCAAACTATAGGCTATGATTAACCAAAACTACGGAAACTATAGAACATTTATATTCGTCGAGATTATTTAGTTAATTTATTTGTGGATCAAAAGTCAAAACAATATGATGGAGAAAAAGGAAAATCCATTTACAGGGTTCACTCTCTCTTTTATTAATTCCTTGTATGCTTTTTTGATAGAATAATATATAAGATGTAATTTCTGCTTTTGCTTCGGAAAATCAATGAAAGTGGGGTGATTTCTCTCCAACCTATCCTCTTTTCATTTTGCAGTATGTTTTGTAGCTTGTTAGCCATCAAAAGGGGGGAAATACGAGAAAGATAAGGGTCAATATGAAGAAGTTTGGATGTGAATTTCACAGAAAAGAGATATATACTGAACATAAGTAAAACGGGATAAATCTAGAAATGAGTCAATTTGATCAATTGTCTCGTTTTATAAACGAGATAATTGAAATTGACTCAAAATGGATCAATTCAAAATACCTCAGGGAGATTGATCCATCCAAATTTTTTGCTGGCAAACGAGGCAATTTGGTACAATTGTCTCAAAACGAAACAATTGTGTCAAATTGATCCGTTACAATTCCTCATCCAAACGATCCAGAGAAAAGGTTGAGGAAATGCCCTTCTTTACCATTAGTAATATGTCGATACTGATATGAATCCACTAAGTAACGTATGGTAGGATCCTTGAACTTAACCTTTGGACCTGGTAATTAAGCATGATAGATATACTGGATCTAGGCTCATTCTCAACAGATCAATCTATTATTTGAAATTGCATTCAAAATTGATAACTCAAAGATGAATCAAAATATTGTTAATTTGGTTGCCAACACAATTCCAATAACACATAGCTACCTTGTGAAATTTGATGCCATGAGCCGTCCGGTCTCGTATATTTCTTCATGTCTAAGAAGAAAACCAAAAACAGCACAGGGAATTTGTTGTAGTATCACAAGGAATTAAAACTCTTGTACTCTACATAAAAAAATCAATAATGGTATAAAATTAAGTTGCAAGGTGGGGGTTAAAGTTTGATTAACTAATCTTTTGTTTCTAATTAACTAGTAACACAGATTATGGAGAGTGCAATCGAGATTGCTCGATCTGAATTCTCGTAGTTAATTACCTGGCAAACTTATAAAAACAGTAATTCGAACCTATGATCGATGGTAATTACTAAGAATTTTTTCTATGAATTATGAACGGTGACTCGGTGAGAATTGAACTCGAGAATACAGATAGTACGAATCACATGCCTACCACTAGAAGTGTGCTTGATGGGTAGCTCCTCTCTTGTTTTGAAGTCCTATATATTCATTTGGCACTTAGGGGCCTTTACAATTATCATAGTTGGAATCAATTTTGTCCTAGTTTACTACAAAAGGAATATATAGTTAGCTAGCTAGCTAATACTTAAGCATATATGCCTAACCTAAGTTTATTCCTAGGGGGAACCATTTGAATACAAATAAGATTGATCCTTTAGGCCAAACTCTTTTGGTCTTGATAAAGCTTTGCAAGAACCAAAAGATTAAGGTGGTGAAAATGGGAGCCAAAAATGATGATCATGACGATAATCGATATCAAGAAGAGCAATCGGCTAGACTATTTGTGCATGACTTGTCCAAGATTGTTCTTCCACCTTTGGGTGTTTCAACCCAAAACCATGATCCATGGAGATCTAGAGGGTGGATCATTTCTCCCCTCAATTCAAAATACAGGTACTCATAAGTTTCCTTTATAATTTCAATTCATTTCTTCTCGTGTTTTTCGAGTCTGGCTTGTGGCAAGCGAGAGTACTACGTGTGTACGTGATTTCTCGTTTTTTATGTTCAATCGAGCTTAGTGAAACTCAAACTCACAAATCCTCATCCCAAATGTTGATTCCAGATGTTGGGAGACATTCATGGTGATACTGGTAGCCTACTCGGTCTGGTTTTACCCGTTCGAGCTCGCGTTTCTGGCTCCTTCTCATCACAGGGGACTCTACCTGGTGGATGTTGTAACCGATTTGTTCTTCGCCGCCGACATCCTTCTGACATTCTTCGTTGCTTACATTGACTCCAAGACTAATATGATTGTTTACGACTCGAGAAGGATCGCGAATAGGTATGTAATATCCATCGAGCTTGATCTCAATAACGGATCATATTGTGATGAATATGAAAATATAGATTAACTAACTAATTAATGTTCTCACTCTCTCATTAATTATAGGTACCTATCAACATGGTTTGTCATGGATGTGGCATCCACCATCCCTTACCAGGCCTTGTACCTCTTGTTCACGGGTAGGCAACAAGTATGGTCGTGTTATTCGCTTCTAGGGTTGTTCAGGTTTTGGCGATTGGTCCGAGTTGAACAACTCTTCAAAAGGTAAATAATATTAATAACCAAAATACTGGTTTTTAGTTAAGAAATTAAAAAAATAATTTGCTTTGGTTTCTTTTTGGCAGGCTTGAGAAGAACATCAAGTTCAACTATTTCGCAGTCCGATGCTTTAGACTATCTTGTGTGAGTAAATTTTTTTTATTTAAGAAAGATCCAAAAAAATGGTTTCATTTCGTGAAAAAAATATATAATTTTTGTAGTGTAATTAGGTGGACTACTAATTAGGTGCGGAACTCACAATTGTTTGTACCAAAATGATGAACCTTAATTTCAACCTACAAATTACAGTTTGGTATCATAATCTTGACGATCTCTTGAATCGAAAGTTGAAAGATTCATATAATCAAATTTTGTTACGTACCTAGCTACTCGTCAAACAAATTATGTATTTTGATGGCATGTCGGCAAGATACAATAGCAAATGTCTTGAATACATAGCACAATATCTGTTAAAGTATATTTTGAATAGTTGAAATAACAAGCGCCAAATATATCCAACGATATTAGCAGGTGCATAGAGAATTAGCCATGAGCACCTTAACCGATTTAATTTTTGTTCAGGTGGCATTGTTTTCGGCACATTGCGCGGCGTGCCTCTTCTTCCTGCTGGCCGAGGAGAACCACGGCGGCAAGACCTGGATCGACGACTTCGCCAAATACGGCGACGAGACCAACATCTGGCTGCGCTACACCGTCGCCGTGTACTGGTCCGCCACCACCATGACCACCGTCGGGTACGGCGACCTCCGGGCGGAGAACACCCGGGAGCGGATCTTCATCACCGGATACATGCTCTTCAACCTCGGCCTGACCGCCTACCTCATCGGCAACATGACCGATCTCGTCGTCGAGAGCGCCCGCCGCACCATGGAGTACGTAAGTATATAAAATTAGTAAATATTTATCGGTTTAAAATTTCCGTATCCGTATTGTTGTCAAATTTGTTTAATTTTCTGTTCATTTGATTCTTGTACTAAACATGCATTAAACCTGTACAACATATTTAATATTCGTATTTAATAAATTTAATGGCTAATTTAACTTTATTTGTATATTAATTTATTTTAAAATAAATTTTATAATTTTTAACGTACTATTAAAGCGTACAATTCGTTTAAAAACAAATTAAAATATTTATATGCATTTTATACACAATTTACCCATATTTTACTATGTATAAAAATTCCAAAGTGGTCGTTAGTGATAGTGGTGGCTAAAAATGTGTGTCGTTGCGAATGATGATTACAGAGGAAAAGCATCGAAGTGGCGTCCACTTTTGTGAACAGAAACTGCTTGCCCCGGCGGCTGGAAGAGCAAGTTTTGGCGTACATGTCGCTGAGATTCCAGGCCGAGAGGATGAATCAACAGCGTTTCATCGAAGAGCTTCCAAAATCGATTCGGAGGAGGGTTTGCCGGCATCTGTTCTTGCCGGCGGTACAACAGGTGTATCTTTTCAAGGATGTCTCCATCGGAACCCTAACGTCACTAGTAAGTTTTCAATTATACTTAATGTTAAGAACCATACTACGTAAGCACATGCTAGTTAAAAGTAGCTATTGAAAAATCGTATCGTACCGATGGTTCAACCAGAAAAACTTTGTATCAGAGGCTAAATCAGTAGGCGGTATTTAGCTGTATGAAATGGTTGAACCAACGATTTTAGAATAAAATACTTTACCTTTGACTTTTCCAATACAACCTCCGATACGAGATTGCAATCTTTAGCTAAAAAGCACATATTAAAAGAAAAGACTAAATGTTACGAATAAGAGTCTGGTCTAGTGATAATATCACTAGTTTTGAATTTTGATCCTGTAAGTCTAAGTTTTGACTTTTTTCAGTAACAACTAACTATAAAAGTCAAAAAATACATTGACTAAATGTTGTTACTAATGTAGTCAAAATCGCGCTTTAAAACTTAAAAACTTACGATTTTACGTTTCTAGGTCATTAAAGCGCTTCTACACAAAATCTTAGTTTTTATAACTTATGTAGTTAAAAACTAAGCTTTAAAACTTAAAAATTTACGATTTTACGCTTCTAGATCACCAAAACGTTTCTACATAGAACTCGCTTTTGATTATATTATGAAATGTTTAGGTTTCGAAGTTGAGGGCAGACTACATGCCGCCACGGGAAGAGGTCATCTTGCGGAAGGAAGGGCCAGATGAAGTGTACATTATCGTCTCCGGAGAAGTCGAGATCGTGAGTAGTACTACTACCGGCGGCGAGTCCCGGCTCGACGGAGAGTTGATCCGGTCGCTGGAAAGCTTAAGCAGCGGCGACATGTTTGGGGAAGTCGCCGCGCTTTGTTGCACACCTCAGAGGTTCACTTTCAGGACCAAAGTGTTGTCGCAGCTGTTGAGGCTCAAAACGGCGACGCTTTTGGAGGCCATGCGGATCAATCACGTCGATTCCGTCACCATAATTAAGAACTTCCTCCGAGTAAGTATAACTATCATCTATATCTCCTGCTCAGCTAATCCAGTGTGATAAATGATTGGTAAGAAAGTTGTTAAGTATCATGTCACGTGTTCAAGTCCCCACGACCCCAATCTTAATCGTTATTTTAAATCACATCATGGTATAGTTGGGTCTATATGCAAAATTCAAGCTCATGAGTTGGTTTTTGTTTGAGATGGTGTATAAAGAAGTGGTTAAAGTAACATAAATTGACCTATCTCACGAAGTTGAGTTATTGGGACAAGTAACTGGTATATGGCAATGATAGCCAATAGAGCGTTTTGTCTGTTTCGATTTAGTTTGGTTTTACTTTTTAGGATAATTTTCCCCCCTAATTGTTTGCTTGTCTAGATAATATTAATATTAGGCAACAGTTGAAAACATATTTGTTGATTGATCAATTAAGATGGTGGATCCACTACTTATCTCCATTTGTAGCATTACAAAGTGTCCTCCAAGATTATTGAAAACGACAACATGGTTCCATTTCACGACGATGAATTAGACGAGGAAGAGACGAAGATGACAGTGAACTCTCACAGCTTGTTGTCTTTAGCGAGACTTGGCAATGCGTTTTTCCTTGAAGAGTTGCTCAAGGAAGGGTTGGACCCTAACATCGGAGATTCCAAAGGCAGAACTCCATTGGTATGTTATATATTAATTGATCACTACTCATTAAATCAACAAAAAGATTCATTAATCTACATTAACTATTGATCTCCTTTGTCAATGTGACAGCACATAGCATCATCAAAAGGGCACAAAGAGAGTGTGTTAATGCTTCTTAGATATGGCAGCAACGTACACTTACGAGGTATAAAAAAAAAGAGACCTTATAACCGATTTATTCATGCGTTAAGTAAAATTGTTGAGCACTTAATACACAATAACAAGTTATTCAAAATGATTTCGTGAAGCACCCAAACACGACCTATCATTAGTAAGAACTCGTGTGATCTAAAAACGATTGACCCTGTAATTTACGAATCCAGCTATTTGCTTACCATATGACACACTACTATAAAGGGCTTTGATCACCATTTATTATTATGGTTGCAAAATCTCTTCTTATACGGTGATTATTTCCAAAAAAAAAAAACAGTGAAGCAGATTTAGCGACCAGGTTTATAATGACAACTAATTAGGATCAGCCACCAATAGCTTTAGTTGCAATAGATAATTTTGGATGGCAATGATGATTCAGTACGTCATTTTGCTCAGATGTGGATGGCAATACTGCATTATGGGAGGCAATATCATCGAATCACAACCTGATATTCGGGATTCTGCTCAGTCACGCCAACATTACCTCCAACGAAATCCAAACCATCCAGGGCGATCTTCTATGTTCAGCTGCAGAACAGAACAATCTCAGGGTCATGAGAGAGCTCGTGAGAGTGCACGGATTCAACGTCCACTCGAAGAATCGACGTGGGAAGTTAGCTCTCGGGCTGGCCATGGAGAGGAATCACAACGACATGGTAGAATTTCTCGTGGCGAATGGCAGGTTACAAGCTGCTGCAAGTACTCGAATCGATCGGAGTTCGTTGGTCGGAGGCGGTGGGGATCGTGATTACTGTTTGAGAGTGAACATCTTCATGGGTCATCCTGATTTGGTTAGAAGAGAGGATGAAGATGGTGATGGAGGAAAAAGCTTGAGGTTTGGGAAGTTGATCAAGTTGCCAAATTCACTGGAGGAGCTCAAACGCATTGCAGGTATATATATACATGAGAGATACAAATGAACAGCAATCGATCTCTTTCCATGGCTTAGTAAGCTTAGTTTTTTATTCGACTTTGATCTCAAATTTGTTGTCTTTTTTTTACAGGTGCGAAGTTTGGGGTTGATACAAGTAATGCTACAATAACAAATGAGATTGGTGGGGAGATTGATTGTCTTGAACTTGTAAGGGACAATGACAAGCTCTTCATAACTGATCGAGAGACTGTAATCACCGAGAAGTCTTCATTAAATTGACCCATGACGATCACGTAAAGCTGCCACAGATAGAAAGAGGGAAAACAGAGGAAGAACAGGGGAAAAGCAGAGGCAGAGTGAGGATTCAATAAAAGTAAAACACTTGCACATTGGAGACGACTTGTGGGAAGAAATACTTGTGCGAAACTGCGAATCACCATATAGGGAACTGAGAACCGAAGAATCCTCGTTCATGATCGTCGTCGCCGCGGGCTAGCCCGTCGGCGATCCGGAGACAGGAATCTGAAAGATTTTCTTTAAGTAAGTGAGGGGAGATTGGATCTGTTTTTTACCAAAAAAAAAAAAATGGATCTGGTGACTAAGGGGTGGTTAATCACTTGACTATACCCCCAGCTCTTAGATCTGGACATATCAATCTGACGGTTAAAAAGTGGGAAGAGTTATTTAATTAATGACAGGAGTAGTTTGGATATTATGAAAAATTATGAAGTGTACAAACCGAACTTACAAACAGTACGAACAATACAAACTAGAGCGATAAAACATACAAACAATACGAAACATACGAAGTATACAAACAATACAAACTAGACCGACAAACATTACAAAACATACTAACAATACAAAATGTCACTACTTACAATACAAAACAGTAAACTTGTATTACAAATCAATGAATACAAAGTATATAAATCACAACATAAAGTATACAAACTAGAGAAACGAATATTACAAATTAAAATGGATACAAATTAGTCATATAAACATTACAAACATAATCCTCCATTAATATATGGTAGAGTTTTGTGTACTTTTCTCCATTTCAAATTTTCTGCAACGAGAGTGAAAGTAGGAAGGTCATTTTTGTCTTTACACATTTATTATTTATTTCATATAAAAATAGCAATATCAAGATTTGAACCCGGGTCTCTTCAAACAAAGATAACAATCACAACCAGTTACACTAAACAAATTTATTGCATCCTTTTTTATACAAAAAATAGACAAAGTTAATCTCTGAAAATCAGAGGACTTTTTCATCATAATTAGCAAGCTCACTAAGTCTACCGTATGTATTTTTATCGAGCTTGATAATTCTATTTTCATAGTAGAGTTTCATGTAATTTTCTCAATTTTAAATTCCCGCTCTCTCCTTAATTTTTGCTAAAGGTAAATGGGTAATTGGCCAACATGGAAGAAACTAATTATGTAACTACTGTTGTATCCTTGTATTTTTCAATTTAAATTTAAATTTAAATTTTGTGTTTTTTTATCTTTGTTCTTTTCTCTTTCTAACTTCCTCCGAAATTTCATCCATCGTGCAATAGTTTGCGCCTTTCACTTCCCAGTACAAGACTGTTATTGAAAACCAATCTTCAGGTATCTCTTGGCACTACGGTTTATTGTTGTGGATTTTAAGCGGGGCGAGTAGAAGATTTCAACTCCGATATCAATTCATGGCGAATAGAATGGAATTCATCAATAATTGAAGTTGTAGAAGAAAGATTAGAAATTGAATTTTTGGTTGAATATATGCCTCTTGAGATAGAAATTTGGTTGTGCAACGGAGATTGGTGGCTATTGGATCTTTAGGTTTATGGTTTTTGCAACTGTCATAACCTATCTCTATCTTAAAACGAGGAATCATTGATTGATTGTTTGAATTCTTTATTCAACCTACTGGAACTAATAGATAAGGAGTGTCTAATTTTGCACCTTATTACTTTGATCGAGTCTATTCGTATATTGGAGATAACCCTGATTTTTTCGTTTGCTCTCAAGTTGTGATGGTTCCCTCTTAGCTGAGTTTTTAGTATATAGATGACTTGAATCAACAACTCTCCATTTCTTTTTGATTAGTGACATATTGTTTCTAAAAGAAGAGCATTGAACCCTTTATATAGGATTGTGAGGTTTAAGATTTAGTTTCAAACTATCTATGGGTTGTGTGAGAATTTCAGTGAGCTTTTATACTCTATATTTCTTGACTGTCAAAGAAAACTAACCAATAGCATTTTAACAGGGACTTAATTAGCATTATGAAAATGGGTTCAATGATACATTTTTATATTTTATAATCTTAAATGATTATGATATTTCTCCGAATGTTCGACCTATATATTATTTCTTTATGTATCATCTCGATCGAATGATTATCAATAAGATTAAACGGGTTAATAGACTTAAAAGTAACATAAATACAAATAATCAAATATGAGCATTCCGGCCAAATGGCCGGGTTATAAGCTAGTAGATAAAAATGACAAACTAGAATGATGAACGATACAAACCGAATTGATACAAACATTACAAAATAGTCTGACAAACATCACAGAATTGGTGCTGTCCCCGGAAAATTCTTCTCCGCCATCGCGGGTCGCCGAAAAATCAGAAAATCTCTCTCTCGTTGCACCTGGTGGAAATGGTGGAAAATTCTCATAGATCTTTCTCTCGCATTTGAACGACTCTCTCTCGCATTTGAACGAGGGGAAGAAAATTCTCATAACAAAAGTGACAGCCGGGGAATTATTCCCTGCCCGTCGGGATAGTTCCCTGCTCGACGGGGAAGAAGAAGAGACGAGACGGACGGCGGGAGGGAAGTGCCGGAAGGAAAATTATTTAATAACTAAAAATAAAAATAATCTTGCACTTACTATTTTGCCCTTCATTAAAGTAGATTAGTTGTAGCCATTAGATTTTAATGAGGTGGAAGGGTTAAGAGGCCTTGTTTGCTTAATGGATTTTATCATGGATTTGGTACATAAAAACCAACCATCATGGACTTTGTACACAATTCATCGTTTGCTTGATGGATTTAGCAGAGACAAATCCATGGGGCTCACAGTGTTTTAGGGTCCAAATCCGATGACCCCACGAACTTTGAAATTCCATCTCAAAGGATGAGATTTGTGTGGGTGTCTCAAGTCCATGATACTTATTTACTATTTTAACCTCATTTTGTGTTGTTTCTAACAATACATAAGAGATAGTAAGGGTAGATAGGTAAATTCATAATATAACCACAAATATAATTATGCAAAATCCATCATGAAATCCATGAAGCAAACAATGGTTTTATCCAAAAACCAAATTGACTAATTCCATCATAAAATCATTGGTTTTATAAAATCCAAGTTTTGCCAAAAACCTTCATTTATCAAATCCATGAAACAAACGAGTCATGTGACAAAGGGACCCCCCTTAGTCACCTGATCTTAGCCCAGGTCAGGGTCAACATACGTGTAAATATCACGATATCTCGTTCTGTCGTGATATATGTCAATTACAAATTTTTCGTCAATTTATCGCGTTTTGGTTTTGATTTTGAGAACTCTGAATGTTTTGCTTTTCCCTATTAGTTTTGTTCCCGTTTCCTTTTCTCAGCCGCTCGTCTCGTTCTGCTGTGATTACAGTGACGATTGCTACTAAACCAAATTCATGAAATCGTTGTCTAATAATGAAAGACATTTTACGACCAAGACCAGACAATTCTTGCATTAATGCATTCGGTCCATTTGGTCCAATTCGGTCCGATTCAAATATAAGTTCGGTCCTTCATTCATTCAGTAATTATAAAATTCATGAAAATTAAGAACCGGATACTCATTTCAGTTTGATCCGAAGCGGTCCGATACGGATTGGACCATTTCACAACCCTTTGGTGATAGTAGTTGGTCCGGAAGATGCACAAAAGAAAGTAGGCCAGCCCGTTCATCTTTCGAGCGAAGTGGGCTGGGAGGATAAAGGCCCAAGTGTGGTCTCATTAGATAACGGGCCGGCCTCTGTTTCCTATCTATCTGGCTATCTCCGACGAATTCCCTCCCCACAAAACCTCACCGTCATCACCCGCCGGCTATCTGAAAAACTGTTCCACCATATCTTCCCGCCCATTCCTCTGGTCCCGACAATTCCTTTCAATCAATACCGTACCACGGCAATGCCTAACCCACTCGATCGCGATGCTCTGCTCTCAAGAATCTTCGTCCTTCTCCAGCTCCTCCTTATGGCGAATTGGAAGAGTAACTGACAGGTTGAAGCAGAAGTCAGTTCCCAATTAGGGTTTCTTCCCGGCGGTGCTGTGGTGGCTCGTCAGAACGAGACAGAGAAATGACAGCGATTGCTAAGTGTTTGGAAGATCATGTTAGTTCGATTTGGTCCAGACGACGATGGAATTGGATGCATCGACATCTCAATGCTGCGATCCGTTTAACGGCGGAGGAACGAGAATGGTGATTCGGATATCTTTTCCTTCTCGCCTGCGTTCGAGGTATCTCCTTGGTTCATCGTGTACCGAAGTAGAGGTGCGTTAAGCTCCTCCTTGTTTGCTTTCATTTGTGGTCAGGACCCAAAGTCAATTGCGCACAAAAGTCAACTGTTTAGGTTCGTCCATTTCTCATCCAAGCATCCGGTAGGAGATAGTGAGCTTTTGATATCTTCAACATAATTTGACAGTGGTGTTTCCCATTGTCTTGAGGTTTCAGAAGAGATATGGGTCGGAAGAGCTGGACCATCTGGTTACTCTTCTCGGCAGTGGTAGCACTTCTCCTGGCGGTGGCCGTACCCTTCTTTTCGAGCAGCAGCGCTAAACCAACTGTCGGCACACACCTCTTTGTCACAATCAGAACCATCTGTAGAGCCACAGCAAGCATCGTTCGCCCCTTCCTCGTCGCCAATGGAGTATGAGGTCTTACTGAGCTTCAGAGGCCTGATTTCCGTAGTAACTTCGCGGATTTTCTCCATAAATTCCTGGTTCGGTACAATATCCGGACTTCTCTTGATGATGAAGCCCTACTCAAGGGAGAAAAGATATACAACATCTGGACTTATCAATGCTATTGTAGAATGGAAGGTATACAGTCCGATTCTTTCTCGGATGTATGCTTGGGGTAAGTGTGCCTTCAGGAGCTAGGTCAGATGTTTAAGTGTTGCAACTTGCAAGCAAGGAAAAGGCCACGTCATTTTGCCCATTTTCTACATGGTGGAGCCTAGAGATGTGCGGCATCAAAATGGTTTTACCAGGAAGCATTTCAACAGCTCATGAAGAACAAGAAGCTTGATACAGAGACGATCGAGGAATGGAAAGAAGCTATCGGGGAGGTTGGGAAAATGAAGGGATGGCACATTACTGAATCAGATGGGTAACTTATACTGCCTCCTCTCTCTATATATATATTCATGGACCGAATGTTATCTGCTACAACTTTGCATCTCAATACATATGGATAGACGTCTTCGACTCTTCTTTTAAATAGTAGGGCAAATTAAAAATGAAGTGACCTATCTCGATCTAGATATTTGTTCGGTTGGGTATATCCCATTGAACTCAAACTTGTGTTCAATCTCCAGGCAAGGAGCTATTATAGATGAGATTGTGGCTAAGTTATGGTCAAGTGAGACCTACACTTCAGTGACGGATGAGTTTGTTGGAATTGGTTCTTATGTAGAAGAAGTGACAAAGCTGCTAAGTTTAGGCTATAGCCAAAGTTGTCTAGAATGAGGTTCATGCAAAGTTAGATCAGCAAGTACTCTGCTGTCTCTATCGAAGGTAGCCAAACTGACAAAGTCATCCTTGGAATTTCTTGGAACTGAAAGAAACCAGCTCTTGGCACCAGAGCTAGTCCTCGATTTCTCCTGTTTGCAGAGTATAGAGGAGCTGTCTATTATACGGTGTGAACAGCTGACAAAGGTCAATGGGATCGAGAGGTTGGAATCACTGCGATCGTTATGCCTACCGGGCTGCAAGTCAATCAGGAATTTGCCTTATCTTTCCGGTATCGAGAATCTAAGGTGTTTATAGATTCGAGGATGCACACAGTTAACGGAGGTTAAAGGCCCTGAGAAGCTGGAGTCGTTTGGAGGGCTAAATATGTCCGGTTGCACATCAATGAAGGAACTTCCAAGTCTACACAGAAATTTGAGCTCCTTGAATGTTAGTGGCTGCAAGCAGTTGCCCGAGTTATTGGGGCTGGAGAAATTGGAGTCATTGCAGCTTCTAAATATGTCCAAATGCACATCAGTTTGCAAGTTGCCGGATCTCTCTAGTTTCAAGGATTTGATTGCATTGCATATTAGGGGATGAATTCAGTTGACTGATCTTACTGGAATTGAGAGATTGAAGTCGTTAGCTGCGGTGACCATGTATGTAAGGTTAAAAGACCAGTATCCAGATCTCCTGCGAGTAATTAAGAATTGATGGATCCATTGATGGCCTGCCTGAGTATCCATTTCTCTGTTGCTGCCTTCGCCACTGCAAATCTGCAATTCTTTCCTCTTCCCTACGGTTAGTTACTTCAACCTACAGTTTTTTCTTTCAGTTTTCAGTTATAGGTGCCGTTTTGGAGAATTAGAGTTGAAATCTTTAGATTCAAAATAATTAAGAGGTCGTTTGGATGATGATCTTCAGTGAGGGATTTCGTTACAATTCTTCAGTTTGTTGATTTTGACCAAACAACTCATTTAGAAAAACTGAGATTTAAAAATCCTACGAATGTGAGTATTTTAATTACATGACTGGCTATTTCGAAATCCATACACTCTCCGAAATCCTACCATCACGCACATTTCAGCATGTCTTCTTCTCAATCTCTGAAATCTCTAGACTCTCTCCTCCATTATCGTGGGCTCTCTTCCCTCACTGTTGCAATCCCTCCGAACGATCCTCCTCTTCTTAGGGATGATAATTTTACCCAAATTCATGAGTATTTTACTATTCAACCCAAATAGATGCTAAATGGGTAGAGTTTATACTCATACCCATTTATTTGGGTTGGTGTGGATTTTTTTTTTACAATGGCAAATGAATTAAAAATCAAGAAACAAGAGTCTGAATATGAACAACAAAAACCAAATAGAAAAATCAGAAAAGACAGGCCCTCCACCAAGGCGGTAGACGAGTAGAGTACCAAAAACAAATAGAGAAACCAAGCCTAAACAGAAGGTCTCAAACTCTGTCGAACAGGAAGAAACAACAAAGAAAGGGGAGAACACACTGCAATCAAAAGTACTATATACTATAGATAGAGTTGGAGTAAAACATGATCCATTGATCCACTCAAACTCTATCAATCTTCGCAGTAGCTTGAAGCCAATCGACCACTGCTCGAAACGCTCTAACACAAACACCTTTAGGCGTTTGAGGCTTCTCTTAAAAAATCCGAGTGTTTCTTTCCTTCCATATAGACCAACAAACTGAATGCAACATCCCTTGCTTGAACCACTCAGTTGGACAAGATGTTGTACCAGTAGGCCATCCTCATATAATGTCTGAGATACAACTATGAAGCAAGTTCCGCAAAGACGAAAGGGAACCAACCAACCTCTAGACCTCAATGGCAAAAGGACAGTTGCAGAAAAGGGGGCTAGTTGTTTCCTCTTCTCGAACACAAAGACAACAGCGGTTACACATACTTAATCCCTTCCTTCGCAAGTTGTCTTGTGTCTAGAATTAGTAGCTATTTTTTTTTGCATGCAAGTTCACAAAATATCGATGAAATATTATATTTTAGTGCTTAAATTTTTTCTGTATTACATTTTGAAACCTAAACTTTTAACTTTTACAAATAGGTTCACATTTTGATGCCTTTGCATATTTACCACTCTCTTAAAGATACATGTGTTAAAAAATATCATTGCTTTATGGTAGATATAAAAATTAAGTCTATGTTCAGAATTCTACATCGCTTCTGCACATTGAAGAGTGCAATTCGATATGCAATATATGGACCAATGACATTTGGGTTGTGATTTAAAATTATCCTTCTTTTATAAAAATAAATGGATGTTAAATTAATTATTAAACTCGAATTAGAATAAACAAAATATGAAAGTAGAAGTATAAAATACCAAAAAAAAAAAAAAAATACGGGAGTGTTAGTGGGTTAGCTAACCGTGGTGGAAAAGTCCTATGTTTTTTCAAATTTAAGCTTTTTGTATGTTTTAATTTAATAAGATCAAATAAATTTGTTTAGTGTAATTGGTTATGTTTCTTGTCTTTGTTCGAATAAACCATGGTTCAAATCCCATTACTGAAGACGAATCTACCCTTTCTAATTTCACTTTGGATATAGGAAATTTGAAATGGTAGATAAAATTTTCCATTTTGCTATAAGCCGTTGACTGAATTATTGGGGCTCAAAAAATTCAAGTTATTGATGTTTCTAAATATGTATAATTGTACGTTGATTGCCAAAAGTGAAACGACATTGTTAAGTTAAAAAAGAAAGAAGAGTGTAATGGTTGCAAAAAAAGAGGACTATAAGATGATCGAACCCGGTCTGCTGCAGCAGTTAGCACATGGATTGGTTTATCAGTTGTGATACATGTTGCACCGTAATTGGTCTTAGTCTCTTAGATATTAGTGGTTATAAGCACTTGATTGACTTATTGGGGCTAAAAAAATTCAAGTTATTGCCGTTTCTAAATATGTATAATTGTAAGTTGATTGCCAAAAGTGAAACGACATTGTTCAGTTAAAAAGAAAGAAGAGTATAATGGTTGCAAATAAAAAAGAACAGTATAAGATGATCGAACTCTTTCTGCTGCAGCAGTTAGCACATGGATTAATTTATCAGTTGTGATACGTGTCGCAGCGTAATTGGTCTTAGTATCTTAGATATTAGTGGTTATAAGCAGTTATTGAATTATTGGGGCTAAAAAAATTCAAGTTATTGCTGTTTCTAAATATGTATAATTGTACGTTGATTGCCAAAAGTGAAACGACATTGTACAGTTAAAAAGAAAGAAGAGTATAATGGTTGCAAAAAAAACAGGAGTACAAGATGATCGAACCCGGTCTGCTGCAGCAGTTAGCACATGGATTAGTTTATCAGTTGTGATACGTGTCGCATCATAATTGGCTTAGTCTCTTAGATATTAGTGGTTATAAGCAGTTGATTGAATTATTGGGGCTCAAAAAATTCAAGTTATTGCCGTATCTAGATATGTATAATTGTACGTTGATTGCCAAAAGTGAAACGACATTGTTCAGTTAAAAAGAAGAAAGTATAATGGTTGCAAATAAAAAAGAACAGTATAAGATGATCGAACGCGATCTGCTGCAGCAGTTAGCCCACTGATTAGTTTATCAGTTGTGATACGTGTCGCATCGTAATTGGTCTTAGTCTCTTAGATATTAGTGGTTATAAGCAGTTGATTGAATTATTGGGGCTCAAAATATTCAAGTTATTGCCGTATCTAGATATGTATAATTGTACATTGATTGCCAAAAGTGAAACGACATTGTTCAGGTAAAAAGAAAGAAGAGTATAATGATTGCAAATAAAAAAGAACCGTATAAGATGATCGAACCCGGTCTGCTGCAGCAGTTAGCCCACTGATTAGTTTATCAGTTGTGATACGTGTCACACCGCAATTGGTAGATTCAATTCGTTTAGCCGTTAATTATACAGTTTAGTTTAAAAGCTTTAGTTATCAGGAGCTGCAAATTGCAGCATTCTTCTGTATAAATTCTCTACACAGAGAAATGGAGAAGGCTACATTCCTCCAAAACCCTTCTCTCTTCCGCTAGCTTCTAGATCTGCTAAGTCATCTCCTTTCTGAGCGATTCGGGTGAGAGGATCTCTAGGGTCTGGAACGAGCTTTGCTTGCTTCAGGTCCTACTGGTGCAGACGCAAATTTCGACTTTTTCTGTGTTGTTGTTGTTGCCGCCGGCGCGAATTGGTTCCTGTTTATTCCCCATTGCTCAACCAAATTAAGACGTCAGACTGAAGAGTTCTTCCACCTGGGGTTTCTTCTTCAGGTAAGCTCTCTGATTGATGTTTACTACTTCCTATTGCTCTGGGTATTCGTTTGCGAAGTTACATACTTCCATCATTGCAGATAAGGGTTTCCCTGCCAGTGTTGTTTGTTTCTGGACTACGATGGAGCAGATGATTTGGTCTTTCCTTTGGTCAGTGGCCAGAGATGCCTTTCTCCTGTCCGTACTGGTTGGTTCACTACTTTACCTTCTCATCAGTTCCAAGCCTCCATCCCCATCTTCTGGTTCTTCTTCCACGCAAGTCCCACTTCCACCGGGAGACTACGAGGTTTTCCTCAACTTTAGGGGCGCCGACGTCCGCTACAGTTTCGCCAATACTCTCAATACATTCCTGCTTAAGTATGGGATCCGCACCTTTTTCGACGAGACAGAGATCCGCGAGGGGGAGGAAATGGACCCTAAGCTCATCAAGTCTATCGAGCAATCCAAGATCTACATCCCAATCTTTTCTCCGGCCTATGCTTCTAGTTGGTGGTGCCTTCGGGAGCTAGCCCACATGGTGAAGTGCTATGAACATGGAAAGGGTCACATTATCCTTCCCATATTCTATATGGTGAAGACTGGGGACGTGATGCATCAACAGGGTCCTTTCGAGAAATCATTTCGCCAGCTCGCTGAGAAATATGATTCAGAAACTATAACAGAATGGAAGAAAGCTCTCAAGACCGTCGGGGAATTAAAGGGATGGACTGTTTCTCCATCAACTAGGTAACAATTTTTCTGGTCTACTAATATTAATAAAATGGAGGTCTCTTCTTTACTCATGGACCTGGACGATGTATATCTTGATTCTCTTTGATGCTTTGAACCATTTATAGTCACTGGTGTTGCCTATGGATGTATACTTTTTTTATTGAAATTGTGTTCCGTTTCCAGACAGGGAGATACCATTGATGAAGTTTTTTCTTTGGTGAGGTCACATCTGATGGAGAATTACAAGCTAGTGACTGGTCAATTGGTTGGAATTGATCCTCACATTAAGCAAGTGAAGCGCCTACTAAAAAAAGGAGTGAAACTTGTTGGCATTCAAGGTATGAGCGGTATGGGTAAGACCATTATAGCCAGAGCCGTTTACAACAGTGTTAGTGCATATTTTGATCGATGCTGCTTTGTGGAAGACGTGCGAGACATATTGTCGAAGAGTGACGGTATTATTACCTTACAAAACAAAATTCTATCCGACATTCTGAGGTGCCACACAAAGGTGAGGGATTCTAGTCAAGGAATCCAAAGTATAAAAGACAGGGTTTGCTGCTGGGACAACATTCTCATCGTTCTTGATAATGTAGATGAGCGGTTTGTGTTTGCGGACACCTTGGGAGATTTAACACATTTTCGCTCAAACAGTCGATTTATTATTACAACGGTGGATGAGAGAGTTTTTCAGAAATTTCAAGAATATGAGTTGTACCAACCAAAGGGAATGAATCCGGATATCGCTCTTCAACCTATTAGTAGACATGCCTTTGGGTCGGATTATCCCCCCCAAGATTACATCTCTCGATCTGAGAACTTTGTAAAGGTTGCATCAGGTCTTCCTTTGGCTGTCAAGGCAATAGGTTCACTACTTTTCCGCAAAGATGATAGTTTTTGGGATGCAATGTGGCCACGGTTACAGGACATACCTGCTATCGAGGTGCAAAAGAGATTGAAGATAATCTATATGGAGTTGACGCCGGAGGAAAAGCACATTTTTCTCGACATTGCTTGTTATTTTATTGGAGAACCCTATGATCAATCGTCCTACTTGTGGAGTGACTCCAATTTACATGCTTTGATAGCAATTGATACTCTTTGCCTCAAGTCATTGATAAAAATCAATGAGAGAAATGAATTTTGGATGCACGATCAATATAAAATCCTTGGTAGAGATATTGTTCGTGAGGAAGACATTCTAAAGCCATGGAAGCGCAGCAGGATGTGGTCCAACGAGGAAGTGCTGGACATGCTAAGAGATAAAGAGGTATTATTTTGTCCGTACTTTTCTGATTTACCTTGACATAGTTTATGGATGGCACTTCAGATTTTCTTTCTATTTATGTTTTCATTCAAGCATGCTACAAAATTATTGTTCACTATTTAGGCACAATAACTGATATTCAGATTACACAAAAGATGAGCCCAATGATTGAGTTCATGACTTTCCAATTCACAAGATTACTCTTTGTACCATATGATATTTTCCCATCTCCTTTTCCTATTTGTTATCGTCAAGATAGGATGTAAGTCTTGTTGGTACAATTTCATTTTGACAGGGAACTGAACGGTTGGAAGTTCTTAGAGTTGACATGAGAGGTGAGGATTTTGAGCTCACTCTAAAGGAATTTCAGAAACTGTCAGGGTTAAGGTATCTCGAAGTGTACTCTGGAAGGCTGACTGGAGATTTCAGAAAGATTCTGCCGAATCTACGTTGGCTGCGTCTTCATGGATGCCGTTCAATCCATAACGCTTTCAATGTAAATAAATTGGTAATTCTGGATCTGCATCGTTGCCCTGTAAGCGATGACTGGAAAAGCTGGAAGGGAATCAAGGTTAGTAATTTTCCTACTCCATTTCATCTTTATGAATTTATGTGATATCAGATGGCAATGGGCTTGAATTGTCAAAATGTTTGACCACAAATCCATCATTTGGATTTTGGAGATTACTCCGAATCTTCTTTGGAGACTTCGATGAGATTTTCCGTTCCTAAATGCTTTCCTAATTAACAAGATGATCCATTTCTAACTATCTACATTAGAAAATCACACATTCACATGTTCCAACATTTATTTCTTAAAAGAGTGTATACATATAGACACAAGCTTTTCATCCGGCCATTGGCCTGGAGATTTTATTGATTATATTAATAATTTGAGTTATATGCAATGTTTTATAACTGGTCCGGATGTTGAACCGAAAAATTTAGTGATTGATGGTTCAATAGTTAACCGTTATAAGATTGGTGATTAACCGTTGACAAAACCGTTATGCTCTATAACATAAGACATATAGAACACTCATTTAGGATTGAAATTGTCACTAACCATAAACAAATTCAAATTCATGTAATTTATCACCATACAATTCTAACAAAATATCCAAATTGTTCATAAAAAATCAATTTTTTTATTAAATTCAAGTTAGTAATTATGGTAGCAATCTATAGTGGACGAAATAAAGTTGAAAAGGAGACTGTGAAATGAAACAAATGAAGCATAAATAAAATTAGTGATTGAAATTGTGAACCATTAAACTAGTCAAATAGGGGTGGTTCATCTGGTTTCATGTCAAACCGTAAACAACTGTTGAGTTCATTGCTAACCGTCTTCTAATCAAATAAATCGAACCGCTATTGTAATTGGTTAAAATGTTTCACTGGTCCGGTCGTTGATTCTGTTTGTTTCTTGTAACAATGGTTATATGTGATCTATTTATTTTTTGGCATCTATTGTTATATTTTTGTAATACTCGAAACAGGTTCTTCAAGTGACCTTCAATATGTCAAAATCTTTGAGCTTTTCGGCAGTGGCAATCTTTGGAATCAAAGAGACTGCAGTAGCATTGATAGATGGAAGCATAATATCTATCTTGACTATCAACCAGCATCTTTTACAAAATCCGTAGTAAACCCATCAAGGACAGGTGCCCTGTGTGTATCAAACGACAACAAAATATCTCTGATATCAAGTTCTGCACCCCTACACAAAGTAACTCCCTCGCACTGCCATTCAACCTCTTCTGCACCAGCTTTTTATCAAACTCCTTATCAACATGAACTTCACTATTCTCAACTCCAAAAAGATGCTGATAAAACTTGAGGGCATCCCCCACTATTTAATTAGTTTCCCTGACAACACTACTATCCTCAGTGACCAGCTTACGAATATTGATGAAAGAATTGTGTGCTTGCATCCCCCATAGCCAACCATGAGATCAGTGACTTTTGTCTATAGAAACTTTCATCTGCCAATTGTACTTCCTGAACAGCCTTGAAGAGTTGTGTCACCCTCTCAAAATGTTGAGCAGAAGGCGCATTCATAGCTTGATAATGAGCTTCAAAACCTCTTTCACTTGAGCACTAATATCACTATAGTCTTTCTTATTCAGTTCTCTCAAGGCCTTTTTAACCCTTGCCAGTTTACATCTGATCGATTACTTGCCAGGGGTAGCCTTCTACTTCAACATCCCCACTTATCTTTAACAATCTCCAAAAACCTGGGATTGCTTCTCCAGAAATCAACAAATTTAAAAGGTTATGGAAGGGGCTTCATTAAAGGATCAATATTAGTTTCTCAGCCCTCAATGACCAGAGAACTCATTCGGCAACATCTCGACACAGCAATCACCAAAGCTAGAAAGCCAATCCACATTCACCAAAATACAATCAAGTTTTTTGGCAATGGGATTACATGCCTGTCTGTTTGTCCAGGAGCTAAAAGCCACAGATTAGTTATTGACAACTTTTTTATATCGACTCATGCTTTAGATTGAGGTTTCTAAAAGCTATCTAAAAAAATATTTTTATTATAATGAAATAGTAATTTATGAAGTTTTTATGTAGGTTCTTATGTAATGATTTACCAACTAAAATTCTTAATTTGATTATATTGCACAATGTACTAAAATCAATAGTCGATGTTTTGACTAGTGTCAATCAAAATATTCAAATTGAATTTGTATTATGAATGAAGACACCCAAGTCCATCATCTTAGATAATATATTCTATAAATATAAATATATATTTCCTTTAAATAATACATTCATAGATTTTGAGAAATTGTTGTTCAAATTAAAATGTATTTTGTTAAAATCATGTCATTTTGAATGTAGCAGAAGAAAACCTTCCATGCATCTGGTAAAAAGTTGCAATGGAACAAATTTAAAGTTTGAACATATGCAAAATTTCAAGATAATTTCTATTTAGTTGGGGAAAAGGGACCGAATCTTTTGATTCTTAACTAAAATGTTGACTATCTAATCAATTTGCATTATACAAAGATTTTGTAAACTCAATTAACTTTTGCTTCAATTTAATAAAATATAATATTTTTCATAATTTGATTGTTTATTAGATCACACATTACAGAAAATTTACCTGACATAATTATGTAACAACTATGTAAATTTTAAAAATAATTTATGCAAATAGTATGAAAAGATAGCTATTTTTTATAGATCGAGTAATGATTAAACGAACATATTACATAAGAATTCTGTAATGATTAAGACACTACTTAAATCTTATGGAAGAATAGTATTTCTTATTTACCAATTAAACAAACGTATAACGTAAGGGTTTCATTGTAAGGGTGATAAGTTGATTTTATAGATAGGTGCTTCTGAAGGGATTCGCTACTGAGACATTCAGGTTCAAGACTAGTGATATAATCACTAGATCAAGTCTTTGTTCAATAAACAGTTGACCATCTCATCAATTTATACAAGTGTTCTGTGAGCTTGGTTATTTTTTATGTGACAATTTAATCAAACTTGATACTTTCCTATCTTAATTCCTTTTTTATTAAATAAAACATTCATCCTCTCATCAATTTACATTACACAAAGGTTTTGTATGCTCGCTTAAATTTTACATAACAATTCAATCAAATGTGATAGTTTCTGTAACTTGATTTTATTATAAGATTACGAAGTTTTATGTAATACTACGAAGTTTTATGGAATACTATTTTGTAACTTGATTTTATTAGTCTCAGTCATAACAATATTACGAAGTTTTATGTAATACTATTTTGTAACAGTTACACAAATTATAAACACATCACGTAAAATTTATTGTCATAGTTGAAAATAATGTATTACGTTGTCTTTGATAATGACTGAGATACTATATAAAACTTAACGAAAGATATTTATTTCTTATCTATCAATTATACAAACGGACTGTGTAAGTCATCCACAATGATTAAGATACTATGTTAAGTTTATGAATGTGTCTCATAGAAAGGATTTTGTGAACTATTTGATTTCAACTAAATTATTAAATGAGTGGTTGAAGTTATCAATGTAACATATTTGGTTATTGTTGTGTTGTCATTATCCAGGAGGGGCACAGATTGAAAGTTATAAATGTATCGTTCAGCTACAAAATGAGAAAAGTACCAGATTTGTGTGGATGTAGAAGTCTAGAACAGATAAATTTCAGCTATTGTTCGGAGATGGGCGGGGAACTGCACATTGGCAATTTCAAGAATTTGAGAGTGCTTGACATTGCAATGACTAAGATAACAAAGTTAACAGGTGACATTGGAATACTTCAGAATCTGCAAGAGATCAGGGCAGCAAATTCGTCCTTGAGAGAGATTCCTGCTGGCATTGGTAAACTATCCTCCCTGGAGATCTTGGATCTAGGCGAGCTTCAGATTGAAGTGCCAGAACTCCCAACAAGTTTAAAGCAGCTAACCCTCTCGTCGCCTAGGGTTCCTAATCTTTTGAAGCTCGAGAACTTGGAGAAGCTATCATTGATTTGTGATGGACGTAAGATTCCTGGGAATATGTGGAAGTTGTCCAAGTTGAAGGATCTCGCTTTGCTGGAAGTTGGGAACGGGGAGGATGCCCTTGATCCCAACGACCAGAATAATAATTCTCGACCTACCCTTCCATCATCTCTGAATACCCTATTGATTTGGGGTTGTGAGCCTTTGGAGAGACTGCCGAACCTTGCGAATCTTGGTAATTTGATGAAACTAGATTTGAGGGATATTGGGGTACACGAGATCGCCGGTTTGGGAGAGCTGAGGATGCTGGAGAACTTCCAATTATGGAATGCTTCAAGTCTACTTAATCTCGATTGCCTCGAACACCTAGAGCTTCTGAAGAATTTGTGGGTGAATGGTTGTCCATTACTGAGAGAACTGCCTAGCTTCTCAAATTTGACCAAATTACAGGAGCTCAGGATCTTTGATTGTCCACTCCTCTCTGAAATTCAAGGGCTTGGCGAACTGGTGGAAATATCAACTCTACTAATCGATGGATGTCTTCAGTTGACTAGGGTGATCGGGCTTGACGAATTGGACTCATTACAATTATTGGAGATTCGTAATTGCGCTTCGATTGACAAGCTGACTGATGTATCTGCTTTGCAGCACTTGCAGGAGTTGAAAATTATGCGATGCAATCAATTAACAGAAGTTATGGGGATTGAGCGATTGGAGTCATTGCAAGTATTGGAGATTCGTGATTGCGCTTTGATTAAGAAGCTGCCTAATCTATCTGCTTTGGAGCACTTGTTGAAGTTAAAGATTATGGGATGCAATCAATTGATTGAGGTTATTGCGATTGACAAATTGGAATCGTTGCAACTATTGAGGATTACTGATTGCTCTTCGATCAAGAAGCTGCCTGATCTATCTGCTTTGAAGCGCTTGCGGAAGTTGAAAATTACAAGATGCAATCAGTTAACTGGGGTGAAGGGACTTGACCAATTGGAGTCATTGCAATTATTGAGGATTACTGATTGCGCTTCGATTAAGAAGCTGCCTGGTCTATCTGCTTTGGAGCAATTGCGGGAGTTGACAATCACAGGATGCAATCAGTTGACTGAGGTGACGGGACTTGACCAATTGGAGTCATTGCAACTATTGAGTATTTCTGATTGCGCTTCGATTAAGAAGCTGCCTGGTCTATCTGCTTTGGAGCACTTGCGGGAGTTGACAATTGCGGGATGCAATCAGTTGACAGAAATTACAGGGATTGAGAGATTGCAGTGGTTGAAAGATGTGGTCCAGTTTGATACAAGGCGAAGGATGCGACATATTAGTGAAAAGACGCGAAGATTTGGCTGAACTCCACTGGGCGGTGGAAAGCTAAAATAAGTAAGGTAAGTTGTATTCTTCCGTTCGCACCAGAGCCGCTGGGGACTTTGTCGCTAAGACAATTGATATCATATCACTATCGACATGTTGGGGGAGGGTATGAATATGATGAGCGCAGTACGTGAGTAGTAGAGGGGCTTGGGTGTTTTGGTTAATGTTTTGTTATTTGGATTATGTATTATGGGCTTGGGTTAGCTAGGTCATTAGTAGGTAGTAGTCGAGTAGGGATAGGGTTTCTACTTTCTTGGCTGCCGAGTTCGGCTAGGTCTGGGTAGGGATTTGCGTCTATATAAGTGTAAGTTCCGCTTTAGTCCGTTGATCATCAAATAATAAACCTAAAAAGTATTTTTGACATTTTAGCTACAAGCAAAACCCTCGAGTTGTGGACATCGACTCATCAACTTGATATGAACCAGATCTTGGGGAACTTGACTCAGTGGACGGTCACTCTGGAGGGAGCACTGCAGGAGGTCGTGCCCCTTCTACAGAGAAGAAAGAAACTAAGAAAGAGTCATGAGTTCTTTCAGCAATATAAGTTGTATAAACCCGAAGAAATGAGTGACGATCTTTACTTAAACTTTTTAGTAGACATGCCTTCGGAATGGATAACCCACCAAAAGATTACGAAGCTTTGTCAAAGGAGTTAGTAGAAGTTGCAGCAGGTCTCCCTTTGGCTCTCAAGGTCATTGGATCACTATTGTTTTGTCACAATGATAAAAGTTTCTGGAAAGCAAAGCTGAAACAATTCAAAGGTATCCTTCCTCCAGAAGTGCAAGAAGCATTGAAGATTAGTTATTTGGAGCTAACTGATGAAATAGAAGATAAAAATCTTGGAACTCACATACAGAAAACTTGAGAAATTCTCAGGATTAAGGTATCTTGAATTACTGGGTGGAGGTCTGATTGGGGATTTCATGGGAGTTCTTCCACGTATACGTTGGCTTCAACTGAATAAGTGCAGAGCGATCCCCATTGGTTTAGATATGAAGAAATTAGTGAATTTCAATGTGATCGGTTGCCAATCAGAGATGACTGGAGAGGCTGGCAAACTATGAAGGTAATTTGAATCAATGGAGTGTTTTAATTCTTCACATTTATTTTTCTAGATGGTGTATTTTTGTGATCAATGTGGTATGTTAAGGGGTCCAATTAAGCACCTGTGTGTTTTCATAATGCAGGTGGCGACTGGCGAGGAAGCTGAGATCTATGAAAAAATGCCATTCCCACTACATTCCCACTACATAACCACAATATAGCAACACCTTATAAACTTAATAGCATTTTGCATCACCTTTGAAAAAGATAGTTCACGAATAATTTTCCATATATGAGGAAAGACATAAAGTTGTCATATTACATGAGCATGATAATTTAGATACTTAAAAAGTACTGATACACAAACCAAACATAATATGCAGGTGAAATAAGTTTCCAACCTGCGGCACCATTGGATGCTTCCTGTTGGGGATGTGGCTCAGATCCAGTCGCGCGAGCAAGACGGCCAAACGAACTTCCAGCAAGCAAGGACATGACCGCAAACGGTGGAAGCATCAAGCGGTGTCGTTTTGATCCTGCCCAGGCCGACGTCGTTTTACCTCATCGTTTGATCCTGCCCAGGCCGACATCGTTTTGCATCGTCCAAAACCAGCGCCGTTTTGGTCTTACTCAAGCCAGTGTCGTTTTGCCCTGCCTAGGATGGGGAAGGAGAATCGAGAGGATGGTGCCGCAGCCTACGAAGGAAGAGTCATGTCCTGGGTCAGGTCCTAGGAATGATTATGGCCTAAAAGCATGGCCTAAGTTTCTGACACATGTAGTAGTCTTATCGCATTAAATACCCACTACAGTAATGTACTATAAAAGAGGCATTTACTACGGTAGGTAGGGAATCGGTTTTTGGATTCTCTCACTAATAAACATTCACTTCTCTCACTAGCCAACTTCCTTCGCTGTTTCTTCCTCTCTATCGAAAGCTCTCATTCGTAAACAAGTTATACTCTCGCATCGCTTGCTCTTCTCCCCCCTCCCTCACGAGCCTCACTCCTACACTCAGTTAGGCTCAAACAATTGGCGCCCACCGTGGAGCTGAGTAGAGAAGCGATGGAAAACCTACTAACGACGGAGCACAATCCCGACTCGCCCAACGAAACGACACCCATCAAGGCTATGACGAACCAAAGGACACACGCGGAAACCATCAACTTCAACGCGGTACTCATTGAAGAAGAAGAGCCCGAGCTGACGCCCAAGGAGATGAGGCAACAGATGGCTAAGCAAAACGAAGTCATAGCCGACATGCAAAAAAAGATGAACCAAGTCATTGCGCTCATGATGAGCAAAGAGTCCGCGCAACCCAGTCGCGCGCCGCTTTCGGCGCCCGATAAAGCAGCAGAACACGTCCCGCCACCACAACAAATTCCGGTCACCTTGCCCGCGGACGAGGCACCTCAAGCGGAGCCGCGCCCCAGGGCAGACCTCAGTTTCCTGGAGCAACACCTTTCTCCACAATACCGCCCTCACCCACCAAAGAGAATCCTCCACCAACCGCTGAGCGCGAACATAATGGCGGAACACCTAAGCGGAATGCCGCCCGCTCTCCCCACGTATAACGGGACGACCGACCCAGAGGACCACGTCAGCACTTTTTGCCTCAGAATGCAACTCCAAACCAATTCCAACGCGACACTGTGTCGGACCTTCCCGTCAACTTTCTCCGGCATATGCCTCGACTGGTACAACAGACTCCCTAACGGAATCATCTGCTCCTTTGAGAAGTTCATACTCCTGTTCACTACCAAATTCGTGTCACAAAAAAGGAGAACCCTACACCTCAAGGCCTTGATCGACATCAGGCAGAAGGATGGGGAAAGCCTACGCGCATTCTATGCCAGATGGTCAAGAGTAGCTATGGCGGTGCGCGACCTCACCCCCGAAACCTCCGTCCATCACCTCATGGACGCTACGACCAGCATGGAACTCAAGCGTGCCATAGCAAAAAGACCGGTGACGCTGTCAACGGAGCTCGAGGCTAAAATCGAAAAGGCTATCATGCTGGAAGAAACTCTGGGCGCAGGTTCTGTCAGGCGCTTTGAACCTTCCAAGCCGCCCAAAGAAGACCAGACGCGGAAACAACTTCCGGTGTCGCGAGAACAGTTACTACAGTCCCACAGCGGGCCCAGACGGCAACCCGCTCCGCCGGAACAAGTCCTGCGAAGGCGCTCCCCTGATAGGCGTCCGCAGAACACGCTGCCCGCTTACACTCCGCTCAACGGTTCCGTGCAAAATGTGTTCCATGTCCTCCGTGAGAAGGGATACAAGATCAATTGGCCCGTGCCTGTCAAAGCCACGCCGCACCTGCGCGACCCGAACAAGCATTGCGAGTTCCACAGGGAAACGGGTCACTTGACTGAGGACTGCAGGGAACTAAAGTACGAAATAGAGGGCCTCATCCGAAGAGGACTCATGTCACAGTTTATTCAGGGGGCGGAAAGGCAGAAAGAGCCGCGCGGAAACCCGCCGCCTCCCCCGCAACCAGACTATGATGAGGCAACCGGCGCTTATCTAGTGCGAAAGGAAATTGGAGTGGTGACAATTGAGGGGAGCCGCCCAACCAAGAAGACAAAGCGCGAACGCGCCATGGAATGCGGGGCGTCAGAGGTGCGCCCAAGGTGCCACTTAAGTTTCGACGACGCGGAATTCCCCCATGGAATCCCATCAGAAGACCCGCTGACCATCACCGCGCTAGTAGCTGCCTGTAAGATTCATCGCCTTCTGGTCGACGGAGGAAGCGCGACAGATATACTATTCAAGAGCACCCTCGACCAAATGGACATCGATCCACGCTTGATCAGACGAGCGGAGGGGAACCTGGTCGGGTTCTCAGAAACGAGGGTCGCAGTAATCGGCGTGGTCACCCTCCCCGTCGTAATCGGAGACCAGGAGCCGCGGGTCTCCAAGCAAGTCGAGTTTACCATCGTCGACTGCAACTCCCTCCACAACGGCATTCTGGGACGCCCATTTCTCGCTAAGTTTATGGCACTGCCTTCGACGTGCCACCAAAAGCTCAAATTCCCCACCAAGGCAGGGATCGGGGAAGCCCGCGGGACTCCGTGGGCGACCCCAAGAATGGAAGGAGAGTCCCGCCAAACCAACATCGTCGACACGCGGGCGGAAGACCCGCGCCCAGAATCAATGAATTCTGACTTCGAGATTGTGCTCGACCCAGCTGAACCCGAGAAGAAGATCCGCGTCTCAACCCATGTCCCTGGCGACATGGTTGAACCGCTGATTGCACTGTTGAAAGAGTATAAGAAATTGTTTGCCTGGTGCACGGAAGACATGCCGGGAGTACCAAGGCAAGTAGCTAAGCACTCTCTCGCGGTTCCCGCTAATGCAGAACCGAGGCAACAGGCGCGCAGAAACTTCTCGGGCGACAAGTTGAAAGCCATAGAAGAAGAGGTGGCGCGACTACTTGCGGCAGGGCTAATCCGACCGGTGAAATACCCAAAATGGTTGGCGAATGTGGTTTTAGTGAAAAAATCTTCGGGGGCATGGCGCATGTGCGTCGACTATAACGATAAACAAGGTGTGCCTGGGGGATCCTTATCCCCTACCACGGATAGACCAGCTGATCGACGCCATCGCGGATCATGAGACACTGTCCTTCCTGGACATGTTCTCGGGATACCACCAAATCCCGATGTCTCGCGAGGATGAAGAAAAAACGGCGTTCATGACGCCATTCGAGAACTTCTGCTTCGTTGGAATGCCGTTCGAATTGAAGAACGCTGGCGCAACCTACCAACGAATGATCGACTCAGTGTTCTCACGACAGATTGGCCGGAACATTGAAGCGTACGTGGACGACCTCATCGTCAAATCCAAGGCGGCCAACTCACACCTGGAAGACTTGCGCGAGACTTTTGAGGCGATGCGCAAACACAACCTACGCTTGAACCCTCTGAAGTGCGTGTTCGGAGCAGAAGCAGGAAAATTTATGGGGTTCATGATCACTAAGCGCGGAATCGAGTTAGACCCGAAGCAAATAACCGCAGTTCAACAGCTGCGAGCGTCGAGGAGCGCGTTGGAGATACAATCATTAAATGGCAAGATAGCGGCGCTGGGAAGATTCATACCAAGGTCAGCTGATAAGTGTGCCCCCTTCTTCAAAACGCTCAAGAACGACGCGCGGTTCGTGTGGACACAAGAATGCAAAGCAGCTTTCCAAGAACTCAAGACATATCTTGTATCTCCCCCTGTACTATCTGCTCTCAAGCTTAATGAAAAACTCTTTCTGTACCTTGCCTTGTCAACAAGAGCCGTGAGCGCAGTACTAGTGTCCAAGGGGGACGGCCATACTGAGCGACCTGTGTATTACACGTCACGAACGTTAGTAAGCGCGGAAACAAGGTACTCCCCAATTGAGAAAGCAGCCCTCGCATTGGTAAGCGCCTCACAGAAGCTACGCCCCTACTTCCAAGCACACCAAATCACTGTCCTGACCAACCTTCCACTAAAAAAGATCT